CACCTCTCGTTTTGAGGAACTATTTTATTCCGCGATACAGCTGGTTGTTGTATGGCTGTCAGTGTAATTATGAAGTCACACGTACTTAATCTTGCGCATAGATCTAGATCCTTTTAGGTACAAAACAGTGCTACAAACCTTCATAGAATGAGGGCCAATCATTGTATGAACGTCGGGGTCTTCTGTTGCACGCCACTTCAACGTCCACCACAGCACCATTTGCCGCCTTTGGGACCGATACTCACAGTTCAATTCTACTGTAGACCGTCCGAGAACCGGCCGACCAAGTGTGACCACCCCTGCACAGGATCGCTACTTTCGGACCCGTGAAGATTCCGGGGTAGAATAGGTCTTCAGCAACCCATACTTGCCGTAAAAGGCGACTATGCTTGTCGTAAAAGGCGACTAACGGTTGGTCTGGCTCGCTGACTTGGTTGATACATGTCATCGATCCCAAAAGCGTGGATCAATGCTCATGATATTAATCACTGGATTGTCTGGTCCAGGCTCGATTATTTACAGACCGTCGTCATATAGCTGGAATATGGTTGAGTGCGGCGTTAAACAACAAACCAACCAACCAACATCGCTACTTTCGACTGTTCCACCTACGTCATCGCAATGTCACAGCTACGGAGACTGCTGGACGCTTCCCTGGTTTGAGGAGGATGGGTTGCTGAAGATCTATTCTATTCCGGATGTTCACGGGTCTCAACACAATGTACAGCCTCTTTAAGGTTGTTGATACAACTGTAGCAGAATGTAAAATAGTATGTATTTTAACTTACATATTTTAAACTTAGGTAAATAATTGAGTTAAGTATGGTAATAGGTCCTTAAGCTAACCTGAGCACTCTCTACTAATCCTTAGGTAAAGTACAGGGTATAGTTATGTAAGGTCTTTAGTGATCTGGTCCAGCCACATCTTGGCCAGTGATTGCCTTTTCTATTGTTTCTGTAGCATGTGACCAGGTTTTTAGCTTTAAACACTTCAATATTTCTCTTCTCTGGTCACTGCTGCATTACAACTCTGCATGATTCACTGCACTGCACTGATTGGGGTAAGTTAATTTAGACTTCTTTAGTATTTATATTCATCATAAGGAGGTTAGGATCTGATATTTTAGTTTTGTTGAGTACACTTTTATCATTTTAATTGCATATTTCTTATATAGTATAATTTGCAGTATGATCCACATGATACGCAATGTTGTAAATATATTGCTTATTCTTCAAAGTCATGATACGTTAGTGAGTAGTGTGATACTAATTACACTAGCCATGACTTAATGTTAAGCAACCATATTGTTATAAGGTGCTTTCAGTAATTTATATAGTTTATAGCTTGAAGCTGTACCTATTAGAATAGATTTATCATTAGCAACAATTTATAGTTTACAGCTATAAATGTAATAATATATTGTACAGTATTTTAGTACACTAAGTCTTGTATGAGTTAGTTGATGATTATGTACATAGTTCTAGGAAAGTATTAGTAAATATGTACTGATGTAGTGAGAGAGAGAAAGCGTCTGTGTGCGTATTATATACATTTTACTTAATTGTGTCATTTCATAATTAGGCATAGAGGCACATATAAAGCCATACTGTTGGCATTGACGTGATGAGCCTGCGACCCTGAGACGAGGTTGGTATTTATGTGCTAATAGTTGTATGTATATATTGTTGTATTTTTAGGTGTATTGTATCATATAAATGGGATTTGTAGCTGTAATATATATAGAGCTGATGGTTGTTCTGATTATATATGCTTAAATTCATGCTCATGGTAACAAGTAAATGTAATATGTTTGTTTAATTATACATGTTATAGATTCTTGTAATTGTATATTACTAATTCAACCTTATTATATTATGTTTTAGGGAATTATCATCCATAGCCATATTGTGGTGGGATCTCCATATCCCTGATATGAACAGACCGAATAAATCCCATGAACCCCCAAACAAGTATTCGTCGTCATTACCTAGACGTTATACCGCTGTAACACAACGTACAAGCTTACCTAAATATTTACCCAAATTTTAATAATGATGACTCCCTGAAGTCCATTCTACTAACAGGTGGGTTAAGGTTGGTATTTCCCGCATATTCTCACAACCCTCACGTCGATCATCTGTACCTTTTCTCCTAATACCGATTGTCAGATCTCTCCCACTTTTGGATGCGATCATTCGGCCACTGCCTTTATCTGCGTAGCCCAGCTACATCTATTGGGAACAACTTACTAGAAACTTCCCTCTCAAAAATAACATCGTCCAATATGTCTCCCGAAATGGCGTCATGATAGAACAATGTTTTATCGTGAAATAAAGCACGTTTCGTTCTTCATTGTTCTTTGTGATTGATTGATTGAGTACAATTTAACGTCACATCGGCAGTACTTCAGCCATATCGTGACGAAACAGTTATAATAATTATATCGAGATTGAATAAAAAGCTGTCAACGGTGGACAGTATAATAACTAGGGTATCACAATTTCGATTTTTAAACTAGTTTAGGATATATTTCAAAGAATACATTATCATTCAACAATACAATATAAAAATGGGCTATAGATCACCAGCAACCAAAGTTAGGGGACTGACGATACTTCTGCTACCTGCACAGTTCCCCAGTGGGATTTACACCATCCCTTTAGCTGCTGGCGATGATACGGATTTTAGCCATCAATTCAAATAACAAAAATACTACGTTTAAAACTGGCATGAATAAAGGTACTGCGAAGGATGTGGTCTTACATATCCTCTCAGGGGGACAATAATTTTACGCTACTTCGACCCCCTTTGAGGATACAGCCACTAACCATTTTAGTTACAAATTATGCACTACCAATATGATAAAATATAACTATCAACACATTTCAAAATTTATCAATGAGTTCAATATCTTTTAAAAAAGCAAGACCCTTAATAGATTTGAATGATTTGAATTAAGTATCCCTTGTGATAGAAAAATCAACACACTTAAGCAGGACATGCTTGAACGTGATTTCTTCATCACAAGGGATGCAAAATGGAGGATCCTCACCTTTCAACAAATACTCATGTGTGTACCGGGAATGGTCAATACGACATCGTCGTAAAATGACCTCTTCAAATCTGGACTGACAACCCAAGTAGGTGTAACCAATATTTGGTTTAATGTCATGTAACTTATTTATACCTACTTTGGGGTCCCAATTCTTTTGCATCATATCTCGGATATAAGATACGATAACGGACTTGTAATCACTGTATGGAATCAGAAGTGGTGTCACGGATTTGTTGAGTGCTGCTTTTGCAGCAGCATCGGCCATTGTGTTACCTACGAAAACGATGTCGTATTGGCCAGTGGCAAGATAATTAGACAATTCAACAATTTCAATTAAAAGTGGATGTGTGGAAGACAAGTTTTTGATAGCCTGAAGGCAAGAAAGAGAATCTGAAAACAATATGAACTGTTTATGCTTAGTTTGGCTGTTGATATATTTAAGCGCTGTATAAATAGCATTTGCTTCCGCTGTGAAAATAGAACAGTTATCTGGTAATCGGGATGAGATTGTCCTGGATCCAATGACGGTGGCGCTGGCAACAACGTCACCATCCTTGGATCCATCTGTAAATATAGATTTATAAGTGTCATATGTGCTTCGTAATTCATTTTATTGTTGTTGATAAATTAGTTGATTTGTGTCAGATTTCTTTAGTTTAGTTAATGTTAGGTCCACCTTTGGATGTACTAATGCCATGGTGGAGAAGAGAAAAGCTGATTGGGGCCTATGTTATCAAGATTTATTTTCAAATTAAAAACTTCACATTTTTAAAAGTAATCCCATATATGATATACAACGGACAAATGTATCAGAGAAGGTAATTTTTAATCATTAATGTCCAAAGAAGGATTTTAATTAACGGTGGTAACCATAATTTGTTCCAAGCACCTACGGTATTCGGTAATAACATCAACAGTTTAAATCATAAGTCCCAAGCACGAGAATCTGATGGCACACAAGTTCAGTAGCTCGTATGGCCACCATGTGCGTTGACAACTGCCACACAACGCCTCCGCATGGACCTTGTGATGCTTGTGAACACATGATTGGGAAGACGACGCCATTGTTGCTGCAAAATGGTGCCAAGATGTTGCAAATTCTGTGGTTGGTTCTGGAGAGTGTGCAGACTTCTGCCAAGAGCATCCCAGACGTGTTCGATGGGATTGAGGTCGGGAGACCTTGACGGCCAGTCCATGATTTGACTCCCGCATTCTGAAGGAAATTCCTTGTCAAAATTGCTGTGTGGGGTCTGGCATTGTCGTGTTGGAAGATCAAACCGGGTCCATGTGCTGCCATAAAAGGCAGAAGTTCTGGTGCCAGTACCTGGTCGCGGTAAGCAGCAGCGTTGAGGTTGCCACGGATCACAAGAAGCCTGGAACCTGCATTGCCACAAAAAGCACCCCACACCATGACACTTCCGCCTCGAAATCTGTCAATTTCCTGTACACAACACTGGGCGTAACGTTCATGACGGCGCCTCCACACCCTCGCCCTACCATCAGCAAATCGAAGATTAAATCGGGATTCATCACTGAAGACGACTTGATTCCAATTCCTCTGAGTCCATCGTAAGTGTCGCTGTGCCCACAATTGACGTTGACGTCTGTGTAATTGAGTCAGAATCGGCCCGCAGTATGGCCGTCGTGCTTGAAGGTGAGCAGTTCTCAGACGGTTTCGAACAGTTTGCGCACTCAGTCTACCCCTAAACAGTTCATTTCTGGTTGATGTAGCCGTAAAAAATCGGTTAGGGAGGTGACGTAAGACAATCTGACGAGCCTCTGCATGTGACGTCACATGTGGTCGACCTGGCCGAGGGCGATCAGCGGTGGTACCCGTTTGCTGTAGACGCGTCTGTAAATCATAAACAGTCCGTCGACTACAACCCATCGTCCTTGCGACTTCAGCTACGGACGTTCCCGTCTGCAACATGCCGATGGCACGTTAACGTTGCACATTTGAAAGGCGTGGCATGACAAATGGCCGTAAAGACTTTTGTTTTCTTGTGTTTTTCTTTTTTTGTTAATGACTGCTAACAAGTATGGCTGAAAACGCGTACGGTATAATGGCCACGTGACCAGTTGCACGTGAAAAACCACTTTTGCCTCTATAGTGCTGTGCACATGATTTTGCTCGATTCACCTGCACAAAAACGGGTGTTATCTGAAGACAATACGTGGCCATTACTGTTTAAATACACAATAAGGGCCCATAATGATAACTAGTCAAGATGTTAAAATTTTAGGATTGTGAATTTTTTAATTTGGTTCAGTATATATGTTTGTAGTCTTATTCCAAGTGGTGAAATAAGAGAAGATGTTGTTTTGTAGTGATTACCATAAAGGGGATTAAAACACAGTCATATTGGATCGCTGGATTGGAATCATTAGAACGTAATTTAGAGATATATTGTTGAGCTAATTTAATGCGACGTTGTTAAAGGGAATGCAGCTTCTTTGTGATGTATGCGTAGCTTACATATCCTGACACAGCACTCTCAGTCGCCTGTTACACTGCAGGTTGTTCTTTTTCAATCATGAGTTTATGTAGATATGACCAGTAGATCTTTAATCATGAGATTAGACATTTACTATTGCAGTGGTGATTTTCAGGTCCTCAGTCAGTAGGTACCTTCTTACTGCTCTAGGTTTGGCGTAGACCAAAGTCCCGGACACAATGTAATGGAGGAAGATCATACACACTTCGACTCGAAGGAGATGAAGTCATTGGACGGCCATTGGAATAACCAGCTGAAGAGTTGTTCCTGAAAATGGCAGTTAGTGACTATTATAGCTAAAATGGATAGAATTATCATTAAACCGTCCGCACGTTATCAGAAATGAGGGGGCCACTGTAACTTGATCATGCCCTCATATAGCTTGACGACGGGTTATTATCAAGCCCGTTGTTAGGTGACGTCATAGGGTAGAGAAAATGACGTCACGTATTATAGTGATGTCATCTGGTTTGTTCTATGACGTTTCCATATTTTTAAAATGTGGTCATGTTGTTTCTTTTTATTTGATAATAAATTCCATCCATTTTAGCTATGATAACGGCAACGCTCTTTTTCAGGGTATTATCATTTGCAGAAGCACTCAATCTTTTCAAGTGCCCTCCTTCGTCGGGCAGTTAATGGAAAACCTCGGGCTTCTGCAAATGATAATGCCCTGAAAAAGAGCGTTACCCTTATAATATTCGTGAAAATAATATATTGATTGAAATCATCTATAATGACCAGACTTAGCGGGTGTTGTTCAGCAATACTCCAGCCTTATCACAGCGGTCTTTGTCTTGACATCATAACTTGGGACTTCTAACATCTAATCTTCTACAATTGAATTGAGCGGCTGTCTGTGTGGTTGCACCTCTGAACAGCTCGGACTTACAAGACAACGAGAGCACCTATAGCTGCTGCTTCTAAAGACATGTCATGTCTACAAGGTTGCGTCTGGGTATTTGGTTTTTCAAAAGTCGACCCTCAAAAAACAAACATTTATGGAAACATCTACATTTATCAACAGTTTTCTAAAGACCAAGCTGTGCCTTTGTTTTCCAACCAATCAGTGACGGACCATAACTAAATCATCAGGAAGTGATCATCACTTGCTTGATAAAGGTGTTAGGATCTACACCGAAACGTCGCACTAATTGTAATAAAGAAGTTGTTCATCCATAGAACTTGTCTTTCTTCATCACACCAACTTCTAAATGCCACTGAAAGAAGTTTAAGACGACGAGTCAAGCCGGAAGTCGTCAAGACCAATCAGCTGTCCAAGTCTTAGTGTAAATCTATTATGGACGATAACTGTACTGAGTAGGACAATTTACAACTTCAAATGGGCCCAGCTATTGATGTTTTACCTTTTCCGCGCTTCAAGTTGGAGAACTGAATATGTGTTCTGTGAAAGGAACTCACAGAGGTTGCCGGGGACAGAAATCAGTTTGTACCTAACAGCCGCCATTCATACACATTAACGAATAGAGCTGCCATTTTAGTGTGGTTCTAGTAAACCAGGAAGGAGATGCGGTAACCGCAGCTAGGTACAAGAATAGTGGCGGTTCAAAGAGCCACGGTCACTGGGTCCAAACATGTTTCTTACATAATCCAAAACAACAGCTCAATGGTTACTGCTGAGGCCAAGTTTCACAAAGTGACATTAGCGCAAAGACGATCGTAAGTCCCATACTTTAGCGTTGACCAAGAACTTCGGGGGACGTCGGTCTGTATAAAACAACAAAATAAACGTAAACAGTTCATCTTTTTTTTCAGATTCTGTCTTCAGGCATTGGGAGTGTCCCTGAGTCATACAACTACAGGAAGACCTTCCTAAGGGCCAGTGTGTATGTTGTTGGTTGCCCAGCCACGTTGGATTCCAGATAACTCCCAAGCCGATGCTGCCGCTATGTCCCCGCTTGACAAGTAATTTCTTCACTGTATCCCATCCAGCTAATATAAACCTGTAATCAAATCTCAAAGTAGGACAACCAAGTACGTGTCAACACACTTCATGAGCTTACCCCACCATTATAAACCTATTCATTGGCATCGCTATTAAGTAAGAGAGTTCTTTCTATAGGCATTAAAACCTATTGTGAGGTTTTACTGTCAAAGTAAAACCTATTGTGAGGTTTTACTTTCAAAGAAAAACCTATTATGAGGTTTTATTTTCGTTCGGGAGGTTTTACTTTGAATGTAAAACCTTAAATCCCAGGTTTAACCAAGTAACTGAAAAAATGACAACAAGTAGCAATTCAAAATTTCGATACCCATATTTCCAAACGTTTATCAAGTTCTTCTTCCGTTAATGGCTTTCCAAATCGATAAGAAAAGTCATCGCTTTCTTCAGTGAATGAAGATTGGGTAACAAAATGAAAGTCGTCGTCGTCGCTCATCTTTCCACTTCAGAGTCTCTGGTGAAAGGACAGCGAGGTTTCAAACATGTGCTTATAAACAAGTGCACATCAATGCTGCACAATTTGAACGTGCAGTAACTGCTAGCCGTTACGTCACAACTACCTCTATGTAACAGTTGGATTGTTTAAAGTCGAAAATCTTGTAAAGCAAAAAAACACCTTTAACATTTGCGAATTTTCGTTTTGAAAAGTTTTAAAGAAGTGGAATATTGCAACACAAACATTTAGAAACCGAAGATTTCACTTTCACTTAAAAATAAGTATTTTAGTTGTGTTTTGTTGTTGACACATCCAAGTGCTCTTGAACGCCTGGCAAGTCAGCGAATTTCACGTGCAAGTTATGATATCACGTCTTCAAGGAAGCGCTATAATGAAGCATCTCATTTATAGATGCTCGTTATAACATTTAATCACTTTAGACGGTTTATAAGTATGGAAAAACACTTTCCCTCGGTTTTGGTAGACAGGGCATGCCCTGGGGGTCGGGAAAAACCGCGGTTTGTCTTTCCCTCTCTCCTCTCGTAAGCGTGTTTTCTCAAATACATAACTCCTCCATGTCCGTGTTGTCGAATTATCGTCAAATTGGGGTCGTGAAATCAGATATTGTATGAAGCACTCCTAAAATATCAGCTCAGGGGTCGCCCATAGGCAGTCGCAAAGGGGTTCTTATTACAAAGCTGCAAACATAGTATATTTCAAGTAATCATCCATTCATTTAAGAATAGGAAACACATTGGTCTATAATGAAGGTCAGAAAAAGTAATAATATTTAAAAGAAATTGTTAAAGTGTATGGATAATGTTTTCATGGTACCACAGTGGCTTGTAACAAAAAAGCAGCTACAAGATATAGGGTAACTACCTACCTGTGTCAGTAAATCTTAGGGAGTATGGTTTTATGCCGCTCTTAGCAATATTCCAGCAATATCGTGGTTGGGGACACCAGAAATGGGCTTCACACATTGTACCCATGTCGGGAATCAAACCCTGGTCTTCAGCGTGACGAGCGACTGCCTTAACCCCAAGACTACCCCACCACCCCAGTAAATACACAGGGATGTGGCACTGGTAGTGAGTATACATCTTCAAGCTGCGTTTTTGCACCACAAACGCATAGAATCGCTAGAGATCTTGCGGACCATTATATGGACTCTACATACATTCTTTCATGTTTGTGTATTATAATTGTTTCAAAGATGTCTTATTATATTAATATATAATACCTTTTCTGGTGCTTGTTCTGCATATTTGCCAAAGAGAACCAAGCTAGTCACAATGGACTTGCATGGAGACAGGGGCTCCTGTTTGACAGACATCTTAGTACCATCACCATTGCAGGCATGTTATAACAGATGGCGACACCTACCCTCAGGACCAAGTTTCAAACGATCCTTACATAGCATTCATCTTGACAAACAACAGAACAATCTACTTGACTCGTCAGCATGTCCACAACAAAAGTTGTCTTTTGCCAGCAAGTGAGTGAGTGAGTGAATTGGGTTTAACGCCGCTTTTAACAGTATTCCAGTTATATCACGGCGTGACAGCTTAATGTGGGAGGAAAGCCCGAAGTGATGCAGGTCCCAGATGTTTACCACTTCGGTGAAACCCACGAGCACAGGTATGGTGCTGACAAACCTAGAAACATAATTTTGGTGAACCGGGATTTGAACCCACAATCATAGGTTTCTGGCGTGCCCAAGGGACGCAACTCTGCACAGCAAATTGCGGCGCCTTAGACGACTGGGCCACCCGTGCCCCCTTTGCCAGCAAGTCTAACTGTGGTTGCCCAAAGTGAACAGGGTGAGTGTGCCAGGCAGGTAGCGAATTGCCAGTCAGGGGCCGTATTGCCGGTGATGGTGTCCGGTCGTGTAGAACCAACTGCTACAGGCAATGTTAACATTGTACATACTGTGAGACACAAGGCAACTTTATGAACATTTATTAACAGGATCCAGTGGACATATACATCTTTCATGAGACACAACTATACACAGAATATTCTTACAGCTGTACAAATAAACTGACAAAAATACACAAGAAAAGAAACAATTCTTCATTAATAAATAAAATAATTTGATACAAACTCGTCAAATACAAAGAGTTGAGATGATAGTTTCAAGAATTTGGCCATATTTGGGTTATGTATTTTTTCAGTTCTTGAACATGAAATATGAAAATGAAAAAATATGCAATGGAAGAGCCTCTGAACAGTATGGAAGAGAGATAATACTTTATTTAAAGTTCTTTGTAAGATAGAAATAATATCAAAGCACAATCACTGTTGAATAGAAATGAGAAGATACCAGAAATTCACTAATCAAACCTAATTCAAAAACTTCAAAAATGAGTATCACATACCAAATGTTTAATGTTTTTAGTTCATAACTGACATTCCTACTTGACAATACCGACGCCCATATGATTCAAAGTTACAACATAGAGATATCACAGACAAGTGGGCTGACTCAGCGACTCTTGCACAGAAGCTTTACAAAAATATCCTACTGTGAGTTGATTGTGTGAGCATGGAGGAAGGAGTTCGGTAGGTGGGAAGTAGGAGAGTGAGCTGTTTCTTGGATTGAGCTAAATAAAGACAAGACAGCAGTGAGAAATACTGAGCAGAGAAGTAGAGAGAAAGATGGCAAACTGGCAGAGCCTCAAGGATGATGACAATCCTCAGGACAGTTTGGGGCAGTCTGGGCTGGTGAAGTTTCGGGGCATCACATAACCATCTTGCTTGTCTCTGCAAATAAAGAAACATATTTTTCACACATTCTTCTCCCAGATTCACTCACAGAATCCCCATTCCGTTCGATTGAAACTGTTTTAAGTTGTGATTACACTTATCCAAACCTGGCTTCAACAGGAGACATTGCTTGTGTGACAACAAGTGATATATGGCCTTCAAAATATTGCTGCAATGAAACTGCATCACAATGCTTTGCAGACCATTGTAAAGTAATTGGCTAACATGACCTCACAATCAAATGACAAATCCCTAAAGCTGGTAAGCTGTACATTACACACCCAAAACACTGATTATTTTTCTTCATAAACTGAAAAAGTTGGAAGAATGATTTTGGATGATAAATAGAATCTACAGATACTGTACATCTGGAAAGTTTTGCGCCATGAAATTACTGCGAGTGGCTAACAATAGCATTAACTGTGTCTGGAAAGTTTTGCGACATCCTGTTATGATTACCAAACATCAAAGCTACTTTTGCTGGTGTCATATTTGATAAGTAGGAACGACACGATAAAATGGTAACTCAGTGTCAGTTAGTGATTTTTAAACTATAGATGCATGTGTTGTACTTGACAAGTAAGGTTAGAGTAGCGTGATTATCCAACAGAACAGACATGCTGGTTTATGTCATGAAACTACTGCAAGTGTGTTACTCGCAGTTTTCGCAATACTTTCCTGCTCGCAAGACTTACAGTATGTAAACACGTCCTGATAAAAGTAGAAAAATACTATATTGACATCTGTTGACATATTTGATGTCAAAAGACACTAGAGAGATTCTCAATATCTCCCATTACAAATATTATTTTGATTCAGATAGCAATCAACTTTCTGAAACACAGACAGTGGGTAGAAAGATTATCACTTCAATCTCACAACCAATAATCATTTACACTTATTTCAAGAGCCAATCATCAGACATACGGAAGCTGGTGACTTACACTTCATACTGGAGGTGGTTGATAACGTCGTTGACGTGTTGCTGGGAGATTTCCCCATCGATCTGGGCCAGGTAGGTGTACAGGTCCTTGAACAGAGGGAAGGGAATCCTAGCTGGGCCGCCCTCAGGGTCCGCCGTCAGGATCTCACACACTGTCTTCATGGCACTGATGATGTTCTGTGACAAACATGGGTTTTGTTGTGGGTGAACACAAAACATGGAATTAGAAGTAAGGGGAAGGCACAATATATGTTTCAAATGCAACAACTTATTTTCAAACCTTCTGAATATTAAGGGTCTGATTTGGAAATTTTCCTATAAATTGTATATTTACATACGTATCCATTCTCACACAATGCATTTCTTCTTTTTCCTTCAATCCTTTGTGGAATCATGCTTGAACAAAGTTTCCAGCTTCTAAAAAACAATTCACCCGAACACATCCCAGCATCACCATCCAACAACTGGACCATAAACGTGATCCCATGCACAGTGACCTTACACGACCTGCCCATGTGTCTATCTCTGCCACATCATTCTCTTTCCTTAGACCTAACAGTCAATAGGAATTGCGATGCAGAGATGCTGAGGTGGGCATATCCATAAGACAGGCCGGGAATATCCTTCACGTTCCAGCGGTGGGATAAACGCATAGTGTGAGACAGGATAAGTTATAATTACACAATTTGTAGGAAAATTTCCAAAGTTTTAACCTTACCCTGTCTCACACTATGTGTTTATCCCACCGCTGGAAGGTGAAGGATATTCCCGGCCTGTCTTATGGAAAAGCTGACGTAGTGTGGGAAAGCGCAGATCCCAGGATCGCGTCCTCAAATCTGGGATGATCCTTAGACAAGTGGTCAGGAGAACAAGGATCCTTCAAATGAGCATACTGTGCAGCAGTAAGCGAGGAAACAGTGCTCAATGTTGGCAAAGAAGGAGAGCAAACATTAGGAGGCGGTAGAAAGAACGTTTGATGGCTGTGTCTCGAGTGAAGGAGCGGTTGCCAGGATATTCCAAATATCCGAAAGGGACCGGTGGCACTGAGGGAGACGTTGAACCGGGCTCATCAACCACATCCACTGTCAACAACCGAGATGACAGGCAGCACGGGTTCCCTGGGCATGGCAACAGATGGTGACAGACATCTTGTAAGATGACTTCTTTGAGTGGCATTTAAAAGTTGGAATGGTAACTAAGACTGTAATAAAGAAGTTGCTCATCCATAACAATTTTGTCTTAACTTGTAAGATGGTTTCTTGACAACAAAAGACGACCTTGTTGGGGTCAAAGGTTTCAATTTCCTGTCAGAATCACGTGACTTTGAGCGATTGTCGGATTCCCAACAACAACATTTCTGGAGATAAGTCCAAAAGGCAGAATCTGGAAGATGGCCGGGGCTCGGAACGACAAGAAGATGTGCTGGCTGCACCTCCCGCGACAATCACCACAATATAGGTGTGGGTCAGAAGTTAAAAGGTTTGGTGGCAGTGAAGGCAGCCAAGCTTTTTTTCTCTCTTCTGCATCTTCAACTAGTCGGGTAAACACGGGCTACACAAAGCCAGTAGATAAACTGTAGACTGTGTAGACAAACATGACTTCACACTGACGCAATGCGAAAGAAAATGATGTGGCAGAGATAGACACATGATCAGGTCGTGTATGGTCCAGTTGTTGGACGGTAACCATGGTGTGGTGGGGATGTGTTCGGGTGAGTTGTTTTTTAGAAGCTGGAAACTTTGTTAAAGCACGTTTTCGCATAAGTTGGAAGAAGAAAGATAAGCATCGTGTGGGATAGGATAAGTTTAAAAATATATTTGTTCCTATATTTGTCCTCCGATGTTATGATATGCAAGATTTGAAACAGATGTTTGCTTAAAGAAAGTGTCCAAATGTTTTCACAAAACTGTTATCAGAGTAAAGACTAAAGGGAGATAATCTGAACATAACAAGCTAAATATATGCAAATGATCAATACAATGTTTTTATTGACATTCTACATGTTCTATAAGCCAAGTACTTGCTTATGTTACATTACTCATCAGTTCTGAAACCCAATACTTGAACCTGCTTTTCTAAATTATTTATCAGTTCATAACCAATCACTCTGTAACCATGATAAGTGGGAGAAAAACTACCATTTACAAAGATATGGATGGAAAAACTGAAGTACATAAAGCTTACATCTAATTTAGAATTGAAAAGAAAATTTTCTTGTACACACACAAAATATGTCACAAGAAACAATTACCTCTCCTAGAGCTGACGCTGCCAGGGCAAAGAACTTTGTCCATTCTACATCTCCACCAAAGCTGCCAATTCTGACAAAGTCATCAAACTGTTCCTTGGGAAGGGCAAGGTCAAGCCACTTCTCCTCTATCACATTCAGGGGCACAATCTTCTTTGGACCAAGCTGAGGAAAACATTAGTTAGTTGTCATTAGATGTCCTACCAAGTAAATCGGCATAGAAAACTGTTCCTTCATCAATCGATATGCTGTAACATAATTACCAAAATAGCTGCTCTCAGTACTGTTCAGTGAAGCAGTGATGGCTACAACCAACATTATGGTGACCATAAAGTACACATTCATGAAATCCAACAACTATGTTCAGTAATTCTGAAAATTACCCAACTATACAGCACTAGAAACTAACATGTTTTTGTCCTCTAGTCCTTATGAGGGGTCGAGAAATGGTCATATGCGCTGGACATGTCTAATTGGGAATCTAAAATGTCCAGTTTAAAATATTGCTTACCGAACATTTAAATTTTTCTGTCAGGACATTTTAAAAAACAAATGGGGTGCAAATAATAGATGAGCATTATCGTATTCCTTCAGCGAATTCAGGTTAAGGACTCCTTATAATGAAAACATTTAGCAAAATCAATAAATATGGCAAATTTCGTATACCTTAACTATTGGGCAGTATAGCAAGAACTTCAGGACTAGTGCCAATTTCTACCATTCATTATGACAGTTGTCAACAATGGGAGTTGCATTGTGAGTGAATGTTGTTTTATGTCAGTCAGCAATATTCCAGCTATATCACTGCTGCCTGTAAATATACACGAGCCTCATTTAGTACACACCCCTCCAGGGAGCTGAGGGTGTAATTGGAAAGCACACCGATCCACTGACAGGTAATAATGTTGTGCGTTTGTGGAGGCTTGCATTCAAAGTGACGTATTGTCATAACATTATTGTGTGACAAGTACAGGGGTCCGAGAGATCTGTTGTGCGGAGAGTTCCCACAGGGGTAAGTCCTGCTGTAACAACCATGATGTAGGGTGCCACCGCCGCCTCACCTGTCTATTGAGAACCTGCAGCAATCCTGGGGTGAGGCCTGTATCGGTTTTCTGAGAAGCGATGGGCATCTCCAGTCTCTCCTTCACCGGGGGAGTCTCACCTTTAGACATTGCCCGGAAATACCTGAAAGTAGGTGACATAAAGAGAATTTTTATATTAGCACATTTAATCTTTACCTGTCAGAGGCTACTCAGTGTCTTGAAATATATTAACTATAGGAAAGAAATAAAGACAAGATACAAGTTGGATAAGCTGCCCAGTATGATGGGGGTGGTTAAGGGGTTCAGTCCTTCCATTTCTCCAATTTGAATCCCCACCATTGGAGAATGCTTCCAACCAAATATGGTTGATATCTATCTCTTAGTTCCAGAGAAGAAGTAGTTTAAAGCAATATAGCCAAATTAACCCTATTTGGCCCCGCCCTTCAGCCCCTGGGGGTTCAGCGCTACCATTTGTACAATTGTAAATCCTCACCACCAAGGGATGCTTCCAGTCAAATTTTGTTAATTTTCAATTAGTAATTCAGAAGAAGTTGTTTGAAAAAAATCTTGATGGACGGACGGCGGACACCACAGAATGGCAAAAGCTCACTTTTGTCCTTCGGACCAGGTGAGCTTAAATCTGTAGGCCTAGTAGAAGTTCCCAGAGACTCGGTGGTGATAGATGAAGCCTACATTTATCAGGAAATTATCAGCTTATCAAATATCTTTGCGACTACAAGTCATTTAAAAGGTCTAATCTAAATCTACATATCATGATTTCAGCTGACATTAACTTCACATAGATTCTAGTTGATGATAATTTTCTTTGTACATGTGCCACATGAAAACATCTTTCAACTTTTGAATGACATTCAAAGATGCTTCGCTTAAGATCACATGCGCCTGCGATAAAGTACACCTTTTTTAGTTATAGGAAAATGGACAGACGTCATGGCGCTGTTCAAATTACCTCCCACATGATCAAACGTATTCTTGGTAACATTATTAAATTTTACTGTCAAGCAAGATAGTGCATTCACATCAATTTTCAGTGGAATAGTTTCTCTAAACATCTCGTGTATTTGAATATTATTATCAGAGAAGAAATATGGCAAGATGATGTCAACCATCTCTCATGCCGCAGACATATCAGAAACCACTGTGACCATGCCACAACAGACACAAAATTGTCCAAGGTGGTCATTGGTGCCCTATGTTGGCAGGTATTCAGTGTAATGCAAGTGTACAGAATCATGTCTTCTCTGGACCAAGGAATGAGCAATCTTTGAAAAGTTTCACAACCACATGAACACCTGCTGGGCTCAGTGAGGGGCATTTAGCAACATTCTGCAGTTAAACAAAACATTCTGCAGTTAAACAAAACAACCGTTGTTGCTCTTCCTCAGCCACCCCCCGGCAATGGGATATCACGCTCCATGCAATCATGTCGGTAAGCACACTATTTCTTGCAGTTGCTGCAGTCTGCTAGCATTAGTGGTGGAAACAAAGTTGCAACTTTTAGGACAGAAAACACCTCAACTGTCAGTAACCAGCGACACCAAACGTTAGTTATGTCTACATGTGCTTCCTCCACCCAAAAATGAACTTGTGGAATGTTTCAAGTCGTGTGATTCAACTGAAGCAAATTAATACAGATATGGGAAGTTATTCTTGTCAAAATTCGAAAGTGGCCATCTGCCCTTTGTTCACAAAGGGAGGTAACTTAGGAAGTGTCAGGTTGTACTATCCATCATCTGACAAACCACCTGTTGGTGTGAACTTACAGATAAACTTGTCTTTTTCTCTCATTTGAATTATGCAAAATTTAAAGATTATTGAGGTAAAAACATGTTACTTTGTTTCGATAAGTAAATTTCTTTCAACTAACATTTCTTAATAAAAAAAAGTTGAGTTCTAAAAATGTGAAGTTTGGACAGTCTTTGAAGTATGGTATTTTTTAATGATGACTTACTCCCAAATGAGCCTTGGGATTCAATTTATTTACTTTTGAAACCACCATATTCTTAAGTCAAAGGGATTCTAATTACTGGAGGTATTTTCATTTCTGCATACGATCTGTCCTTTAACAATAGTTTAACACTTGTGTTACCATGGCTACAATTAAATGAGCACTTAATGATTCAAACACCAATACTGTTTTGACACACTAATATTATGATTTGCTTCCTTTCTCAATTTGTATAGCTGGCAACTGGTGAGAGCCTTGAGATACTCACGCTGCAGACCACGCCAGGACATCCTTGGGCTGGGTTCTGATGGCAGCCTTAGTGAACTGTTTGAGGATGTCGGGCAGCTCCGGAGGAATGTTGATCTGCTGGGAGCAGTAGTAAGGCTCATCTGGATTGGTCGGCATCTGAAACACACAAATAACACATTGGTGGTCTTTCTGAAGACTCAAGTCTGTGTTAACAGACCAGACAGTTCTGACCGAAACTGGATCAGTACGGAAGCAGTTGGTGGAAGTAACGATCAGATTTAAGGATGAACAACGTCTTTATTACAATTAGGAGCGAGATTTCAGTGTAGGTTTTAACACAATTATCAAGCAAGTGAATAGTGTTAGAACCTACACTGAAACTTAGCTCCTGATTGTAATAAGTTGTTCATCCATCAATCTTATCCTTACTTAGTACTCCAACTCCAAATGCCTCTCAAAGAAGTCAGTCGGTGGAACTTGTTGCATATGATGTATGCTTTGTCACAGGTAGTTCAGTTTGTTTTCCCTTGATGTCTCATAAATGCGTTATGGGGGTTTGAAATATGTGTAATCTGTCTTGCTGTGTTTACACTTCCACTTATCGTAATAAATCGTAAAAAAATAGTTAACATTGGGTTCAATACATCAAATGCATGTCATGACATTTTTAACAGCAGGTTCCTGAATGAGCAAACGCTTTAACAGCTTGGCTACCCCACTGCCCCTTATGTCCCGGAAGACTGCCAATACTGTAACAGGAATTGTTGGCATATTCTTCCGTCAAGTTAACCATTGCAAAGATAAGAAAGATCACACTGTTAACCATAGAAAATGGCTTTTCCAAAATATTGCTGAACTTCCCACATGAACTTTCAAAGGATTATTGTTGTAGTCCTACTGACCAATGTCAGTTGTCATTTGTTACCAAATTACACGGAAGCCTTCACATTGAGACCAATAAAATATTAAAAAAGGTAGAATCATAATTTCATCATAATCATGAGCACAAACATTGAATTTCGTCACATAAAACATTATCAACATTCAATGAGGGCTGACTTTGGTCAAATTATTTCATATTTGGACATTGTAGTTTCCTGACCATACAGGATAGGCATCGCGTTGTGTAGCCGAGAGACGCGATAGGGTCCTATAGTCAAGACATGGCCCTACATCACAGCCAAGAACACCATCTTCATAAATCCTATTCAGACTGTGGTGGCCGAATAACTCGTATTTTCCTGAGATTTTGAAAAAAATATTTCCCGCAGCAAATACTACAAACAGCTTGTAGACAACTCATGCAGAAACAGACTATAGTAATCTAGTGCATGTGGGCACCATGTCAACTGTCTACTGTCGAAAGATGAATTACTGCCTGGTCTGTTATTACTTCAAGTTGTGGTAATAAAATTAGGACAAGTATGCGTATAGGTAGGGAAATTATTTGGGAGTACAGCAATATCACCTTTTCTTTCACAAATCCCCGGGAAATGGGGTTTTTTTTAAATCTCAGAAAAATACAAGGATAATCGGCCACCACAGTCTGAATAGGATTTATGAAGGTGGTGTTCTCAGCCGTGATGTAGGGTCATGTCTTGACTGTAGGACCCCATCGCGGCTCCCAGCCAGGTGTTGTGCACACCAGTAACTCCTGCCTCATTTTTTTTAAAATCATATACCCTGGCTAGAAGTAATAAAAATATGTGCAAGAATGCAGTATATCAGACACCTTCCGCCATTTGGGTAAGGAATGTGCACAAGCTTATTCCTTAAAAGGGCACTGATCTAACGCAATTCCCCGGGACTGGTTGTTGCCTTTGTTATTGTTTTTTCCCAGTTAATACCCGGATGTATAGCAGAAATCTAGACTAGTTCGCGACCTCTGCTGCGCCATTCGTAAGCGCATAAGTCACTTTTATCGGTAGTAATAAGGGCGTATGGTCACATTGATCAACAAAATGAAATACAGTTTTCGAGATAATAAGGAAATGTAGGTATCTTTGTGAGTAGCATCGGTAATGGTGACGAAGTTTTGATAAGTCACTTGCTTGGTAATTTTGCGATTTTCGTTTACACTATTTTGACTTGCAACACAAAGTATATATTTCACCTGAGCATATGCTTTTTTTATAGTGTGTATATTTTTTTACTGTCAAATGTGTAACAAATTTATTAAACGTCTAAATATTCAGTTATTTTACAAAGTGACTGAAAAACATTTCCATCTGTATTATTATGACAACGAATTCCAAACATTTTGATGTTTAATGTCATCACCAAGAGACTGAAAATGTAACGTTGAAAAGTACATTTCTAAGTTGTTTGGCTTTTAATCCTACATAATAATCTGTTGTGATGTTTGTAGGCCCTTTTGATCGTCTTGATCAATCTGGACAGATTTTTTAGTCAAAATGACTGAAATATTTACACATTTTATAAATTGCCTGAGAGAATCACATTTTACAAATTGACGGTAATATATACACGTTTACAAAGGAAAAGACCTGTGACAACAACGTCTATCGCGCATTGAAGAATTTCCCAACCAAGACGTAGAGAAACAAGAACGAATCGGTTCAAATGAAGGAAAACAAAATGCAGATATCATAGTTACAACCTACCAAATTTATGTGTATAAGTTTTAGGCAGCTTCCTTGTTCGAGGAATGTATCCGTGAATATCCATACAAAGGAACAATATCCCACTCGTCTGCAGCTGTACAAAGAAACTTATTCGATGTCACGTGTCTCAGTAACAATCAAATATTTTAAAAGATATATATCGTTTCGGATATTATAACCTGTGTTCGTTTCTCAACTGATCGCTTGGATTGTTTCAGGTGTTTTACATAGGTGTCAAGTCTCAATGGTCGGCTGAGAAAGCCCACGTGACAACTATTTTCATAGCGTCCACGTTTCCTAAAAATTCCATTGAGTGATAGATAACAATGATCAATCAATCAACGTATTATCAGTTAACCCTTTGAACAAAGTATGTTGTTTTTACATCGGCACTTCGCGCCATGATATGAGTGTATTCCCTTTGTTTTAGTAAACCTAGACATGTAAACACTCACTCTTGACATATCCACTGTGCAAGATAACAGTGATTAATCAATCAACGTATTTTCTGTTAATCCTTTGATGACTAGGAACGATCCGTTGATTTAAGTAAATCAACTGATCATTCATCTCTTGCTGGGCTGCCACGTGCATATTACATAACACACATTTCACCTCACTTCAAACCTGGATTTAGATTGAATAATTACCCCAGACACAATAAATGCCAAATGGGAACCTTTGTCAGTTTATAGAAGTGGTGCTACCACTAGTTGTACCTGTAATAAATTCATTAACTGAGCATCAAGTGAATGACGACAAATACACAAGTGAAGGGTTATACGAGAAAACGTGGATGACAACAAGGGAGTAGTAATCGTATTATCGACGCAAGCCGAAATCCGAAAATGCTTTCACTGCATGGATACTGTTTTTAGTATTAAACTATAACCATCTGGGGTATTTCCAAATGATGACATCCGATGAGCTCCCTTGTTCTTTTTGTCTGTTTGTTTGGGCTGAAGAAATGAATTAACATGCGCCCTTTGTCGAAATCCTTATAGATCACAGTTAACCAATCAGTGTTCAAAAATGCGTAAAACAAATATTGCCTCCAGCCTCTAAGTTTATTTCGCTGTCCTTGCAGACGGTACCCCAGTCTCTGGTCACGCTCAGTTGCGTTGCGTATCATCCGGGTACTCACGGGGGAAAAACACAATAACAAAGGCAACAACCAGTCCGTTAGATCAGTGCCCCTTTAATAACAGTTTCTATGTTTTTTAGACGCCATTTTTGCAGCCTCGTTAAAACAACAGGGTTTTTTTTTTTTTTGGGGGGGGGGGTGCTTGCCCCCCAACTCAACTGCCTGAAATAAATGCGTTCGTAGGTAAATCAAATATTTAATTACCAAAGTAGAAAACAAAATACCTTATTAGTAGCATCAAACAAACATGGCGCATTGGTGTCAGATTATAATGCATGTGTGCCAAAATATGTTGTATTCATAATAATTTATGTGGGGTGAGGGATAGGTTGCCGTAACCCTAGCAAAATGTGAAGCTGTCTTCTTGATGTGATGACAAAGATCACATCATTGATATGATAATATAAAGGGAAGAAAATTACGAACAGGAGCACAAATAATTCCAAATGAAATGTATTTATTTTGTTTTTCAATGTAATAATGACAACAAAAATGGACATGGTGGTTAAAATTCGAGAAAAATGTTTTTTTCCATGACAAATATGTCAAAATATTCAAAAAGGGTGTGAATGATCGGCAGCCAATCTCGGACTAGGTTGGACAGTGTAACTGCATATTCCATACAATTGGAAATGAATGGTATTAGTTGTTTTAGGGACAATTCTTCGGTCTAAAGCTATGTGATGTATTTTTTTAATACGTGTGTGCGTTTCCCGTTATTCCCAATGAACATAAAATTTGAATGTATCACGTTATGGCGACGAAACTGGAAAATCTACATAAAATATTCCTTCATTGTCACCGAAAAGACACTCTTCATATGCTAAACCCTTCAACCTATACAATTTCACACACATATGGCCAAGAATATACTTACGATGTTTTGAGCTTGACACAAACGTGCACTGTATGGGTAGATCTGAAATATGACAGTCCGCTTTTTCTTCACCTGTTTTCAACCGTTGTTGATGGCAACCAACTGCGCAGAAAGTTGACGCACTGAAGCACTTCCGGGGAACAGATTTCTTATGAAAACGTTATTTTAGAAATACGTTTGATTCGTTTTCATGCATCATAGACCTTAATTATTAATGGCAATTAAGCTTAATTAGTATCTGTCCATGTTTGAAGTTTGAATTTGAATGTTGATTATCTCCCTTTGTTTACATCGCGCGAAGCCCACGTGGGTGTTTTGTCGTCTGCTCCTCAGTAAGCCTAAAGACTCAATCGACACAAGAGAGGCAATTTATCGCCGTTTCATTCGGTAATTTGTGTACTTTTTGACATTTTCTTTTATACGAAACGATGAATAGAAGTTTACTAGACACCTGAAATATGATTTCATAAACATTCGTCAAATTAAACCATTTCTTTTCTTAAAATGAGCATATGAATCTATGAGCTGTCAGAAGATAAGCTTTATGGACAAACTCTCTTTACTGATTTTGTGTTATTCTTAGCACATTTGCGCACATAATTTGATCACAAGATTAAGATTAAATCATTCTGATCTAACTAGATCATTAATCAACTTTTTATGTAATATTTATTCTGTAATTTAGTCGTGTTAAAAAAAGTGACGTGCATATAATATATTATGCCAGGGAAAACAGTGTTTCAGATTGCTTCATTTCGTAGGACATTGACTGATTGACATCCAAAATATTATTCAAATTTGGTAATGATATCAAATCTAGAAGAATTTCCTAAGGGCTATCCAAAGTTGATAAAAATCATGAAAAATCACTGGAAAGATGATCACAGCTGAACCCTGTGTAGCAGGACGTGGAGTCATCCCACAGATGACATCCTTACCTTGTCAGCTTGCTGACGGGGTTAACCTCTTTGGTCATTTGGACAAGGCATCCGACCTCGGATCAGAAGGTCCGTGGTTCGAATCCCATCACGGGACTCGAAAATTTTATGGCCGCAACATTGGCGCCCAAAGTGGGGCTGAGCACGTTCATATTAATTTGAACAAAATAAGCCTCAGTACCCTACTATGCGGCCCGGGACGTGCCTTCTGTTGACAGGGGGGTATGTAGCAGGGCATGGAGTCATCCCACAAATGACCTCCTAACATTGTCAGCTTGCTGACGGGCTTAACCTCTTTGGTCATGTGGACAAGGCGTCCCACCTCGGATCAGAAGGTCCGCTACACCTGCATATAATATTTTATCTATATACAGGCTAACAGCACAACATTAGGATATTGGGACATTGAGACACCAAGTTATTTTTTTGTCTTCTCATACTGTCAATCTTTGGTTGCCTGGACCAAATATGATTATGATGCAGAGATGAGAAAGTTGTCATATTATACTGGTGTTAAGCCTTAGTTACGGTAGCTAGTATTCCTGATGAAGTCTGTGTGTGAGTTGATTTAAAGCTGCATTTTAACAGTATTTCCTTATATCCCAGCTTTATGTGGGAGGATAGATCAAAGGTCTTAGACATTTACCACTTTGATTAAACCCATGGGCATGGGTATGGTGCTGACAAACCAAGAAACATAATATCGGCAAACTGGATTTCAAACCAATGATCATTGATTTCTGGCATGCCTAGGGTACACAACTCATATGACTGCCATAAACATGTTACAGTAAACAAACATATAAAACTGTCTAACACATGTCATGTTTAAGATTTTGTTAGTTGAGGCTTGCATGTGATTACTCAAATCAAACTGAATATTTGATCTACTTTTCAGATTTAGTCACAACGGTTAGTTTTGGAGGTGATTTGGTTGTAAAGACATTAAATTGAGTGATGTCAACAGCTCAACTCCTTCGACCTCAAGAGAAGACAGGCACTGTAAGGATTGTACCATTTACATTCAAGCAAGATAACAAACAAGAAAGCCAGGTTTTGAAAATAGTTTCATGCACAGCTTTTTCTCAGTCTTTAATATTTTTAGCTGTTGCAAAACTTAGTACATGGTTCATTTTTTAAACATTATCTCAATTTATGTCATCTATTTATCTTTTGCCCCATGAGTATTCTAGGTAGAATAGGTCTCAAGTATTCTATGCAGGCTAGGTGACTTGGCTGATTATATTAAATACACATATCATACCATGATAACACTGATCATTGCTTGTTGTTTAACTTCAGCATGTTCAGTCATTGATTTGCCTGGTCCAAACTCGATTATTTTCAAGCCGCTGTGATGATGCTGATTAATGCTTCACTTCTTGCACACATGATCATGTTGGATCGTTTATTTTAGTGGGCGTCAATATTCCCCAATGAACAAGTTACAGAGCAGCAGTCTGCCTTGTTTGTCAAGAAGTTACTGGCTGTGGCAATTTCAAATGTGACCTACCTGAGGGCCATATTCCCAGAGCATGCTTTTGGAGACAGGTGTTTAGAGGGTAATGTATGAAGTGATATGTATTTTATATAATTCCAAGGAATTACTTTTAGCCAATTATACTTGTATATGAAATAAAATGTATAATACTTGTGTCACATTTATTAATTATGAGGCAATTACATTGATGTGGCATGATAGTTGTTTATGTAAGGAAACTCATATAAAATGTATTTCTCGTGAGAATTAGTACCCCTTGTGGAAGCCAGGGTATAACATACCCGATACTTCCTGTTACACGTAGGGTTTTATGAGTATAACATTGGTTTTGCCATCATGGAAACAGAAGGAAACTGAGGCTTCAAAATGATGTCATGCCTACTTGGAAGTCAAACAACTCTCTTTTCTTGCAATCAGTATTCCCACACTAACGCTGTATAGTAGTTGTAGTCTCTCTCACTGTACCTGAACCATATTATTTTCCCTTCCGCCCAGCCCTTTCTGTAGTGCAAAAGCCCTTGATGAAGCAAGTATAGATTTTCCTCACTGGAGCTTCTTTTCAATTTAAATGGAGTTATTTGATTCTATCAAAATTAGGTATTTTCAGAGACAAAGCGTTAGTCTATAAAGTAGTTGATTATTCACGGCTTTCAAAAATCTCAAAAGAGATAGCAACCTCATGCACTGGACAATGAAACATTGCAACATTGCCCTGAAAGTCTGAAACAGTGCAGCAGTATAAATAAAGAAGGTTGTCAGCAGTACAAACTACTTGTTATTACTTAAAGATACCTTTTGGACTTTGAATTTTATGAAGGCTTATGATCTTGTGGTATAAAAACAGGTTCAAAACACTTGTAATGTTGAATATTCCTTTCTTCTGATTCTTGAATGTCATGAAACAAAATGCTTAATGACATCTCACTCATGCTATATAGTACAGTAATTGATAGTACCACACAAGTTGACATCACAGGAATTTGAATTCCAATGAGTTAATAATTAACTTAAGTAACATGAAACTGATGTTCCTTAAATTGGCTTTGCATATGCTGCACCTGACTTTATTTTATATAACTTCAAATACAATTCAACTTCTTGTGCAAAATATTATGATTTTGAAATAAACATACACTGACATATATGTATGTTGTGATTACATCTGTTTGTTGCTGTATATTGCTACTAGATTTGAACCTGAAGATACTGAGAGATGATAGTTCATGTCCTGGAGCATGCCAAGTCATCAAATGGGTCAAGGGCTGCTTTGATGCTCTAGACAAGAAATATGTGAGTACATACAAGTGTAAGAGGTCAGCTTGTATGCATATTGTTAAGGTGTCATTTGAGTCTTGTAATTTATGCCTGTTATAAGAGTTAATAAAATGAATCAGGTGGTCAGGCTCTGTGGCTTGGCTGATTGAGTGTTATTCTGCCCTGATGGTGTCGCTTGTTGTTCATGCTATCAGCCACTGGCTTGCCTTTTGGCAATTATTTACAGGTACATATTGCTGACTGTGGAATAAACAACATTCACTCTCTCACATATGTGTTACTGTGAATATAATGTCTTCCTGCTGAAGTTGAATATTTGTTAGATATTTAATATCATAAGTGTCAATCATTGTTAAATGTTTGTGCCTCTAATTCAATTCTTTTTCCCCCTTTTCAGCTAAGAATGCTTGTGATTGGGGTAAGTTAAGAATTTCAGCTTATCTTGTTATATATATTATGTGCAGTAAGCTCATGGTTTATTTACGTCGCTGAATCTATGAATGATTAGACTATTTACTTTAGTGTGGTTTGAAGTTCATGTCTGATTGTCATTTGTTTGAAACTATTTATTATGGGAATGTCACTGACATGCTTATTGTACATATATACAGCAGATTCACAGTTTGCTTGTATGTTTAGATCTACTTGGACCCAGATAACCCAGAGGTAAGTTGCATGTTTTATATAGCTGAATCAAGCCCTGTATGTTAATGTAATGTAGTACTGTTTAAAGAATCAAGAAAAAAATAGTGTTTTCATCTAGCTGAATTTGAAAGACCAAATTCATGACAATAGCCTTTCTGATAATTGATTATGCATTTGGTTCTTGATTTTTATATGCAATGAAGACATACAGTTGCTTTTCTAATTTCAAATTTTCTTCCATATCTTGCAAGATATGTCCCAATATCATGATCTTTCTTTGCTTTCAGACTGTTATAGAGTCATACACCTTCAAATTTTCCTACTCAGCAGATGGGGGCATTGATATCTACAGGTTGTATTATCTTTTTTATTAACCATAGTGTTAAGAAATAACCGAGTTCACAAAAAGCTGTTAAGCATATGTGCACAAGTTAAAATGTCACTTCATGTGCACCATGTGTAACTATGGTGAGTTGGTTGATATAAGGGGGGAGAGCCATTGAGACGGAGTTGAAATATATGGCAATTTTGTAGTAAAGACTGTTTGATTGATAATAATACAATGTCTTTGCTGAAGTTTGAGTTGATCTGAGTTGTCAACAAGTAATCACAATGCCATGGGGATATAAAACAATCTTATAATAATATCTATCAGATGCATCACAAAATTATGAAGCAAATAACACAAACTAGATGATCAGAAGGCTCTGGTTATTATTTTTCATTCTGTAAAAAGAACAAGTTAAAACGGTTTTGTAGGTGGACATATCAAAATGGTTTTCATTTTGTGATTCTAGCCACTAGTCTGATTAGTTTGTGGTTAAACACGTTCTAACTGGGTAGCCAAGCTAAAAATACTAAGATCAACTGAAAATACAGTGTTCCTGCAAGCTTTTTTAAACTTCAAGTCCCAGTTGACTGACAACTATTAAAAAATACGAGTCCCACCCAATTTTTATCAGTCCCCACTTTTCAGTTAGTGGTCTCATGCACAGTCAGTCATACTTTTTGTTTCAGCTAGTAAATTGGGGAAGCGGTTAAGCTGTATTTACATGTAATGTTAATCACAAATTAAATCACAAATTTTTGAGTATGACTTTATTGTTCAGGAACAACAAGAAAATTTCCAGTGCCTACACTGCAGCTGAGACAAGAAAGGCAACAATCCGTCTTTTGCGCACCATTGTTGTACTGACCCAAACACTGAAATCACTGCCTGACGATGTCATGATGACCATGAAACTACTCTACTATGATGAAGGTATGACATCAGCTACAAGTCAGAAGTCATTTAATCTTTGCAAAACATTTCTCAGTAGACAGCATAGGTTTAGTCAATTTTGCCTCAAACAGTAACAGAGGTTCAGAATTTCAGATTGATTCATATGATGATGACTACTTGTTATTCAAACTGTCCTAAATATAATAATTTTTTCAAAATCAGTAATGACTTGAAGGAGAATGCCCTATAAAACTTGAAAAAGACCTTCTGGAAAGATCCTATGCCTTTTGCCAACAGCAAAATCACCAAGTGGTAAGGTCTTATTATCAGAGACTATAAGGTGCCTTAATGATTCTATAAGATTACTTTAGGTTGATATTGTGCGAGGTTTTGCCAGAAGCAAACTGAAAACATAAAAAGTGAGAGTGGATGCAACTAATTTGGGATGCAACAAGATCATTAAAACCAGTTTAATTATGGTCAAGCAACATAGTGTGCATGTTACATTTACTGGTCATGGCTGATTTTGTTTTCCTCAATCAATAATAAGAAAGTTAACAAAAGGTTTCACAAACACTTCATATTTCATTTATTGTTAGGACAGTATCCCATATCCCCAGAGCTCATCGATGTCAATCTAAGATAGTGAAATTTCAAAGGAAGATTAGTAAAATAAACTGAAATCTGTACTGAACACTTATGAACAAGCAACAATATGGGTTTAGTGCTTGTTTAGTAGCTGCTGAAAATATACTTTATTTTGTGGACATAAATCATTTGAAAAACTGACATCCATAAGGTACAAAAGAATTGCACACAGTGTTAAATGTGCTGGCATGAAAGCATATATTGTTTGTTTTAATTATATCCTAACCTGATAAGCAATAATTAGAGGAAATAACAATTTTACAGTCACTCCTGCGGACTATGAACCACCTGGTTTCAAGGCAGCTGAGTCGGACGGATTTAAATTTGATGAAGAGCCAACTAACATAAAAGTTGGAGATGTCTCTACTGTAAGTATACGATTTTGAACAGGAGCAGGTGTTATTGTTATGTGGTTGTGTATATTTGAAATTGTAAAGATATCCTTGTTGATTGTCCATAATATATCACACCAGCTTTCTATAAATTAACATTACCAGCTTGTATGTATGATCTGAACTTAGGGGGATACATATCAATAATACTGAAAATAAACTTGGACAGTATGCTATGATACTGATTTATTTTTAGATGCACCAGAATCAAGCCTCAAAGCTGCTTTAAACACTTGCATTGTCAACAAAAGTGCATATTTTTACATCATTGCTGAATCAGCCAGAAAGTTCATTTAAAAACACTTAATGACGGATGACAGATCTCAGTGGTTTTAATGATTCTTTCAAATTATCATTTCTGTAACGGGTTATCAATAGAAATACAGCCAAACTATCCTATTTGCCATTTCCACCAATTTTTTATGAAAGTAGCTCAGTATGAATCTGCATTATGTCGATAACCCATTTTGAAGAGATGTTTTAAGTGCTTGGGCAAAGTTCTACAGTAAGCATGAAATATCTTATGTCTATGATGTTGATAAAATATTTATTGAACCTCTGTGGCTTAATAATCACAAAGATTCCAAATTGGGGATAAAAAGTTTGATGAACATGAATAGAAATCAAATTAAAGACATATGTAACAAACATGGTTTAATGAATTTCCAGGAGTTTAAGGACAACTTTGATATTTAGTGTACGTTTTTGGATTATAACATTAATTAAAACTGGCAATGTACCCCATGCATGCTTTAAATGGCAAAGAAAACTAACCCTTTGGTTTGAAAGGATATACTTCATCAACATAGAAAATGTACATGAGACACTAAATTAATAGAATTTCAGTATATATTTATCCATAAGGTTATTTATTAGGAAAAAAAATTGTGTTAAATAAAACTTATTGACAATGATATTTGTTCTCTTTGTAAATCTTCAAGTGAAAGTATATTCCATGTTTATATTAAATGCAATGTTATTAATGGTTTCTGGAGAGAACTGGAACAACAATTGAACCAGTACCTTCAAGATATGTTTCATTTTACTGCATTTTCCATTATGTTTAAAAAAATATGAAAATTACATAATCACCTATTTCTGTTAGCAAAAAAACATATTTATAATCTATTGCCATATAGCCTAAACTAATGCCTATTGTCCATTTGAAGCTGTTTGTTAAAAAGTTGTACATTGAATATTAAATGTAACATATCAGTCTTGGGAAATAAAAAATAAAAACAAAACAAAACAACAAAAAACCAGCTTGTATGATCAAGATATTTTCTCTTATTTCATATCACACTTGAAATACAACCTTGCAGCCTTTCCACACGTGAGTAACTTAAATAGACAAATGGAGGTCAAATAACTCCACTAAGATATATATACAAAACAACAATTGCATGTTAAATGATATAAGAACATTATTTTGTAGTATATGTAGAACATTGTTAAGAGATAGGGATCTTGGTTTTGTTCCTACCGATACATTTTACTTGTCAGTTTATCTGCATGATCTTTTCTGCTAAAAAACCTTGTCCAACCTTACGTAATAAAGCTCTTTAACAAACGTTGTTGCGTGACTGTATGTTGTTTTACACCACAGAGTATAGATTAGCTGTACCATGGTACCACTATTGACTGCATGAATCAAGGATCCATGCTGCTGCAGCATAATTGTAACATTGTAGCTGATCCTCATTAGTCAACTCTCAACAAGCAGGAAAAACTGGGGACCTATTCTTCCCCAGATTTCCCATTTGGACTGTCATTTTGAACATATTTATGATTTGAAAATCATTTGTCTTAAAACCATAAAGCTGTATTTGCATTACATGTTATGACAGTGTAAAAATGCGTATCAAGACTGATGGCAAGCAGTTTGAGATGAAGGAGGACCCTGCTGAGGAGGAGGAGGTTCACGAAGCGTCTCAGGAGATCTCCAACAACGGCCTTGATAACGAAGTCGTTGATGGCAGCGTAGGTTCACTTTTCGTATATGATTTGTGATTCTTAGTGAGTGAGTTGGGTTTAACACCGCTTTTAACATTATTGCAGTCATATCATATGTCAGCTTAATGTGGGAGGAAAGCCCGAGGTGATTGAGGTCTCAGACGTTTACCACTTAGGTGAAACCCACGAGCATGGGTATGGTGCTGACAAACCTAGAAACATAATTGGGGTGAACTCGAATTCGAACCTACGATCATAGGTTTCTGGCGTGCCCAAGGGACGCAATCTGCACAGCAATTCGCGGCGACTTGGCCACCCGTGCCCCCATGATTCTTAGTGGTAATAAGAACCTGTATTCATCCTTTATAGCAATATTTGTATTGTAATTGTTACTTATACACCTTTGAAAAGATATTTTGATAGATTTAATGGAAATGTTGAGGAACTTGGTCAGAATTATTCTGTGAGTGAGTGAGTTTGTTTTAACGCCGCTTTTAATAGTATTCCAGTTATATCACGGCGTGTATTCTCTAACTGATAGGGCTGCAACGAATACGAATATTAATTCACGAACACAATAACAAGTCAGCAGTTGATGTATTATTTGTTGTATTCAGTGAAACTATAACAACATAAATTATTTGACATGGTTTATTTAATTTTCAATATAATATACATTTATATACTCCACTTATTCAGGTACTAGTATCTGCTCAATTGGAACAAATACCAGTGACCACAATACTGTCCAATTAAATATTATGAGAGTGTTGTCTTTAAAGAAATCCTTGCATATATTATGTTCTTATGGATATTTTTAAGTACAGGGTATGTAAATGTACATGATTGCTTATTCATAAATATTTTATTCTAGCTACCACGAATAACGAATTCAATTCATGAATGGATACAGTTCGATTCACTGAATACGCAAGTGAATCGTAACAGCCCTAGTAAGAGGCATACAGAAATAGAGTCTATGTAATTTTTGTTCTCTAAAACAGAACACGGCAAAGGAGACAACTGCAGTGTCACAGGAGGAAAGGCAGCTGTCAGAAGAGGGTGAAGGGGTAGTTGAGGATGTCAGAGTCCCAGAAGTTAGTCCTGCTAAACCATCCCCCGGTGAGTACACTTCAAGAAGATGGACTTTTAAATAGATTGTGTTTTATTTAATACCTGGATCCAGTATAGTTCATTTGTTGTCTTTTTGTAATGTGGATGTGGTGTACCCCAGTGGATAAAGCATGGGTACAATGTGGGTTTTGCCTATTCTTGTCTCCTGCTGTGATATGGCTGAAATATTTCTGAACCAGTGAAAAACTACAATCACCCTCTCTGAAAACTTTTCTGTCTAAAACCACCGTATTTATTAATAATTGTAACTGCATATATATTGATCTGGAAAGCAAGAATACATTAAACTGAAACAAGTGGTAACCAGACTCTCTTATTACAAAGGTATTGACACGAATTCAGCAGAGGTGATGTCCCTCTCAAGTGAAGTAGCCGCAGACGAGTACAAAGTCCGATGCCCATGCGGATGCAATGAGGTAGCTCTGAATACAATGTGGATAGGCTTAATGCTTAAAGATGCAAAGGAGCAAGAGCAGAGGCCCATTATTTTCAAGGAATGGAGAGTTACGAGGATATTCCCCTACTTAAAACTCATCATTACTTTACACTTTGACAAAATATTTTGTTGTTAAAAATATTTGAAGAATATACCGGGACACTTTGTAGCCTGTATATATACTGTGTGAGTCGCCCTTACGCAATGCACGAGGAACGTGTTCTCTGTCGCTGTTGGACGTGCATCAAGCTCCGTCACAAGCTGACATTTACAGTGCATGGTACACGGCTCTTCATAATGTCATTGGGTCCTAAACTAGTATTTATCAATCGCATGCACATACATGCTGAAGGAAATAATAGGAAACATCGAGCCCCGAACAAGGGTACCTATAATGTTGGTTTAATACAGTGTACCAACATTTGTCTCCTGCAGGATGACGGGCTGATGATCATGTGTGCTGTGTGCAAGTTCTGGCAGCATGGAGTCTGTTTCATTATAACTGAGGAGGAGGACGCTCCAGAGGAACACATTTGTGACGTCTGTGCTACGGTAGGATGTCATAAAACTTGTGGTTACATCCACTCCATGAAGGCCCTGGTTCCTCAAGCACCATGTTGTTTGTCGTTAGAAGCAATTATATTGGATCAGCTGGTCAGATTCAATGACTTGGTTGAATGTATCCAGACAGCCACTACTTGTCTGGCCCTTACTCGACTGTATGCAGGCTGCCTTGATAAAGCTGGAGTAATGCTAATCAAACATGATGTACGTTAATTTTAATATTCCAGGAAAGAATAATATGCAGAATAGCAGAAATTTTATTCTGTACCGGTACAATCATTCAAAACACATCCTTTTCTTTTAAGGTTTTCAGGTTGTGACTTTTGACCTAATTGTTGCTAAAACAGTCTTGTCTTATTTGATTGGGGTACTTTTCTATTTGTTTTCAGGCAGTGAAAATGTGTACCGACCCTCAGCTGTCAGACATGACTTCAATAGCTGTACAGGTATCATGCATTCTTTCTCGCAAGTTCGGTTATTCAGTACATCACTGTACGGCATCTCTATATCATGCCAAAATAATTTCAGTTTCATGTACTTTTAGTTCTGGCACTGCAAGAAAGCATGACATTCAGTAATCCCTGGTATGAAAGGAGTATTCAAAGCTCTTGTACATGTTCTCTGTCAAATAGTGTCTTTAGCTCTTTGCTAATATCCAGTTGTAAAATTCTTTTGAAGACAAGTAAAGGAAATCTTTCTTTTGTCACCTGGCTTGAACTTCAAAAGATTCCAGTTACCTGACGTTTGAAACAAAGAAAGATAATCCTACCTTGACATTTTAGAATCCTGCGTTCTGATTGGTCCACCAGGAATATCAAATCTATGTTAGACTGTTATTTCACCTTGAAAGAGAATATTTATGTACTTATGCAAATGTATTTGTGTTTGAAGGCAACTTGTCTGTGGCGTCGAGCTCTGCTGGCCTGCACGGACATGAACAGGGTGCTTGCGCCTCATCTCGCTCGGCGGCTCGGAGTTGAAGTCACAGTGGCACAAGGTCTCATGAACAGACTAGAGAAAGAAAAATTCATCAAAAATCCGGGGAAGGGCAAGAAGCAAGTTATTTGCTAAAACTACTTTTTTACAGAATCATGTTTGTTAATTTTCTGTAACAATGTGTCAATGAGGGAGCCAGCTGGTCTCCCTAAATCTTTACCTTTTAACAGAAGTGTTTTGCCAAGGAGCACTTTCATGCTTAAGTTTGAACACTAGCTAGCCAAGTGGGTTTTGCGTTGGTATATTTCAATTCACCCACTCAATTCTAGAAAAAGACAAAACACTCATATACGTAACTTCATTACAACTAGAAAAAGAAAACTGAGAGGAATTGATACACAATTGAATCCTTGCTCAAATAATAATACTTTTCTCATTTCTTCAGACTGGGAAAACTAGTTGACAAGTCATTGGTGAAGACGGAAGGGATTAAAAAATACTTCCAGAAAAATAAGACAAGAGAACCTCAAGAATTAGACAAAAAGAAGAACGTTAGTATTGATTAGATAGTTGGAAATGAATGATTAAAGGGCATTGCACATCTTGTAGCTATGTTTGGCAAAAGGATATGGCAAACAATTTTCAAAACATGTACGAGTCCATTTTCTCTTTTGGTAACTATTGGAAAGAAATTGACACGTCCTGCTCACCAAGAGGCAATATCAAACGTTCAAATAAAAGCATTTACACGTACTTTGCATGATGCAGATATATTTTCATGTCATATTTAAACATTAAGATAACTGTTTTCTTACAGATTGAAGAACCTCATCGAATTGAAGTAAATGTGGTTGACAAAAATAACTATTCAAAGAATGAGGTTGGTAAATACAATGAAATTGTATAAAATACACAATATCATTTGTCTTTCTTAAAGGTCAAATTTATTATGTATTAGGTGATGAGAAACCACATCTCAAAATATCCAATTGATATGTCACTTGTGTAGAATAACATTTTATGCCATAATTACTTTCACTCTGTCTCATTCATGCTTTTCTGATTGTGAGATAATACATAGAACATTTGGCTTTTCTTTCCAAATAACATTTTTATCTCATCTCGAAACCTGAAAAGGTTAACATGAAATATTAATCTAGTCAGGTCACTCGTTGAGGTAAACATGTTATTATTAATATCTCCTATGTAATGGACTGTTATATTATATCTCCACTCTATGTGATAAATACCCTGGACCCATTGCCTGGCGTAGCTTTGTTTCAGAGATGAATGTCAATATCTCTTATCACTCCGAATTCAAAAGAGATATTTGATTACAAGCGCGTGTCTAGAGGCTTGCTATTCATATCAGGCTCAAAACAAAACTGTGGTAACTTATGGGTCCAATATATTTATCTAACAGAATTGAGATGTGATGCCCTGGTTACCCGTAATCGTGGATGAAATCTAGTAAGAAAGGTTTTTATTATTCACTACAGTTTGCCATTAATTGAAACACAAATATGATAAGCAAAAATGCAAGTAAATCCATTTGTTCTAATTCATTCAAAAGTCTTCTTAATGCTAAAGCCTTGATTTCGTTTAGGTTATACTGATATGAACATTGATGAACTTTCTTCGGGACATGCCTTATAGTAGAATAATCCTGTGGTTTATATGTTTGGAGTTCAACTTGAGACACATGGTGCAGGGACAGACACGGCCACTAGTCTAAAAAACTAGGCAGACTAGTTGTTTTATCTGTTATTTTCCATAACTCTCTGGTTGGAAGTGAGCTGTCAACTAGTTAGATATGAACATTGGTGTCTGATGGTGTCATGAAGCTAATTGGTTATGTCAACTGTTTCAGGTTGAGATGTTGGTGGAACAAACTGAGGGAATCAGTCTCTGTGGCAGAAGACTCCGGTCAAAAGATAGTTTGCAGGTAATTTGTCAAAACAATTTTAGAATTGCTCTCTTTTCTCACTGGGGAGTGCAACTGAGGAGGATTGTGTGGTTACAGTGTTTGACCACGTTTGAATATTGCTGACTGTCACATTAAACAACATTGCTGTAAATAATCCAGTTCTTTAGGGTATGATGACACACACTCATCCAGGTAACACATTGTGACAAAGCATTCCTCAATATTCATCTCTTACAACAAGCATATTTTACAGGGGACTTATTGTGACCCCAAATCATCATGGGGATAGAAGCATATTCTTAAAACATAATTTCAAACACTTTTTTCACTCACTTGTCACACTGATATGTTTTAAGTTACTGCCAGTTCACAGAAATGCTATTTATACATATGACTATTCCAGAGCAAGGAATCAGAGATATGTACAGTTACAAAGGAAGTGGAGTCTCACAGAAAGAGGGGAAAGAAGAGAGCTTTCTCAAAAGTAGATGATGTAAGTTGAAGTCCGGTCCATTAATCAACAGACTGTTGTTGGAGTCTGTTACACAGTAGGTTGATGTTGAAATTCATTGAATAATGGCTGTTTTGGGGGTCTGTTACACAAAAGGCTGTTGTTGAAGTTCATTATGCAATAGGCTGTTGTTGAAGTCATTGAATAATAGGCTGTTGTTAGAGTTTGTTACACAAAAGGCTGTTGTTGAAGTTCATTATGCAATTGGCTGTTGTTGAAGTCCATTGAATAATAGGCTGTTGTTAGTGTCTGTTATACAGAAGGCTGTTCTTTAAGTCCATTATTCAGTAAGCTGCTGTTGAAGTTCATGATTGAAGTCCACTATATTGTGGTCTCAGTCTCTGATTTTGTCAAGGTTTGTTGTCAATCTCATTAAAATCAGATCTTAGTTCTCGCTATCCCTAAACAAAGATCTGAGGACATCCCATTACAGGTCACGTCAGAACGACCTTTCATCCAACCAATCAGAGCGTCGCTTACCAGATCATGAAAGTGACTGTCCGAATGTGTTTTCTAAGCATGCAACCACGAAATATTTAACAAGGGGTATTCCGAACGACAGTTACTGGTTTTATGATTATATCCATACAATCTAGGCCATCTATAAGCCATTCCAGAATGTTCTTCTTACCAGTTTTAATTTTTTTAATCGAGAATATATCAAAATATGTTTCGAAGCGTAGTTGCCAGTTTGGAACTAGTGTCGTAAAGCTTGAGAAACCTGCCTTCTGATTGGCTGTTGATTTCTTGTCAGTCATTTCATTGGTCGGTCAAAATTTGGGAAAGGTCGTTCTGACGTGACTCGTAATGGTATCATGCCCATCTACATGCCCTTATGACCATAGGTGGTACCATTATTGTGGGTGGGTATGGCATACTGCTGCCATAAAATCCAAGCCATTTGACAACAGGGGACACTATGGGAATATCACCCAGGTCTTTGGCCTGATAAACCAACAATTTAGCCACAAGGATACCCTACCGCCTCAAATTTGCAGAAATTGTAACAAGTTGCTTTCTTTCAACTACAGCTTTTACTCTATTTTTTTTACGTTTCAGGCAAATGAGTTTGAGGTGAGTAACAGTCAGGATATGGAGGACTCCCGCTGTGTGCAAGCAAGGAAGAAGAAAGCCAGTGTTGTTGCCAAGGCTATCATGGTGTAACTGCTATCATGGTGTTATTGATGTGGTACTGTAGCACAAAGTTCTGGTGAACAATGAATCTTAAAGAGGTTGTCCAAGATTCCTATCCAAATATGTCGTTAGAATCAGCCATGTGTAAATTGTAGAATGTAGTAAACGTAACTAGTAGTAGAAGTACCACTTAGCTTATTTATTGATAATACTGTTTGATCTGAAATTAACTGGTTACCAGATTAACAAGAAACAGATTACTGATAGAGGACATAGTAACAGTTGAGACAAATTTCAGACAAGTTTACCAGATGAAGGAGAAAGAGGCTGAATTTGCAAAACAATATGTCATTGGCTCAAATACATGTTCTGTAATAGAGCTGTTAAGACCTTTTCTGTTACATTTTTACACCTTTGTCCATAATGTAGAAGTAATTTATCAACTTGTGTTAAAACGTTGTGAATTTAATTATCTCAGTGATTGTCCATTACAACAAAAGTTACTTAATCTAAGAAAAGATACTTGTTATTTGTGCAGAAGTTCTGCTCAGTTACCTTCTTGTTATCATGATGTGATAATTGTTATAGCTATTCATAACATTACTTACATATTTACAATAAACAGTTTTCTGTTGTATTGACTCCTTGTTGTGTTTTTAACTATATTCAACCATAACTTTGTAGCAAAGCCATGTACGTCAAAAGGCGGTTCATAGTCTTCAGCAACCCTTACTTGCCGTAAAAGGCGACTATGCTTGTCATAAGAGGCGTCAAAAGGCGGTTCATAGTCTTCAGCAACCCATACTTACTAAAAGGTGACTATGCTTGTCGTAAGAGGCGACTAACGGGATCGGGTGGTCAGGCTCGCTGACTTGGTTGATGCATATCATAGATCCCAATTGAGTGGATCGATGATCATGATTTCAATCACTGGATTGTCTGGTCGAGACTCAATTATTTACAGACCGCCGTCATATAGCTTCAGTATTGCTAATAACATTTTTACAGCCGTTTCCAGCCACAAAACCTGATTTTGCGACTGCTTCATATGTCAACAAATAAGTAACTTTCACTTTGTGGGAATTCATTGGAGTATGAACCTTCATAGAGTGAGGGCTGAACTGCAATGTTTGGCCCTCATTCTATGAAGGTTCATACTCCAATGAACGCACACAAAGTGAAAGTCAATTCTTATAATTTTTTTATCTCAAAGGATGTAGGCCCAGATCAATACACACTTTTATTTAGTATTTTGTACGTGTGAAAACATTCCACGTGTAGGAATACATACCGTGGCGTGACATGAATCAGGTGATTGTTTGATTTTATCAAAACAATGTTCAATGTGTCAATCAAGGCAAGTCGAGGCGAGAAGGACTGCAACAGTCAGACTAACGAACGGGTACAAATATGTCCGGGAGAAGGCGGCTGTTTCAAATGAAATGGTCAATAACCTCCAGATTCTCACATTAGTTCCATGGGAACGGGAAGACAGTTGAAAAAATCCGAGTTAGAAATAAAACATGAAATTTGTTGAACCCAGGCGAGCGAGCCTGCACGTTTGCTGTTTCTTACCTTCCCGGCCTCCGGCTTCAAAGGGTAGTTTGAATAATGAATATGCATGAATTTCGCTAAATTTTCTGTGCATGACGATACACATGAGCAAAAAGGGAATTCCCTCGCCTGTGATATTTGGATTCCGGCATTCCGCAGTAATTGAAGTAGTCCGCTTCGGTGGGCGTGGGTATTTGTTTGCATCTATTAGGCTATTCAGCAAATCAGTATGCAGGAATTACAATGAACACAACGAAAATTTATATTGAGGATACACTTATGACCCTCAGCTTCGCGGTCATGTGACCGACCTCTCGTCCAATGGAAAAGCCGTATATTGTGTAAACTTACAATTAAAACAATATCTTTGATCTTTGAATGGCATATAGAAGTCTTAGAAATAAGGAAGAGGATTTATTGATGTCAACTTCTTTATTATGAGGAACACAACGTTTCAGTTTCCTTCCTCAGGTGAATAAATGCTAAACCCTGCCCCATCGTCCATCAGAATCACCATACTCTACCAGGGCCCTGTTACTCTTCAGACTTCTCGCCTCATCAAGAACAAGCCAACATAGATGTCACCTTTTGTAGCGGCAAGTCCATGAAGACCTATCTACAAGCCAATGACACATGCACCAGTAGCGCAAGCCCTATCCACAAGGGATGTCTATACGAGATCTGCAACTGTGGCCACCAATACATAGGAGAAACCCGCAGACCCCTCAACACTTGACTAAAAGAATATCAGGCCTCTGTCAACAAACTAGACCTGAAATCCACTGTTTCCGAGCACATCCTCAAGAACCAGGACCATAACATCATGTGGGAAACCGCCAGGGTCCTGTCTACCAATAACAACTGGAGACGGAAAACAACAAAAAGCCATTCACACCAGGAGACAGCGGCCAGCCATGAACCTTGACCAGGGAACCTATCTGCCCCGTGCTTGGGACTTATTGCTTTGATTATTGTCTGTGCAAATAATCCTCATAGCATCCATTTGTCCATTGCCATTTCCATTTATATCGGTAATTACCTAGTTTCCTAATTACCCCCTGCCTCCCGTTTGCACCTTTTCCATTGCCTGTTACCAATCAGTGATAATTTAAGTCCTGCTTTCCAGTTGTCCATCGCTATCACCAATCAACGCTAATTAAATGTTAAGTGTTGGCTTTCATTTCTCCATTGCTAATTATATGTTATGTATGGAAGTTAATATCCATAAATTCCCTTTCTTAATATATTTCATAAGCGCTTCTAATCACAAACAAACTATATTATGGCCGTATTACTGTATATAACTACATGTCTACAACTTACTGTAAAACTGTATTTACTAAAAAGTCTCTAATGTGCTATAACCACTAGATTCTATTAGTTAGTATTTCTGATATTTATTTCTGCCAATAACTGATAATAATGTAGCAGTTTAGTGAATGTCTTTTACGAGTCAACAAACACATACTACGGGGTTGAGGTCTTTATTGCGATGCGATGAGTGTGATCTAGATACCCTGAAACACATAATTACACAATAAATAATAAGTAAAACATTATCATTACTGCTAGATACATAGCAATGGCTTATTACAAGTAAGTATTTACATATATCAGTCATCCATTAAACACAAGATAGACTGAACCTTAAACGATTATACTAGAACATACACAGTAATATACATGATTCACAATACCGACATTCAAGGGAGATAACTCCTTGACTTTCTTTTGACTATAATATATACACAATATATATACATAACGCTTACACATTCTGCATAAACATATACAATACTTTAATACAGAAATTAATTATATGATCTTACATTTAATGTGGTCATCACAATTAGATTACATTGTAAGTCTTAGATAAATAACACAATGCATACCCTGTGAGTGATACAAGGGTGTGGATCCCAACTGCCACACGTATGGCAACACCATAGATTATCTGAATAAACAATACATAGACTAAAACACTATTTAACATTAAATATATTGAACAAAGTAATACACACATTTTATTTACAATGATTTGAATGTATCACATCTGAAGCTGTACATTACAAAGCTTTTTAAAACACTCTTGAAGTAAAACACTTTCACACATATTTCATTGAAGTGATAGAATACATTTTAGTGATAAAGTATGGGTGTTTAGCTTATCTTATGCAGATTTAAATATTAAGACATAATCAACATTTATGTTAGATTACATGCATTTAGTTTACTTCATATAACACTTAAAACATACTGTATTATTTCAATACAACACAAGATAGAGATTATAACCATTTAACTCACCTGATTTAATATTGTCTCTTTATCCTTTGCTGGTCTGAGCAGTTCTGTCAGTTCATGTGCTCAGAGAGTATGCAGTGTAATCAAAGCATGCAGTTTAACAATAGGTGTTAGCTTGGCCAATCAGCAAATGAAGCTTCTGGCAATAGGGCAGTTAGTAGGTAAGACATAAGACAGGTCAGATACACTTTGTTATAGCTGACTGAAACTGACAACTAGTTATATATAATAAATATACGTAAAAACCTAAAATGAAATTAAAACAAATATATACAAAAACTACATCGGCCACAATAAGTACAAGCAAACAACAATCACAAATTCTTGGCAAGCTGTGATGTATGTTATATGGCAACAAAGACAACTTAATAAAGGCTAGGGGGCACGGCTGTCCCAGTCGTCTAAGGCGCCGCAATTCGCTGTGCAGAGTTGCGTCCCTTGGACATGCCAGAAACTTATGATTGTGGGTTCGAATCCGGTTAGCCCCTATTCTGTTTCTAGGTTTGTCAGCACCTTACCCTGTTCGTCACTCACTTACTATTTATGGTTACATAATAATATGTATCTTATTTCTGTACCGCACCAAATGTTTCCACATTAAATCCTTTTCACACATGTTTAATGCAGATCCGGACCTTGCACTGTCCTTTAGTATTATTCGCCACCTTTCGTCCTCTGATTAAGACAACAGTTCGCAATAATTCCCACGTGTTTTGTGAGTCAGAACTGCTAGCAAACATTCACATCACATCTTAGCTGTGCATAACTGTTCGTGTAGTTTCCAAAATGAATTTACCAATTGCATGTTCATTCACAGTCTGGCGATAGTGATTAACTTTTTCAGGCGGTGCTTAACGTTTTTCCACGTGTATAATTAATCAACATAATCAACAAAAATCAAGAAGGCGAATTTGTAAAACAGTTTGTGAACACTTTCTTGAGAACTATGAATAATAATGCGATATTTCTATTAAATCATCAACAAACATAAAATCATGTTTCTGGAATAATTCCAAACCAAATATAACAATTTAGCTTTTCTAACATTTACCTTAAGTTTCCAAGTCTGAAAATTGTGTTCAAAGTATCCGAATACTGATCTAATCATCTGAACTCCTCTGAAAACTTTTATCGTCAGCATGCAACAGCAAGACTGACATGTATCCCATTCTGGACGTCTGTAGATTCTGTGGCCACAGCATTACGGTCATGACAAATTAAAAGGCTCCAAATTAACGCGTCCTGGTTGAATGATTGGGGAGTATAATTAGTACTTGATACTCTGCTCACACAGAGACTGGAAAGCATGCGTGACTAAACCTCATCCCCTCACAAACACACGTCTTCTTATATTCCCATTCATGCCTACACCAAGACTCACCCGACCAGTCGTCACACTGGCCGTCGGGAACGCCATCTGAACGCCGACGATGTCGCTGCGGAGAGTGTTGAAGGAGTTGTGGCTCACGAAGAAGACACTGATCATCCTCCTGACCCCATTTGTGTTGTTGCCGCTCGGCCTGCAGGTTGAAAGTCGGGTATGTTTGTTAGTAGCTCCTTTGACAAACACGAAGAGCGCAAAGTATTGTGCAAGAGGAAGCTTCTATTCATGTGCTTGAATTTACCTAATACCCATGTTGATACTGCAGTTCAGTAAACCAGGCAATCAAACATTTAACAACTTCCTTAAATGATTAAATGTCAGTTTTACCTCGACAAAACATAGACAACTGCACCAACGTGCGAATAGCGGTGTATTCGCATAGAGCAAGTCTCCCTACTATGCGTAATTGTCTTTTATGTTTAATTGTCTACTATCTATGTGTAACCACCACTATGTATGTGTAATTGTCTACTATTTATGTGTAATTTTGTACTATCTACGAGTAATCGTCTACTATCTATGTGTAATTGTCTACTACCGATGTGTAATTGTCTACTACCTATGTGTAATTGTTTACTATGCATAATTGTCTACTATCTATGTGTAATTGTCTACTACCTATGTGTAATTGTCTACTTTCTGTGTAATTGTCTACTATCTATGTGTAATTGTTTACTATCTATGTGTTATTATCGACTACCTATATGTAATTGTCTGCTATCTATGTGTAATTGTCTACTACCTATGTGTAATTGTCTACTACCTATGTGTAATTGTCTACTACCTATGCGTAATTGTCTACTATCTATGTGTTATTGTTGACTACCCATATGTAATTGTCTACTACCTGTGTGTAATTGTCTACTATCTTTGTGTAATTGTCTACTACCTATATGTAATTGTCTTCTACTATATATGTGTAATTGTCTACTACCTACCTGTAATAGTCTACTACCTACGTGTAATTGTCTACTACCTATGTGTAATTGTCTACTATCTATGTGTAATTGTCGACTACCCATATGTTATTGTCTACTACCTGTGTGTAATTGTCTACTATCTTTGTGTAATTGTCTACTACCTATGTGTAATTGTCTACTACCTATGTGTAATTGTCTACTACCTATGCGTAATTGTCTACTATCTATGTGTAATTGTCGACTACCCATTTGTAATTGTCTACTACCTGTGTGTAATTGTCTACTATCTTTGTGTAATTGTCTACTACCTATATGTAATTGTCTTCTACTATATATGTGTATTCGTCTACTACCTATGTGTAATTGTCTACTACCTATGTGTAATTGTCTACTACCTATGTGTAACTGTCTACTATCTATGTGTTATTGTCGACTACCCATATGTAATTGTCTACTACCTGTGTGTAATTGTCTACTATCTTTGTGTAATTGTCTACTACCTATATGTAATTGTCTTCTACTATATATGTGTAATTGTCTACTACCTACCTGTAATTGTCTACTTCCTATGTGTAATTGTCTACTACCTGTGTGTAGTTTTTTACTACCTATAATGTTGTGGATAGTTGTTTGAGGATTCGGCTCTCATACGCATATTCAATGTTGTAATGATTAACCGAAATCTTTATCATTGCGGCTCGCAATAGTTAGTGATATGTTTTACGAAATAGCACAATAGACCGTCGCTCAGCTGGTGTTCACGTTGTACGTGTTTGTTGCCCAACGCCGCTCAGTACTCCTGCCACATGGCGGAGACCTGTAAACAACCAGATAACAAACAAACAATCCAATTCGTAATGTGTCCACGTATTCGTTATAATGTACAGTGGCATACGATACATTTAGTCGTCTTAGAAAACCTATGGATTTCAGCTTCCTTCTAAAATTTCAGTGCGACGTTTCGGTACAGTTGCTAATACATTTATCGGGCAAGTTTTCCCCAACTGGGTAGGACATGGTTTTGAGGCTAAGATTAGATATACATATGTACATAATGATGAACAAAACACAACGGTAGGTTGTTACAATGAATCGTTACCATAGTGTCATGTCATTCTAGTATAGATGACGGTAGGCCAATAGGATGAAGCAGACTGTATTGATGTTCCGCTAGAATCACGAGTATCGGATATATCTACGCTGTATGTAAGTCCCTATATCTACGTGTCTGGTCCTATCTGTAAATTACATGCACGACCAGTAGCAGGGACTTGCAGGTCACCAGGACAACCAGAAGATTTCTCTACTGTATCCATGTAGTCGTGACTGTCAACAACTGCCCTCCTTGCCCTAGTTTCATTTCTGGGTTTGCTTGTTTTGTTGTTTGCTTGTTTGTTTATGTTTTCGAGACAAATCATATTTTGGAGAACCACTTAACAATGCCTGTTCACGGCATGTCAAGAACAGTTCGATGTTCGTAAAACCTGAGGATCAATAGTTTTCCCCCTTTTGTGTGGAACAAACTATTGTTAAATTCACGAGTATCCTGTTCATTTTAAACAGAATATAATTAATAATCAAAGTCAGGATAGTTAGGAAGAATTTTTAAAATAACGTTGTCTTTTAAAACATGCTCTGCAATGTAACAGCAATAGGTCTAGTTTGGGCGGAAAGTCGTTATACTGAAACAGATCTTTCTCGTTCTTGCAATTACCCACTTTAAACAATTGTTACAGTTACCAGACTGTCTCGGCATCGAATCAAGATACGAAGTGATTTGGTCAATAAATTAGAAACCATAACATACTCAATTACCTACACATACTCTTTCTTCACCGTTTCGCATGTTTCTATCACGTTATGATTATTCAATGAAACGAGTATATGTTGGAGGCAACCATGTAACTTGTGTCCAACCCACTTGTCTTCTGACAACCAAATATGTTACAGACATTTGTGATTTATTCCAGGAGTCACGGTGTGCATACGGTCTTGCCATCATGGCGGTGTACTGGATCACGGAGAGCCTCCCCCTGAGTGTAACGGCGCTACTTCCGCTGGTCCTATTTCCCACGTTGGGTGTACTTCCGGTCAAGACAGTCTGCAGGAACTACATGAAAGTGATGCACATTTAAATTGTGTTTGTGATAATATATTTTCCCAAATAAATTTCAAAATGCAGAACTACCTGAAAGTGATGCAAATCTACATGTATACACGTTTTATGTCTTTGATAGGGATTTAAAAGTTAGGGGAACATGAATACATGAGCAAAGCCATCTACGAATAACGTATGTTATATTAAAGAATGATGCTTACGACACTGGTACGCGCTGTGATCGCAATGGTCCAGGGTGCCGTTGTACAAAGCGATCTTAGCGCTAAGGTGGCCGTAGTGAGTGAGTGAGTATGGTTTTACGCCGCTTTTAGCAATATTCCAGCAATATCACGGCGGGGGACACCAGAAATGGGCTTCACACATTGTACCCATGTCGGGAATCGAACCCGGGTCTTCAGCGTGACGAGCGAACGCTTTAACCACTAGGCTACCCGACCGCCCCTAAGGTGGCCGTAACTCCAATACTTTAACATAGGCATACGATCATCGTGGCCCTAAGGTTGTTTTGTACAACGGCACCCTACAGTGTAACGAGCGAACACTCAAACACTAAGCCACCCATCCGCCCATTATTGTTGCCTAACGTACTGATATTGGATGACAGCTGTGTTGGGACTTGATCTGACACTTACTCTTTTCAGGACACTTCCTTGTTTGGACTGGGCTGCCTCTCGTTCGCAATCGCAGTGGAAGAGTGGAACCTGCACAAGCGGATCGCCCTCAAAACTCTACTCCTCATGGGGTCAAATCCAAAATGGTAGAGATGCAGATGTTTTCTTATTTGTATTTCTAGGCAATATGATCCGAAATACAGTGATTGAGTTGATCTTGGACGAATTCATATAGTGTCCATCGACTTTCAATGTGTCGGACATTTCTCGGGATTTAACAGTTCTCGGCGCGAGTTAAAGTGTGATCTGCATCGGACAACAACAGCTAGCTTTGTAATGTTGCTGAGTGTCCACGTGTGCACATGTTGTTGTAGGCTGTACATGCAGGTTGGATTTAATGTCCTCTACGTGTTCACGTGTCGTCCTCTAAGTGTGCACGTGTGTTTGTAGGTTGAAGCTGGGCTTCATGTCCTCAACGTATGCACGTGTGTTTGAAGGTTGATGCTGGGCTACATGTCTTCCACGTGAGCACGTGTGTTTGTAGGCTGATGCTGGGCTTCATATCCTCAACGTATGCACGTGTGTTTGTAGGTTGATGCTGGGCTTCATGCCCTTCACGTGTGCACGTGTGTTTATAGGTTGATGCTGGGCTTCATGTCCTCAACGTATGCACGTGTGTTTGTAGGTTGATGCTGGGCTTCATGTCCTTCACGTGTGCACGTGTGTTTATAGGTTGATGCTTGGCTTCATGTCCTCCACGTGTGCACGTGTGTTTGTAGGCTGATGCTGGACTTCATGTACTGCACGTGTGCACGTGTGTTTGTAGGCTGATGCTGAACTTCATGTCCTCCACGTGTGCACGTGTGTTTGTAGGTTGATGCTGGGCTTCATGTCCTTTACTTGTGCACGTGTGTTTGTAGGTTGATGCTAGGCTTCATGTCCTTTACGTGTGCACGTGTGTTTGTAGGTTGATGCTGGGCTTCATCTCCTCCACGCGTGCACTTGTGTTTATAGGTTGATGCTGAGCTTCATGTCCTTCACGAGTGCACGTGTATTTGTAGGTGGATGGTGGGCTTCATGTCCTTCATGTGAGCACGTGTATTTGTAAGCTGATGTTGGACTTCATGTCTTCCACGTGTACACACGTGTTTGTAGGCTGATGCTGGGCTTCATGTCCTCAACGTGTGCACGTGTGTTTGTAGGTTGATGCTGGGCTTCATGCTGCCCACGTGGTTCCTGTCCATGTGGGTGAACAACACCTCGGCCACGGCGATGATGATCCCCATCCTGGACGCCGTCCTCATCCAGCTCCGGGCGTCCACGGACACCCCAGGTTCGTAGACTGCAGTAACAGGCCGTCATACCTGATAACAATGACTGACTGAACAGGGTTACTGAGAATTGTGTTCACACTAACGCTAGGAATGGAACTCGTCTTTTGCGTGACAAACGCTGAAGCTGTCTTGGTGATTGAGTGAATAAGCATTGTTTTAGGCCTATTAGTTCTTACAATAGCTCCTCTAGCTCGTTACAGATTTGCAGTGATCTATTCTTCGCTGTACATTTGCATTTACGTGACATTTGTATGTTAAACCTGATGACATAATTCACACATCCCAAGTTTCTATTGATATAAATAGAAAGATTAATGCATATAACTTGATCTTCTGAAACAAAATGCATGTCACCTGTTAAATGATAAATAATAATATGTCGCTGAATGTCCATGCAACATGCCGACAAAGTATAACAATGACAGAGGACCCAAATCCTGTTGGATTGAACCCTCTCTTCTCCATTGCATCAAGTTGCAGGTCGTGTCAAGCTCGTCTTGCAGTGTGAGTGAGTGAATATTGCTTTATGTCACATTAGCAATGCTCTGCGTAGCTTGTTGTCCCTGACCATGACAGTGCTGGGACGTTGTTGCATCGCATGTAGGAAGCCAGCCCTGGGCCGTGACGATTACGAACTGAGGGGCAAAACAAAGTATACCGAGTCTGTTTGTATGTAATTGAAAATTGTTAAATTTGAATGTTTGCAATAGTTTGTAAAAAGTCATCTGTGGCTGGGTAATTTTGTGTAAAAATAAATCGGTTCAATGGACCCCCACCAAAAAAAGCATATATATATATCTGAGAAGTCTGAGATACCCATCAGCAGTTGTGTATTATGTGAATATTTTTTTTACAAGTTTTACAAGTTTTAAATCAAATCATATTTGGAAAAAATATAACCATGTAGAAGTATTCTTTGAGCGCTGACTAAGCGCCAGTACAGTTCATGTTTTGGACATAATTTCGCTAACTAAAGATATTTTCATTTGAAAATCAAACATGGTAACACCAAGTGAGAGGTATAGTTTCTTTTGCCCCTCAGTTTAGATAAGAAAATATTTGTTTGCTGGAAACGTCTAAAATCGTTTTAAACATAATTCAAACTCAGTATTAAGGTGTCGTGAGAGATGCAGTGTCAGGAATAAATCTCCATTATTTTTCTAAATGGGTTTAGTCGAGAAGTGGCGTTCCTAATCATATCTGCTTTAATTTACATGTCATATGTTAATCGGTGTCATCACTGCATGGTTTTATTGTTAATCTGTGTCATCAGTGCCTGGTTTTATTGTTAATCGGTGCCATCACTGTCTGGTTTTATTGTTAATCGGTGTCATCAGTGCCGGGTTTTATTGTTAATCGGTGCCATCACTGCCACGTTTTATTGGTAATCGGTGCAATCGCTGCCTGGTTTTATTGTTAATCGGTGCCATCTCTGCCTGGTTTTATTGTTAATCGGTGCCATCACTGTCTGGTTTTATTGTATTATATTCAGACAACGATGAAAGCACGACCTTGACCTTCAGCCAAGCCGACACAGCCATGTCGGAAGGAGAACAGCGGGCAAGCCAGAAGCTACAGAAAAGGTACTTTTTGGAATCATTAATATTTCATGGACCCCCTCCTGTCCGCCCCCTTCTAACATGAAGGTCACAGTGCTTGGTTGTGTTACTGCCCAGTAGTCCATATCCGCCACCTTGTCTCCCCACGCCCTGATCTGTAGGTACAGTGAAACCTTCACCGAATTGTCTCCCCACTCCCTGATCTGTAGCTACAGTGAAACCTTCACCGCTTGTCTCCCCTAGCCCTGATCTGTAGCTACAGTGAAGCCTTCACCGACTTGTCTCCCCTAGCCCTGATCTGTAGCTACAGTGAAACCTTTACTGACTTGTCTCCCCACGCCCTGATCTGTAGCTACAGTGAAGCCTTCACCGACTTGTCTCCCCTAGCCCTGATCTGTAGCTACAGTGAAACCTTTACTGACTTGTCTCCCCACGCCCTGATCTGTAGCTACAGTGAAACCTTCACCGAATTGTCTCCCCTAGCCCTGATCTGTAGCTACAGTGAAGCCTTCACCGACTTGTCTCCCCTAGCCCTGATCTGTAGCTACAGTGAAACCTTTACTGACTTGTCTCCCCACGCCCTGATCTGTAGCTACAGTGAAACCTTCACCGAATTGTCTCCCCTAGCCCTGATCTGTAGCTACAGTGAAACCTTCACCGACTTGTCTCCCCTAGCCCTGATCTGTAGCTACAGTGAAACCTTCACCGCTTGTCTCCCCTAGCCCTGATCTGTAGCTACAGTGAAGCCTTCACCGACTTGTCTCCCCACGCCCTGATCTGTAGCTACAGTGAAACCTTCACCGACTTGTCTCCCCACTCCCTGATCTGTAGCTACAGTGAAACCTTCACCGACTTGTCTCCCCACGCCCTGATCTGTAGGTACAGTGAAATCTTTACTGACTTGTCTCCCCACTCCCTGATCTGCAGCTACAATGAAATCTTCACCGACTTGTCTCCCCACTCCCTGATCTGTAGCTACAGTGAAACCTTTACTGACTTGTCTCCCCACTCACTGATCTGCAGCTACAGTGAAACCTTCACCGACTTGTCTCCCCTAGCCCTGATCTGTAGCTACAGTGAAACCTTCACCGACTTGTCTCCCCACTCCCTGATCTGTAGCTACAGTGAAACCTTCACGTCTCCCCACTACCTGATCTGTAGTTACAATGAAACCTTCACCGACTTGTCTCCCCACTCCCTGATCTGTACCTAAAGTGAAACCTTCACCGACTTGTCTCCCCACGCCCTGATCTGTAGCTACAGTGAAACCTTCACCGACTTGTCTCCCCACTCCCTGATCTGTAGCTACAGTGAAACCTTCACCGACTTGTTTTGCAGCACATATAACGACGGACGAGAGAAGGACTCCCAATCGTTCCGACGTCTCTGTAAGGGGATGACGTTGTGTGTCGCCTACGCTGCCAACATCGGCGGTACAGGGTCATTGTCGGGAACTTCTCCGAACCTCATCATGAAGGGACAGGCTGACATGTAAGCAAACAATCATACGTATTTTCCTTACATCGCTGTTAATGTTTAAGGGAGTCATATCGCGCACTAGCATCATATTCGGTAGGCGTCAGATCCGCTAGGCGTCAGATCCGTTAGTTATCAGGTCCGCTGGGCGTCAGATCCGCCAGACGTCAGATCCGCAAGACGTCAGATCCGCTTGGCGTCAGGTCCGCTAGGCGTCAGATCCCTTAGTCGTCAGGACCGCTGGGCGTCAGGTCCGCTAGCCGTCAGGCCCGCTGGGCGTCATATCCGTTAGGTGTCAGGTCCGCCAGACGTCAGATCCGCTGCGCATCAGTTCCGCTGGGCGTCTGGTCCGCTAGCAGTCGGGCCCGCTAGGCGTCAGATTCGCTACTCATCAGGTCCGCTAGGCGTCAGGTCCGCTGGACGTCAGGTCTGCTAGGTGTGAGATCGAATCCCAAATCATAATTCTTGGTTCGTCAGCACCATACACGTGCACGTGAGCCCACTGATCGTAATGTCACTTACTCTGCAATATCAGTCACTCGTAGCCTATAACAGTTTGAGGTTTTTTACGTATGTTTCTCCAAAACTTAAAAAGTCGGCAGTCAAAAAAAAATAATTCTTCCAGTACTTTCGTAAAAAAATGGAAGTCAGATGAAGTACCTAGCTTCAAATGTTGAACTGAAATGTTGGAAATTATTGTGCTTGAGTGCAGATTACTTTTCGCAGATGATGTCATTCTCATAGCAGATACTGTTTATGGTCTCCAGAAAAGAATCAATGTGTTAGAATGTTATTGTAAAGATTATTCATTAACAGTCAATATTGATAAAACTAAAGTAGTAGTTTTTAAAAATGGGAGTGTTCTTTCAAAATATGAAAAATGGGTTTACGATGGAAAATTGTTGGAATGTGTAACTACATATAACTACCTTGGTGTATTATTTTTTCGAAATCTATCTTGGAGTGCACATATATCTAATGTTGTTAATCAAGCTAAAAAGGTTTTGTTTAAGCTTTTGAAGTCCCTACAGCTAATTAAACCTACTCCTATGAATATTTTCTTTAAAATTTTTGATGCTAAAGTTGTGCCAGTACTTCTTTACGGTGCAGAAGTTTGGGGTTTATCTTTATCGTTTTGCGAGGAGATTGAAGTTGTTCATACACTTGCTTGTAAACGTATTTTAGGAGTTAAGTCAGCAACTTCCAATCATGTTGTGCGTGGAGAGTGTGGGAGATACCCTTTGTATATCTATGCTTTCAAAAGATGCTTGAATTATTGGTGTAAGATTTTAAAGATGCCCGATTCGCGTTATCCACGAAAAAGTTACAATATGCTTGTGCAGCAGGCCATAGCAGGTAAGACTAATTGGGCCTCTAGAGTTAAATTACTTTTGTACGCCTATGGCTTTGGCTACGTATGGGAAAATCAGCATCTTGTTATTTCTATTTCATTTATTGATGAGTTCATACAAAGATTAAAATGCTCTTATGAACAAGATTGGCATTTTGCTTTGACCAATAGCCCCAAGTATTCATCATATCTTTGTTATAAATTTAGGTTTAGCAGGGAATTTTATTTATCGGCTATTACAATCAATAAGTTTCGCGTTGCACTGGCACGTTTTAGAGCTAGCTCCCACTCCCTCCACATAGAAACCGGGAGATATTTTGGTATCCCAAGACAGCGAAGGTTATGTATGGTTTGTAAAACAGGCTATGTTGAGTCTGAATACCATTTTGTATTGGTTTGTGAAAAATATTATGCTCTCCGAGTGACATATATTCCTCAAAAATATTATGTAAATCCATCAATAGAACAATTTCACATACTTATGTCGTCTCTGCATCAGTCAACAATTAGAAGTCTGGCTTGTTATATTTACCACGCTTTTAAGTTAAGGAATTCATTTTTGCAGAAGTAATATTCTTTATCTATGAATGCCTTGCTGTTGTGTATGTAGGTGTACACAGTTGTATTTTTATACATGTCTGGTGAACCGAATTGTACTATGGGCCGCTGGCCCACTCATGTACTGAATAAACAGATTAGAGTGCAGAAAAATTAGATTTTGGATCAGTTTAGTCATGAAGCATGAAGAAACTAATTTTACCACGATGCGCGAAGCGCTTCATGGAATTTGCTCACGTGAGGCACTGTCTTCATCAGCCGATGAAAGTCAACAAATACAACTTCAATCCTTAAATGGTCGTTTGATGGTTATGTATTTACTATCTTAGTCGTGTTTTGGATCGCAAGTTTTCAGCCTTGGAACGTTTTGATAACGTTTGTAAATGTATAGTTTCTTTTGCCGTACGCCTTAGTAAAATGCACTGACATATCTAACACTTTCAGTTTGTTTGAGGAATATGGTTTGGATTCGGGGGTGACGTTCACTTCGTGGATGATCTTCGCTCTTCCTGGCTCCGCCCTCTGTCTCATTTGCGCATGGCTTTGGCTTTCATTTTTCTTCCTGGGAAAAAGGTAGGTCAGTAGGTCAAACATGACTGAACAAAGAACCTGAAATAAGGCGACAGGTATAATAATTTGTGTCCCTTTTCCAATGCCCTTTAAAGCAAACTTTCATAATCCGGAACGTTCCAGGGTACTTTCATCTTCAGTTTGCGTCGTCTCATTCGGTTGGTCCAGTAGCAAAGCCAAGGTCTGCTGGTCATGGGTTCGAATCCAGTGTTCGCCCGATGATGATCTTGGGGTTGTCAGCACCACACCCCTGTTTGTGGGTTTTACCAAAATGATCAACGTCTGTGGTCTGTGTAAACTAGGACTGTCCTCCCGCATTAAGCTGACAATTTAATTTTAAGCAGCTGAACTATTGTTCAAGGCGGCGCTAACCCCTGGGCCCCGCAACAACATGCATTCCCTTGCTCTACAGCCTCCACTTTGACGTTGAAAACAATTTACAGTACAGCACACACACACAACTCTCCATGGTTATTAATTCTGCGGAAGATGATCTTTTTTATGTGGTATTAGGCGGTGTTACACTCACTCACTCACTCACTCACTCACTCACTCACTCACTCTCTCACTCACTCTCACACTCAATCACTCACTTACTCACTCTCTCGCTCACTCACACAGAAGCATTAAGGAGTCCCTTACGCCGTCGTAGGGGAATCAAATGGGTACAAATGAGTAAAAAGTGGCGAAAACACCATAGCATATGAAAAAAACTTTTAATACGTTTTATATCCCAACGTTTAGTTTACAAAACACAGCTTGAATATCGCTACCTGTGGCGTAAAACAACATTTATTTACATTCTCTACCATGGCGTGTTTCAGAAACTGGTTCAGATGGCGGTGTCGCAGCACAGAGACAGAGAGACATGTACAGAGCACACTCAAACGACAGTACGAGGAGCTTGGACCTGTGTCGTGAGTATTTTGTAAAAGAATATAAAACAAAATACAAGATCAACACGGCGCAATGAAATGCTTTAGCATACCTACCTGTTGATGCAAGTACCTATCCTGTAGTAAAACGCACGTGTAAACCAGTAATTCATAAAACAAACTGTTATTTGCATGTGGTACCTTCAGAATCAGGAATGAGAATATGGCACATTTCAGTTGAAATATTTATATACTATGAAAGTAGAAAACAAACATGTTATGAAAACAAAACTACTTCCTTTCTTTGTTGATCAACGCCGCACCAATACGACGGATGTGCGTAAAAAAAGCTACAAAACCCTTTCCATATCCAATAGAAATCTCTACATCGATTGTACGAATCCGACGATATCATGAGCATGTGTTTATGAATCATAATCAAATAGTAATGATACCAGGTGTTCGCCAAATGGTGAGCGTATCCTGCTCTCTGGTGACACCCGTCACAAACACACGCAAAGGCAAGTCAATTGTTCACCTGAAAAAAACACGAGAACAAATGGTTCACGTCAAAATAGGGAATTGCATCGTACATCATATTTGTCACTGATGCGTCAATTTGGAAATGCCCTCCAATAATCTGCCTGGACCAGACAATCCAGTCATTGGCATCATGAGCATCGATCCACGCAATTGGGATATGATGACATGCATTAACCAAGTAAACGAGTCTGACCACCCGATGCAGTTAGTCGCCTCTTACGACAAGCATAGTCGCCTTTCAAGGGGGACAAGCATGGGCTATTCTACCTATTTTACCCCGGATCTTCACCAGTAACAAAACTAATAATATGTTGTACTATATAATGACTTCCTGAAACATCTGTTATTGTTTTCAAGGGTATTAAGTTAACACGATCATAATGGTATACATGATGCTACTGACATTGATATATCTACAGTGGTAAAGATCTTCCTTTTTTTTTTATTTTTAATCTTTTCAAAGTAATAGCTTACAGTGTTGTAATTTTAATTTTAAACACAGTAGATCTATGGAGACGTGCCGATACTGCAAAAATTGAAACCCAAAACGTTATGAGTGTGTTTGTGATTTTCAACCATGAACCATACTTCTCTATGAGAGTTATCTCCCTAATCGTAATATGTTTAATCCAGAAGCCTGACACGTTAAGTATTCACACGGTCCAAAAGTGCTAATATCTCGCCAAACGGAAACTGGGTCAACGTTTCACAGACGGTTTTGCCCTGCCCGTCGCCTCCTAGCGGCTGCAGGCGATCTAGGGCAGGTAAACCAGTTTTGGACAGGGAGTTTCTCCATGTTATGATTGTTGCCGAATAACATAAATGTGTTCAGTGTAATAATCTACAGGTAGGAATCTTAAAAACATCTCTCTAAATTTATTTTTTGTATTTTGTATGTAGGCATACCATTATGTATATGTGAGACAAAGATAAGGTTTCTTTTTGTTTACGTCTTTCCAACGATTTACTCATCCCCATGCCCCTTGCGCCCATGTAATTTTCTCAAACCCATAACGGACCCGTGAAGATCCGGGGTAGAATAGGTCTTCAGCAACCCATGCTTGCCGTTAAAGGGGACTGTGCTTAGGTGACTAACGGGATCGGGTGGTCATGCTCGCTGACTTAGTTGATAGATTGATGCTCATGATATCAATCACTGGAATGTCTGGTCCAGTCTTGATTATTTACAGGCCATCGTCAAATAGCTTGGATATTCTGAGTGTGGTGTTAAACAACAAAGAAACAAAGAAATCATTAACAAAAATATCACGGCACCTGGCGTTGGTCAATAACTTGTATATATCCTCAAATTGTAGAACTCTATTTGTGTATCATATACCGACACTTTTCAAGTAGATCTGTTCAACAAAGAAAAAAAGCAATGTAGGTATGAGTGCCAACCCATCTCCACACAGACAGTAGGTGTATAAATATATTGACAGTTTGATGATGGCTGTCACTGACCCGACAGACCCACCTCAGTGTCCATCAGGCACGTGGGGAGGACCATCACTGATGGTATTCTCTACTATAAGAATAACATACCCTCTTACATGACTCGGCATTTTCCCCCGAGTCATGTAATAAATAAAGGGAACATTTACATTGGACGAATAGAATTTTGACTGTGTTTTATCTCAGGGTGGTTTGTGTGTGTTTCATTACATACTTCTATTAAATAATCATCTGGAGATTTTCTGAGACAGACGGCTCGCAGCAGTTTCAAACTTTTGACATTCTCAGCTTTTGTTCTTCAGACGCGTGTGGGTTTCCGGATAGGGTATTACCTAATGTTAAGTGATCTGAAAACTTTAAAATTGAAAACTGTAAAAAACACTTTAAGAAAAAATATCAGAATAAAAAGATTCAAGAAAAGTGCATGAATGATAACGAAACAGCCATCATGATCAACCGTAGATGTTATAACATGACACCGGCTTCCAAAGTTCAAGATAAGACAAAATATAAACAGATGAAAAGGATTCCGTAGGTTTAACTATGACCTTATGACATTTAGCAACGTTGCTGGAGAGTCGAGTCGAACACGATGTCATGCACTGGGCGGTGGTTAAGCAACGTTGCTTAGTTATCGAGTCGTACACGATGTCGTGTATTGGGCGGTAATGTAGCAACGTTGCTGGGGACTCGAGTCGTTCATGATGTAGTTTATTGATTGTTGATTTCTTTTCCAGATTTGCAGAGAAGGGTGTTATAGGTCATTTTCTGCTCTTGGTACTTCTCTGGTTGTCAAGGAAACCACCAATTGTGAAAGGATGGGGCGCCTCTTTCCCGTAAGATTAACCCAAGGACACTATCTAACACAGGCAGCTCTGTCGGTTTAAAACCCAAAACAGTAAACGCCGTAAAAATGGCATCGTGATAGTACTTTATCTTATAGTATTCGTAAATAGAACTTTATCTAAGGTAATCGTCAGTAGTGTAACTGCTCACTGATTGACTGACTCCCTTCTCCCTCATCCCTCCTGACTTACACACGTACCCTGACGTTATGAGATCAGACTCTTCTGTTACAGGTATGTCGGAGATTCAGCAGCAGCCATCCTTGTTTGTGTTTCCATGTACTTCTTCCCTGCTCAAAGGCCACGGGTTTTTGGCTTACGTGGGAAGCAGGGTAGGTTGGCATTACAAAACTAACCCCCACGTTCCCATATAACTATCGTCAAGTAAGACTCTTTAAGTTGAAGTCGTTTGAGGATGGATTCGGATTGTGTATTCCTCTTCATGCGTATGAATTCCATGCATATAAATACACGGTGGTGCATAATACACACTAATAATTATCAGACTAAATCCAAACAGAATGGAGAGATTATAATACCACATTTGTGTGCACACAAGTTTTTAAAAGTGTTATACTTCCATGAACGCACATTTAAAATGAAGTGAATTCTCAACACAAATTACTTCTTCGACTGCTTATTTAATCATAAAGGAAAATACTCTGGACAAAAATACGAAATCAGTGTCAATAATGCATCACAAGCTTCCCCCGCTCTCCAGTAATGGAGCTGCAAAGACGCCAGAAACAATAGTCTTGAGCTCTCTCTGTCCTTCACCATCTCCTACTCTCTTGTCTCGCCCAAGCTCCGACGGTCTCGAACTCTCTGTCTGTCTTGAGCTCTCACTGTCTCGAACTCTCTCTGTGTCTTTCTTGAGCTCCCACTGTCTGTCTCGTGATCTCTCTGTCTGTCTTGAACGCCCACTGTCTGACTCGAGCTCCAACTGTCTCAAACTCTCAAGGTCTCGAACTCTCTGTCTGTCTTGAGCTCTCACTGTCTCGAACTCTCTCTGTGTCTGTCTTGAGCTCCCACTGTCTACCTCGTGATCTCTCTGTCTATCTCGTGCACTCTCTGTCTGTCTTGAGCGCCAACTGTCTGTCTCGTGATCTCTCTGTCTATCTCGTTCACTCCCTGTCTGTCTTGAGCGCCCACTGTCTATCTCGTGCTTTCTGTCTGTCTCGTGCACTCTCTGTCTGTCTTGAGCTCCCACTGTCTATCTCGTGATCTCTCTGTCTATCTCGTGCACTCTCTGTCTGTCTTGAGCGCCCACTGTCTGTCTCGTGATCTCTCTGTCTATCTCGTGCACTTCCTGTCTGTCTTGAGCTCCCACTGTCTATCTCGTGATCTCTCTGTCTATCTCGTGCACTCTCTGTCTGTCTTGAGCTCCCACTGTCTGTCTCGTGATCTCTCTGTCTATCTTGTGCACTCTCTGTCTGTCTTGAGCTCCTACTGTCTGTCTCGAGCTCCCACTGTCTGCCTCGAGCTCTCACTGTCGCAAACTCTCATGGTCTCCAACTCTCTCAGTACGAGCTCCCACAGTCTGTCTCGAGCTCCCACTGTCTGTCTCGTGCTTTCTCTGTCTGTCTCGAGCTCCTACTGTCTCGAACTCTCTCTGTCTCGAGCCCACTGTCTGTCTCGAGCTCCCACTGTCCGTCTCGAGCTCCCACTGTCTGTCTCGAGCTCGCACTGTCCGTCTCGAGCTCCCACTGTCCGTCTCGAGCTCCCACTGTCTGTCTCGAGCTCCCACTGTCCGTCTCGAGCCCCCACTGTCTGCCCCGAGCTCCCACTGTCTGTCTCGAACTCGCACTGTCTGTCCCGTGCTCTTTCCGTCTATTTCGAGCTCCTACCGTCTCGAACTCTCTTTATCTCGAGCTCCAACTGTCTGTCCCGAGCTCCCACTATCCTGTCTCGAGCTCGCACTGTCCGTCTCGAGCTGCAACTGTCTGTCTCGAGCTCACACTGTCTGTACTCGCTGCCTGCTGTAGGTTGTGACACGACATCAGTGATCCAGGGTTCATGTCAGCCGTGAAGGCGTGGTAAACGTGACACATTTATGACGGACAAATAACTCACTTGAACTGTATCGGGAGCTTTATTGCCTTCACAGAGGCCAATTTAGTACTTATATTGGCCCTGCATAGGTTCCTGATCAGAATCAACATAACCTTTGATTGTCTTACGAGGCGCTTAAATGGGTTTTTGTGGTCAGACTCAATGACTTCATAGATTGTATTACCCACGTGGTGAAGATACAGGTGGTAAGATACTAAATCCGAACGTCACATGTGTGTCGTACAAGGTTGACCTTGTTTTATTCGTTTTGATTGGATAACCGTGACCCCTGTCACACGGGGACTGCTTTTTTTATTCATAAAAAATCGCGAGACGTCATTGATTTTGCAACTACAAGGCAGAACTGTAGCAATCTCATGAGAGCGAAAGATATTTATTATCACTTTATTCAACCAAACAAGATAGTCACACGCATGAAATTCGGTTTGCATTCTATATACGTTATGCATTGAGCTTCCACAGACATTATATAATCGAGCTATATCCATTTACAATGTACGACTACCGATCAATAGATCGAGGGTCCCAATGAGCGTGACGCACCCGACCACTTTCGCAACTTTCAATCTGATTTAACGTAAAAGGATAAGCGTGGTGAACTGAAGTCAGTTTAAACTATCTGGACAGAAATCTAGACTTTCAGTGTCCCTTTCGAAGTGTATTTTGTGACACTGTTTCGGTAATTGTTCACGACTGCACGATCAGATCACTCAAAGTTCATATTTCCGAAACAAATAATTCGAAAACTCAGTAGAAATGTGCCTGATATCTGATTTTGTGGCCCAAAATATCCCAAATGTGATAAATAACATTCCCTATCTCTAGCGTAAAACGCCGTCAGTAGATCACGGTTGTCTTTTCTTATTCCGGTGGTGACCGCGTCGCGGATTCTTACAAAAGTTTGCACATCGGTTTTTCGATTCATACCTCAATACTCAATACACAAATACACAGTCAATGCTTATAATTAAATTCGACAACGGAAAACATGTTTTATCTACTAAAGTTAAACCAAAAACAGTTGTATATATCAAAACAGACAAAAATGACAAGATTGATAAACATTCCAGGTGTATGAATACATACAGTGGCGTGACATGAATTCAGGTGATCGTTTAATTTATGCACATAACTTGACACGCCTACACAATCAGTAGCCAATCAACGGAGAGTAGGATCAAAACAATGTCCATTGGACCTGTCAATTAAGGCAAGAGGCGAGCCTGCACGTTTGCTGTTTCATTCATTTTCGGCCTTTATTTTCAAAGGGTAGTTTGGACAATGAATATGCATGAAAGTCGCTAAATCTCCTGTGTATGACGATACACGTGAGCAGAAAGGGAATTCTCTCGACTGTAATATTGGGATTTCCCGATATTCCGCAGTAATAAAAGTAGTGCGCCTCGGTGGGCGTGGCTTAATTTTTACATTCATTGGGAAATGAATGCAATAACACAAGACCAATTCAGCTAATCAGAATGCAGGAATGTTAATGAACACAATGAAAATTTAATCATTTACACTTAAATATATACTTAACGTGTGTAATAAATAAAGTACCACACTCATTCTCGTTAGATACCATTTTTACAAAAGTCCACTCGTTTCGTAAAACTGGTATCTAACAAGAATGAATGTAGATTTTCTTTGTATGACATCGTTCCCCGACGGGTGGATCAATGCTCGCAATATCAATCACTGGATTGTCTGGTCCAGATTCATGATGTAGTCCGCCGCGATGAAGATGTACTGTTGTAAATAACTAACACATCTAGAAACGTAGTCCGTGTCCGGCTGCACCGTATGCCTGTCGAGTTGGTACCATAGCATCTGTCAGTTTCAATGTTAAACTGATGCGGTGTTCAACCGTGTGCAGTAACAAGCTAATATGTCTATACATACGCCAATCGTATAGCCAAAAGAATAGTTGCAGAGAGCCTTCAAATTATAACTAGGTCAGCACGATGGACAAGGTGAAGTTCGCTGTCCGTTTTTGCATGTCAAGAAGTGTTTTACCGATTGAACTCGCTTTGGGGGTTTGTTTTCCTGCTATAACTTGCTGAATGTCACGTTTTAAAGAAAGGACAAGGCCAACAGAACACACGTTATATCGGTTCATGTTGCCACCAAAAATACTGAGTATTACATTAGTAATTTATTTATTATAATTTTGTATTGATAGTATATATACTGAACCGCAAGTAACATTGCATGAAAATTTGTCATTTAAATATCTGGGTAAGTTTTGTCAAAGTTTCTAAAGTTTAACATTACCTGGTCCGGAAAAATGAAATTTGATCATAAAAAACAAAGCCGATGACAATAAAACCGATCGCCCAAACGCATCACGGCAACGGCCATGGTAACCCGATGCACGTGAGTTCCTTGCAAATTGAAATGCACATGCGTTCCCCCATTTCTTGCCCTATAAAAATTCACCCAGATCGGATAACATTAATTCCTTATTGAATTGCTACCACATGCCAAGATTGACAAGAAATCAGCGACACCAAGCCCTTGGACGATTGAAAGCTAGACAAAGCGCCCGGGAAGTAGCCAATGCATTTCAAATCCACGTAAGGACCATATGCAGGCTCCAGCAACGGTACCAGACCACCAACACTACAGATGACCGACCACGTTGTGGAAGACCAAGGGTCACTACCCGACGTCAGGATCGTGAGATTGTGCGACAGCATCTTTAAGATCGCTTTGTTACAGACAATGGGGACACACCAGCGACACATTAGTGCGGACACCATGCGTCGACGATTGACGAGCAGACACCTCCACTGTCACAGGCCACACCGAGGCCCCATTCTGACACCACGTCATCGCCGGGACCGACTTCAGTGGGCAACACAGCACCAGCATTTGCGCCACCAGCAGTGGAGAAGAGTCCTCTTCTCAGACGAGAGCCGTTACTGGGGGGGGGAGGAGTCTGGCGTCGCCGTGGGGAGCGTTATTCGGATACTTGTGTTGTTGAGAGAGATTCGTGGGGTGGTCAGAGCATCATGGTGTGGTGTGGAATTGGTCTTGCACAGAGGGTCGGTCCTGTGGTCTTCCAGAACATCGGTCCAGGGAGAGGCAATGGGGTCACAGCAGCTCGGTACATTGATCAAGTCTAGAGACCACAGCCCATACCTCATTTACACGTCGCCGCAAGCACGCGTTTCACCGTGATAACGCCCGTGCCCACACTGCGAGAACAACAAGATACTTCTTCCAGCAGAATGGCATCAGAACCATGCAGTGGCTGAATGACGTCCGACAGCTGCAGCTCAACTGCGTTAGGCGTTCCTCAGAGTGTGGGCTCAAGTGCCTATGACCTTCATCAACCGCCTCATCCATTCCATGTATCGACGTTGCACGGCAGTCCTCAATGCACGTGGTGGACATACGAGATATTGACTTATGATGCCATTTTCTCAGAGACTAGTGTTGTGTTTCACTTAAAGTACATTGGACACTTTAATTTCACCCTTCATGATCAGTTTTGCCAAGTTTCATCTTTTTTAATATGTCTCAAAGTCTGTTTACATTGTTTGGACAAATAAGGTTTCTCATATATATCTATCCATGGTGACCGTTTTTTTTTTGTGGTTCAGTATATAATGAACCCAGCTGATATCTTCACGTTGCTTATCTTTTTCGCGAACACCTGTTGTCGTCGCTGATTTTCAGTGGTTAATTCATACGATTTCACAGCTATTTTGACCTTTACGCCAAATTTTAATCTGTTTCGGTGGATGATCGAGACTGGTTATTTTCTTGCCTGGACAATTTATGTTTCCATATACTCAGGTGATATCTTTGCTTGGCTGGTTTGCAATGGTTCCATGTACCCAGCTGATATCATCACGTGACGTTGGTTCCATGGACCCTGGTGATATCATCATATGATTGGCCAAATGTGTGTGGACCCGTGAAGATCCGGGGTAGAATAGGTCTTCAGCAACACATGCTTGCCGTAAGAGGCGACTATGTTTGCCGTAAGAGCCGACTATGCTTGCCGTAAGAGGCGACTATGTTTGTCGTAACGGGATCGGGTGGTCTCACAAACATAAATGAAAAAATGAGTATATATATAATATTCTAAAACAAAATTCCTGAATCCTTTCAACAGATGGTTACATGTATAACATTTATAACAGCCAACAACTGATCCCACACTACTAAGGGGAACAACTATGCTTGTCGTAAGAGGCGACAGACGGGATCGGGTGGTCAGGCTCGCTAACTTGGTGGATGCATGTCATCGTATCACATTGCGTGGATCGATGCTCATGATGTCAATCACTGGACTGTCTGGTCCAGCATCGATTGTTTACAGACCGCCGTCATATAGCTGGAATATCGCCGAATGCAGCGTTAAACAGCAATCACAAAAAAATTGTATTTGACTGGCACGCATGGCTACGTCTTCATTACACCACAACAGCGTGAAGACGGATGTACTATCCCAGCATAGATGTAGTCCTGGGGAATGTAACGACCACACAGAGACACACTTGGTGTTCCGGATAGATGACCGCCAACAAATGTCTCCATCCTTGAAACAACGTGAGTGTCCTTTACCTTCTACAGAGACCGTGCAGACAGTCCCGTCCCTGCTCAACTGGCCGACGGTGCAGAGGAAGTACCCCTGGGGGGTGCTGATGCTGCTTGGTGGGGGATTTGCACTGGCAGATGCCTGTGAGGTAGGGGGTGCTGACGGCTCTTAGAGGGGTGTCCTCACAGACAGATATCTGTGAGGTAGGACCAGGGTGGGCGCTCAAGCTGCTTGAAGGGGTGTTCGCATTGGCAGATATCTGTGAGGTAGAGGGTGCTGACGGCTCTTAGAGGGGTGTCCTCACAGACAGATATCTGTAAGGTAGGACCAGGGTGGGCACACGAGCTGCTTGAAGGGGTGTTCTCACTGGCAGGTATCTGTAAGGTCGGACCAAGGTGGGCGCTCAAGCTGCTTTAAGGGGTGTTCGCATTGGCAGATATCTGTGAGGTAGGACCAAGGTGGGCGCTCAAGCTGCTTTAAGGGGTGTTCTCACTGGCAGGTATCTGTAAGGTCGGACCAAGGTGGGCGCTCAAGCTGCTTTAAGGGGTGTTCGCATTGGGGTGTTCGCATTGGCAGATATCCCAGCATAGATGTAGTCCTGGGGAATGTAACGACCACACAGAGACACACTTGGTGTTCCGGATAGATGACCGCCAACAAATGTCTCCATCCTTGAAACAACGTGAGTGTCCTTTACCTTCTACAGAGACCGTGCAGACAGTCCCGTCCCTGCTCAACTGGCCGACGGTGCAGAGGAAGTACCCCTGGGGGGTGCTGATGCTGCTTGGTGGGGGATTTGCACTGGCAGATGCCTGTGAGGTAGGGGGTGCTGACGGCTCTTAGAGGGGTGTCCTCACAGACAGATATCTGTGAGGTAGGACCAGGGTGGGCGCTCAAGCTGCTTGAAGGGGTGTTCGCATTGGCAGATATCTGTGAGGTAGAGGGTGCTGACGGCTCTTAGAGGGGTGTCCTCACAGACAGATATCTGTAAGGTAGGACCAGGGTGGGCACACGAGCTGCTTGAAGGGGTGTTCTCACTGGCAGGTATCTGTAAGGTCGGACCAAGGTGGGCGCTCAAGCTGCTTTAAGGGGTGTTCGCATTGGCAGATATCTGTGAGGTAGGACCAAGGTGGGCGCTCAAGCTGCTTTAAGGGGTGTTCTCACTGGCAGGTATCTGTAAGGTCGGACCAAGGTGGGCGCTCAAGCTGCTTTAAGGGGTGTTCGCATTGGCAGATATCTGTGAGGTAGGACCAAGGTGGGCGCTCAAGCTGCTTTAAGGGGTGTTCTCACTGGCAGATATCTGTGAGGTAGGACCAGGGTGGGCACTCACGCTGCTTGAATGGGTGTTCGCACTAGCAGGTATCTGTAAGGTAGGACCAGGGTGGGCACACGAGCTGCTTGGAGGGGTGTTAGCACAGACACATATCTGTGAATAGGACCAGGGTGGGCACACGAGCTGCTTGAAGGAGTGTTAGCACATGCACATATCTGTGAATAGGACCAGGGTGGGCACACGAGCTGCTTGAAGGGGTGTTAGCACAGGCAGATATCTGTGAGGTAGGACCAGGGTGGGCACACGAGCTGCTTGAAGGGGTGTTAGCTTAGACACATATCTGTGAATAGGACCAGGGTGGGCACACGAGCTGCTTGAAGGGGTGTTAGCACAGACACATATCTGTGAATAGGACCAGGGTGGGCACACGAGCGGCTTGAAGGGGTGTTAGCATGCACAGGCAGATATCTGTGAGGTAGGATCTTGGCGGGCACTTGAGCTGTTTGGAGGGGTGCTCCACAGACACATATCTGTGAATAGGACCAGGGTGGGCACACGAGCGGTTTGAAGGGGTGTTAGCACATACACATATCTGTGAATAGGACCAGGGTGGGCACACGAGCTGCTTGGAGGGGTGTTAGCACAGACACATATCTGTGAATAGGACCAGGGTTGGCACACGAGCTGCTTGAAGGGGTGTTAGCATGCACAGGCAGATATCTGTGAGGTAGGACTAGGGTGGACACTCAAGCTGTTTGGAGGGGTGGGATTCACACACACTGGCACAGTGTTCGCACTGGCAAATGTGTATATGAAAAGCCACGCTTCTGACAGATTTATCTCCTTCTGGATCAATGTCTGTAACAATGTCTGTAACATTGTAACAATGATAATAACAATCTATGTAACAATGTCTCGAACAATCACTTTAACAGTCCGAGAAGCAATCACGCTAACAATGCGTTGTTGCTTTTGTTTTATTAGTGTTGGTCACAATGTTCAAGTGAAAGACATTTTCCGTCACTGAGGGTGTGTTTTGTGTCAATCAGAAATCCGGCCTGTCCCGGTGGATCGGGGGTGAGTTGACTGCTCTCAGCTCCCTGGAGCCATGGCTGATGAACCTCCTGCTCACCCTTCTCATCGCCCTGTGTACCGAGATCACCAGCAACGCAGCCACAGCCTCCCTTCTCGTGCCTATCGTGGCCCAGCTGGTGAGTGCCACCCACCCCCACAAACACCCTACATTTCACACACACACACACACACACACACACACACACACACACACACACACACACACACACACACACACACACATGTGGTCGACTGGGGATTATTGTGGGTAAAAATATATATTTAAGAACGTAGTGGATGGGTTAGTTTAAGGGGGAGTTGAACGGTAGCATTGAATAGGTTTGTTTTATAGACGTTTTACTTTTGGGAGTTAATTTAGAGGGGTGGTTAAAAGAACAAGTTTAAGTAAGAAGGTTGAATAGGTTTACGTAGGTAGGGAAGGGGGGAAATTACGTAGGTTATAGGTAGGTGGAGAAGGATTTTGCCCCTGTTGTTTTTTTTTGTTTTTTTCTGTTAAATAAACTTTAAATCCAACTTCACTCTTTGTGTTTTATCTATAATTAGAATTGGTAACCCAGTCAGGAGCCTCCTAGAACACACACACGCGCGCGCACACACAATACACACACCCTCTCTCACACACAGACACACGAACATACACACAGACACGCGCGCGCGCACGCACACACACAGATACACACACACACATGCACATGTACATGCACCTATGCAGCACAGAGATCTCCAGCAACCCCCGAGGTCCCCAGGTGCACAATACAATACACGTATATATCAGTCACAAGACAAGCCAGGACAACATGTTTAGGTCACGCTGTGTTTCCTATAGCGACATCTTATATATCATATATGATCGGCTGTTATGATTCCAGGCCATGAACTTGTCCATCAACCCGCTCTACCTCATGTTTACCTGCGCCATCTGCACGTCCTTCGCCTTCATGCTGCCTGTGGCGACACCACCAAACGCCATCGTCTTCTCCAACGGCTATCTGGAGGTCAAGGACATGGTAGGGCCCCAACCTTGCTGGCATTTTATACAACATTTACAGGGTTGTCTACTAATTAAACTGACTCTTATACAACACTGTACTTGTGCAGTGTCTCATTATTATATAACACTGTTATTACATAGACACTAACGCAACACTGTATTTGTGTAGTGTTTCATTATTATATAACACTGTTATTGCATAGACACTAACGCAACACTGTATTTGTGTAGTGTCACATTATTATATAACACTGTTATTGCATAGACACATATACAACACTGTATTTGTGAAGTGTATTATTATTATATTACACTGTTATTACATAGCCACTAATACAACACTATATTTGTGTAATGTATTATTATTATTATTATTATTATTATATTACACTGTTATTGCATAGCCACTAATACAACACTGTTCTTGTGCAGTGTCTCATTATTATATAACACTGTTATTGCATAGCCACTAATACAACACTGTACTTGTGCAGTGTCTCATTATTATATAACACTGTTATTGCATAGATATTAATACAACACTGTACTTGTGCAGTGTCTCATTATTATATAACACTGTTATTACATAGACAATAACGCAACACTGTATTTGTGTAGTGTCTCATTATTATATAACACTGTTATTACAGAGACACTAATACAACACTGTACTTGTGTAGTGTCTCATTATTATATAACATGCATAGCCACTAATGCAACACTGTTCTTGTGCAGTGTCTCATTATTATATAACACTGTTATTGCATAGCCACTAATACAACACTGTACTTGTGCAGTGTCTCATTATTATATAACACTGTTATTGCATAGATATTAATACAACACTGTACTTGTGTAGTGTCTCATTATTATATAAAACTGTTATTACAGAGACACTAATACAACACTGTACTTGTGTAGTGTCTCATTATTATATAACACTGTTATTACAGAGACACTAATACAACACTGTACTTGTGTAGCGTCTCATTATTATATAACATGCATAGACACTAATACAACACACAGTAGGTCTAGATCAGTGTTGTTCATGAGGTCACACTGCTGCTGTTGATGACGTCCCCATTGTCTTCCTACAGATCCAGGCCGGTGCGGTGATGAATATACTGTGCGTGGCTATCCTCAACGTGGGTGCAAACACGTGGGGCAAAGCCTACTTCAACCTCGGTGTCATGCCCATTGAATTCTCCACAAACTTCACTGCTGCCGACGTTGTCATCAACAATGTTACGTTGACGAACTAGGTGATGCTCATCATCAAAACAACCTGTATTCTCATCAATCAGGAAACAACTGACACTTGACGAGATAAATGAATGCTTTGCCTTCTTTATGTACTACATATATCATAGCAATATTTGAGGAACACTAGTGAGTGAGTGTGTGAGTATGGTTTTACGCCGCTTTTAGCAACATTCCAGCAATATCACGGCGGGGGACACCAGAAATGGGCACCCCATTGTACCCATGTCGGGAATCGAACCCAGGTCTTCGGCGTGACGGGCGAATGCTTTAACCACCAGGCTATCCGACCGCCCCTGAAGAACATTAATGACGAGTAAATAGTTCAAAAGTATTGAAACAAGTGTGTAAAAGTTTCGTATCCTCAACATTCAATGGTTAAATTTTTACATTGGTATGGAATAAAAGCATCGTCGTGGAAGGCGATATGAGTTGTGGTGTCATCTGTCCAGTATGACTGACACTACGCGAAATGAGTTGACGTTTGTGTCTCAGCAAATGACCACATATACTGACGGTCAAAAGAAACTTACCATACTTTTAAATCCCTACAGAAACTACAAAAGGCCAGTCATACAGCATCCAACCACCTGTTACTAGAATATCAAGACCATGCCCCAGCCCGGGCTAGGTTAAAACAAGAATTGCAGTTAGATCCGCTATCTGTCATAGATCTCCTAAAGCCAAGAGATGCAATAGCGAAGGCCAAACTAACTAAAAATGAAATCATATCAATATAAGAAAATAGAAATCATATCAATGCAAAAACAGAAATTATGTGAACACCGAACTCACAATAGATATGTGAACCCTTCACACACACAGGGGTCCCAAAGAGGGACAGGTCAGCCGAAATTGCCTGGGCAGAAGGCGACCTCTTAAACACCTAATGCAACAACAACATCCGAGATACTGGCATGACAGTTGCCCGAATTGAGGTGGGGAGGAAAAACAAGCTTTCAACGTAATTGACAAAGTGCACGCACATCTAAAATCGCTCAAGTTTATTGACACGTCACATTAATAGCGTGTCTGACCATCCCCTGCTACAAGACATGCAAAAACAGAAAATGTCAGTCGTCTGATGACGTCACGCGGGATACGTCGCCATTCTTTTTGCAGGGCCAGGATCAGTTCTTGTCGATTGCCTTAAGGAAGCGGTCGATGTCGAACACGACCATCAACGGCCTCCCAGAAGTGTTCTATGGGGGACATGTCTGGGGAGCGTGAAGGCCACTGCAACTTGTTGACGTTGTTCGCTGCAAGGCCACGTTTGTAACATTTTAGTCAAATCCGATTTCAACAGTGTGCTTTCTTAAGCCCGGCAGTGTATTAACTACAAAGTTTTACATTTCTAAATGAACATGATTGCGGTTAATATTCAACTATGTGTCAAAGAGAATTATGATGACACCTGTCCGGTGCCACTGCGAGTACACAGTACAAAGTTGTTTGAGATCCTAGATACAAGCTTAAACACGTTCCTTGTCCCATAAAGTTGACATGCTTAAGGCTTAGCATGTTTTAGATGGTGTTTAACAGCTAAACGTGTTTAGGGTCTAAATGTGTATACCCCTTGAAACTCATTGAAGGTAATTTAAAAAATGGGGTGCATTCTATATATATTCTAGCGTTTAAATTTTGCTTCTGACTAGTCAACCAATGTCAGCTTGACTCATGTTGTTCCACCCATCAGTGAGAGCACCACCGAGTTCATTGAGAGTGGTAGGTGGATATTGACGTTGACGTACACGTCTGCCAACGCCCCAGACGTGTTCAGTGGGGGAAAAGGTCAGGATGCATCAATGCTGTTGCTTCCCCAATGAGTAAATAAGTTTATATATATTTGAGCTTTTGGTTCCGAGAAAACAATATGCGTCTGTTCAAAACCGTGTCTTAGTAACAATGGTGAATGTTGGCATACCACCATTGCACGTGCTGTCCGAGATCGCGTGCTTCTTGACTGTCAGAATGTTGTGTTTGGCAGCTTCATTTCTTCGGAAATGTTCGTGCCACATAAATCACCTACTTTCGTTGCCAGACAGTGGAGTATGTTCCTGTAGTTTCACCTCAAACACAATATCCCCTACTTTTTTTGCATAGTATATTTGGTCGTGACGAGGCAAGTCTATAACAAATGGACTATCACACCTACATAGAACATCGTTATTGGCCAACACCTTTTACCAGGGTGAGGCAATATACATACTTCTATTTAACGTATCTAGAGGCTGACATCTAATCCCAGACAAACAAGGCATCCTGACCCAGTGACATGAGTGACCCTAGCAACACATTTATTTGATAATCAAACCTGCTGACCCACAATGGAAGTTTACAAAAGATGTAACCTGAAGATTGATTTGCTTGGCATAGAGATAATTCCCAGGGGAGCAACTAGACTAATTTTAAGTGTAAGCAAAAACCAGATTTTGTTTAAAATTAGATGCTCTTAAACACTGTTTCCTGCATTGTGGGACCATTTATGTTAGATTAAATTTGTAACAAATATTAATAATTAATTTATTATAATTTTGTAGTGATAGTACTGAACCGCAAAAGAAACGTCACCCCAAGTAACATTGCATGAAAAGTTGTCATTGAAATATCTAGGTAATTTTGTCAAAAGTTCTAAAATTTAACATTACCTTGTCCGGAAAAATGAAATTTGATGATAAAAAAACAAAGCAGATGACAATAAAACCGATCGCCCAAACGCATCACGGCAACGGCCATGGTAACCCGATGCATAGGTGTTTCACCAACACATTTACGGCTATCATTCAAGAAACATCTATGAACGAATTGAACATTAAAACGAATCGATATTATTATTTTTGTGATTTTACATGTTTTAATTTGTAGAACAGGATAGTTATTTATATTTTCATGTCATTATAATGAAAATAAGCTATCTACCACTAAAATCCTAAAGTGCAAGTTAGACAATAAGTGTTCAACCGTGTAGAGTTTGAATATATAATTTACTGCATGGCTGGTAAATTAAGGTTTACTTATATAAAACAATTGTGCTTTTTGGGTGAAAAAAAGTTTAGATTGTTTAAGAGTTAGCAATTGCTTTTCTGCACGCTGGTAGTCTGGCCCCTGGTCCCATCGCTACGACTGTCGTAAGTCTATGTTAAACTAGAAAAGTTACGGCAACCATAGCGCTGAGATCGCCTTTTGGAACGTGGCCTTCATCTTGCCTATGATTGCTTCTGATGTTTAACCGCCTGGTTCCTGTGACCAAGGTGAAGGCTGCGACAAGCAGGTCCTCTATCTGGAACACCAAATGTGGCTCTGTGTGGTCGTTACATTCCCCTGGAGTACATACATGCTGGGATAGTACATCCGTCTTCACGCTGCTGTGTTGCAATGAAGACGTAGCCATGCGTGCCAGTAACCTACGAAGCCACGTAATGTTTGTTTGTTGCCGCACTCAACAATATTCCAGCTATACGACGGCCGTCTGTAAATAATCGAGCCTGGACCAGACAATCCAGTGATTGACATCATGAACATTCATCAACGAATTTGGGATACGACATGCATCAACCAAATCAGCGAGCCTGACCACCCGATCCCGTTAGTCGCCTCTTATGGCAAGCATGGGTTGTTGAAGTACTTTTCTAACCCGGAACTTCACGGGTCGCCACTGTATGGATGGTCAGTCTCGGTGAGGGCGTGTCATCGTACCCCCGACGGCTTTGGAGATTTGTTTATAACATCAATCACAGGATTGACTGGTCCAGACACGACTATTTACAGGGCGCCGTGGTAGAGCTGGAATATTGCTGATTGCAAGGCACAACAAAAATCAAGGAAACAAACCCATGTATAAATTTATTTTACGGAACTGTGCATTACGTGCATGAATGTATACAAGTAAAAAAACATTATATGTTTTCCAATCAATGATTACGTCACGTTTTTGTTAATAATTCGGATGAGAGACATAAACAACGTGTTTACCTGTATGATGCTGTGAGTGTAGTTTAACCAATAGGTAAAACTGATTTACTCATGTCAGCACCGATGAAGGAAGTTTGGTGATAAGACACTGGGACAACAAGCGCGTCCTACATTGATCTACACATATGGAGGTCACATGACAGCTGTATATCACTTTTATTCCCAATCTGAAAGTCAGGGGTGTTGTTCACACAGGGATTCTTACCTGGTTATATATTTCACCTGGGGCCGGTAAGTAGACTGTCACGGTTTGTCTCACAAATATCCATCGGTTTTTACATCATGGTTAATGTGAACTTTTCGTGCAAGTACTGAATGTTTTGCCGTCTTTATGCTCTTCTTTCGAATAAATGATGCTGGATAGCGTCTCTGAACGAAGTATGCAACTAAACACAAACATCAAATCAGCTGTGTTTGATTTTTAGAAATGGCGAGAGATAATTATACCGTTGAGACGGACATTGCGTCAGCTTCACGTGCAGGGAGCATATCACGTGACTTCTGGGCAATAAAGAGGACGCTGCTGGTGGTCTTTTTGCCCCTGGTGCTTTTACCTCTACCCATACTCTCGGACTCTACGGTAGGTGGTGCTTTTACCTCTACCAATACTCTCGGACACTACGGTAGGTGGTGCTTTTACCTATATACATACTCTCGGACTCTACAGTAGGTGGTGCTTTTACCATTATCCATACTCTCGGACTCTACGGTAGGTGGTGCTTGTACCTCTACCAATACTCTCGGACACTACGGTAGGTGGTGCTTGTACCTCTACCCATACTCTCGGACTCTACGGTAGGTGGTGCTTGTACCTCTACCCATACTCTCGGACTCTACGGTAGGTGGTGCTTGTACCTATATACATACTCTCGGACTCTACAGTAGGTGGTGCTTTTACCATTATCCATACTCTCGGACTCTACGGTAGGTGGTGCTTGTACCTCTACCAATACTCTCGGACACTACGGTAGGTGGTGCTTGTACCTCTACCCATACTCTCGGACTCTACGGTAGGTGGTGCTTGTACCTCTACCCATACTCTCGGACTCTACGGTAGGTGGTGCTCTTACCTCTACCCATACTCTCGGACTCTACGGTAGGTGGTGCTTGTACCTCTACCCATACTCTCGGACTCTACGGTAGGTGGTGCTTTTACCTATATACATACTCTCGGACTCTACGGTAGGTGGTGCTCTTACCTCTACCCATACTCTCGGACTCTACGGTAGGTGGTGCTTGTACCTATATACATACTCTCGGACTCTACGGTAGGTGGTGCTCTTACCTCTACCCATACTCTCGGACTCTACGGTAGGTGGTGCTCTTACCTCTACCCATACTCTCGGACTCTACGGTAGGTGGTGCTCTTACCTCTACCCATACTCTCGGACTCTACGGTAGGTGGTGCTTGTACCTATTTACATACTCTCGGACTCTACGGTAGGTGGTGCTCTTACCTCTACCCATACTCTCGGACTCTACGGTAGGTGGTGCTTGTACCTATATACATACTCTCGGACTCTACGGTAGGTGGTGCTTTTACCTCTACCCATACTCTCGGACTCTACGGTAGGTGGTTCTTGTACCTATATACATACTCTCGGACTCTACGGTAGGTGGTGCTTGCACCTCTACCCATACTCTCGGACTCTACGGTAGGTGGTGCTTTTACCTATATACATACTCTCGGACTCTACGGTAGGTGGTGCTTGTACCTCTATTCACACTCTCGGACTCTACGGTAGGTGGTGCTTTTACCTATATACATACTCTCGGACTCTACGGTAGGTGGTGCTTTTACCTCTACCCATACTCTCGGACTCTACGGTAGGTGGTGCTTGTACCTATATACATACTCTCGGACTCTACGGTAGGTGGTGCTTGTACCTCTACCAATACTCTCGGACTCTACGGTAGGTGGTGCTTTTACCTATATACATACTCTCGGACTCTACGGTAGGTGGTGCTCTTACCTCTACCCACACTCTCGGACTCTACGGTAGGTGGTGCTTGTACCTCTATCCACACTCTCGGACTCTACGGTAGGTGGTGCTTGTACCTCTACCCATACTCTCGGACTCTACGGTAGGTGGTGCTTTTACCTATATACATACTCTCGGACTCTACGGTAGGTGGTGCTCTTACCTCTACCCACACTCTCGGACTCCTGTAGGTGTTTCTTTGATCTAGTAGCATGTATATATATTCTTTGACTCCGGTAGGTGATGCTGTTACTTATATATATACTCCCAGGCTCTGGTAGGTGGTGCTTTGATCTACTAGTATATACATACTCCCAGACCCCGGTAGGTAGTGCTCTGATCTACTAGTATATACATACTCCCAGACCCCGGTAGGTGGTGCTCTGATCTACTAGTATATACATACTCCCAGACTCCGGTAGGTGGTGCTCTGATCTACTAGTATATACATACTCCCAGACCCCGGTAGGTGGTGCTCTGATCTACTAGTATATACAAACTCCCAGACTCCGGTAGGTGGGGCTCTGATCTACTAGTATATACATACTCCCAGACCCCGGTAGGTGGTGCTCTGATCTACTAGTACATACATACTCCCAGACTCCGGTAGGTGGTGCTCTGATCTACTAGTATATACATACTCCCAGACTCCGGTAGGTGGTGCTCTGATCTACTAGTATATACATACTCCCAGACCCCGGTAGGTGGTGCTCTGATCTACTAGTATATACATACTCCCAGACCCCGGTAGGTGTTGCTCTGATCTACTAGTATATACATACTCCCAGACTCCGGTAGGTGGTGCTCTGATCTACTAGTATATACATACTCCCAGACCCCGGTAGGTGGTGCTCTGATCTACTAGTATATACATACTCCCAGACCCCGGTAGGTGGTGCTCTGATCAACTAGTATATACATACTCCCAGACTCCGGTAGGTGGTGCTCTGATCTACTAGTATATACATACTCCCAGACTCCGGTAGGTGGTGCTCTGATCTACTAGTATATACATACTCCCAGACTCCGGTAGGTGGTGCTCTGATCTACTAGTATATACATACTCCCAGACCCCGGTAGGTGGTGCTCTGATCTACTAGTATATATATACTCCCAGACCCCGGTAGGTGGTGCTCTGATCTACTAGTATATACATACTCCCAGACTCCGGTAGGTGGTGCTCTGATCTACTAGTATATACATACTCCCAAACTGCAGCCATCAGATCTCACCCCGTATATAGTTCGTGCAACGTGATGACCGAAGTGGTTGGTACAGTTGACAGAAGTCAGGTATGCAATCATTGAGAAATAGTCATATAAGGATCACGACTGTCGACAGATTCGTTCAAGTAATGCGAATCCAGTTTCGATGTCGATTTCCTCACATTTGTTGCCAGATGACCATGGGATTATGACCATGGATTTAAGAACAATAATTCGAGATTAAAATAAGAATACTTTCCTCGAGACAAATACTTTGTTCAAATATATTGACATTGCATTTTTTCAACATGTCACTGTGGCCTACTTGCGGAGTGTAAACAGGGTTTTCCACCCTTATCGTGCATTTGGCCGTTTTATTGCGCTTTTCGCTGATCTGCTGTCATGGTCGAAGTATGTAACAACGCAGGATAATGATAATTGTCCACCGGTGCAACAGAAATAGAGAAGCCCTATCACACTCAGCCCTTGCAGCTCACCATCCACCCCCACTCCGTCCTGACCTACAGCTCACCATCCACCCTTCGTTCCGTCCTGACCTACAGCTCACCATCCACCCTCCACTCCGTCCTGACCTACAGCTCACCATCCACCCTCCACTCCTTCTTGACCTACAGCTCACCATCCACCCTCCACTCCGTCCTGACCTACAGCTCACCATCCACCCTCCACTCCGTCCTGACCTACAGCACACCATCCACCCTCCGCTCCGTCCTGACCTACAGCTCACCATCCACCCTCCACTCCGTCCTTACATACAGCTCACCATCCACCCTCCCCTCCGTTTTGACCTACAGCTCACCATCCACCCTCCGCTCCGTCCTGACCTACAGCTCACCATCCACCCTCCACTCCGTCCTGACCTACAGCTCACCATCCACCCTCCCCTCCGTCCTGACCTACAGCTCACAATCCACCCTCCACTCCGTCCTGACCTACAGCTCACCATCCACCCTCCACTCCGTCCTGACCTACAGCTCACCATCCACCCTCCCCTCCGTCCTGACCTACAGCTCACCATCCACCCTCCGCTCCGTCCTGACCTACAGCTCACCATCCACCCTCCCCTCCGTCCTGACCTACAGTTCACCATCCACCCCAACTCCGTCCTTACCTACACCTCACAATCCACCCCCACTCCGTTCTTACCTACAGCTCACAATCCAACTCCCACTCCGTCCTGACCTACAGCTCACCATCCACCCTTCGTTCCGTCCTGACCTACAGCTCACCATCCACCCTCCACTCCGTCCTGACCTACAGCTCACCATCCACCCTCCACTCCGACCTAACCTACAGCTCACAATCCACCCCCCACTCCGTACTGACCTACAGCTCACCATCCACCCCCCCCCCCCCCACTCCGTCCTGACCTACAGCTCACCATCCACCTTCCGCTCCGTCCTGACCTACAGCTCACCATCCTCCCTTCACTCCGTCCTAACCTACAGCTCACAATCCACCCTCCACTCCGTCCTGACCTACAGCTCACCATCCACCCTCCGCTCCGTCCTGACCTACAGCTCACCACCCTCCCTTCACTCCGTCCTAACCTACAGCTCACCATCCACCCTCCCCTCCGTCCTGACCTACAGCTCACCATCCACCCTCCCCTCCGTCCTGACCTACAGCTCACCATCCACCCTCCACTCCGTCCTGACCTACAGCTCACCATCCACCCTCCGACCGTCCTGACCTACAGCTCACCATCCACCCTTCGTTCCGTCCTGACCTACAGCTCACCATCCTCCCTTCACTCCGTCCTAACCTACAGCTCACAATCCACCCTCCACTCCGTCCTGACCTACAGCTCACCATCCACCCTCCGCTCCGTCCTAACCTACAGCTCACAATCCACCCTCCGCTCCGTCCTGACCTACAGCTCACCATCCTCCCTTCACTCCGTCCTAACCTACAGCTCACAATCCACCCTCCACTCCGTCCTGACCTACAGCTCACCATCCACCCTCCCCTCCGTCCTGACCTACAGCTCACCATCCACCCTCCACTCCGTCCTGACCTACAGCTCACCATCCACCCTCCGACCGTCCTGACCTACAGCTCACAATCCACCCCCCACTCCGTCCTGACCTACAGCTCACAATCCACCCTCCACTCCTTCTTGACCTACAGCTCACCATCCACCCCCCGCTCCGTCCTAACCAACAACTCACCATCCACCCCCACTCCGTCCTGACCTACGGCTCACTTCTTACTTGTCAGAAATGGAATAGTGATTACTAGCTGTTTTTACATATAAAATATTACATCATGAAGGAGCTTAGTTCATCAACTCATTTCTATTACTCGTAAAAACATTGGATGTGTTTAATGGTCAAAGTCGCCCTAAAACCCAAATACCATACCATACCATACCAAACCATACCATACCATACCATACCATACCATACCATACCATACCATAACCAACTTCTTTGAGTGGCATTTAGAAGTAACTAAGACAAAATTGTTATGGATGAGCAACTTCTTTATTACAATTGGGCGACGTTTCGGTGTAGATTCTAACACCGTTTTCAACCAAATGATGTACAAGCTACTTACTTACTTACTTACTTTGGAGGGGCGGTCGGGTAGCCTAGTGGTTAAAGCGTTTGCTCGTCACGCCGAAGACCCGGGTTCGATTCCCGACATGGGTACAATGTGTGAAGCCCATTTCTGGTGTCCCCCGCCGTGATATTGCTGGAATATTGCTAAAAGCGGCGTAAAACCATACTCACTCACCCACTTACTTACTTTGGAGATTTAACGTGCGCTTTCCGACTGATGCGTATTTCGCACATCAACCCTATCTCTTGTTTAATCTTGACTTATCATAACTACCTAATCAATCAGTGCACATCAACCGTATCTGTTATATAAACATCTTCTATTGTTATGTATATATATCATGCTCTTACCTAGTTTGTACATCATTTGCTTGATAACGGTGTTAGAATCTACACCGAAACGTCGCCCAATTGTAATAAAGAAGTTGCTCATCCATAACAATTTTGTCTTAGATACCATAACCATACCAAAAATAGCGTCGTTCAATTTAATTCGTCATCGAGTTGCGATGATAGAACAATGTTTTATCGTGAAAAAAACACACGCTTCTTCGTTTTTTTCTTTGCTATTTATCGCGTAGCTTTCTCATACACGTAGGTAGAAACTACTTCATTAACAATACAGCAAACCAAGTCCAGTTGCCGTGGTAACGTCCACAATTTACAAGAGTACCCTTTCCTCACATTGTCTTCATTTCCTTTCTATAAGATGATCACCGATGCCAAAAATATGTAAGTATTGCAAAACGTCATTAACCTGAAACACCAGAAGGTGTGGCATTGTGAAATATTGATTGAGTTCCATTTTTGATTTCAAATACATCTGATGAGAACTAACGTATAAGGATTGCTAAAAGCGGCGTAATTCCACACTCACTCACTCACTCACTCACTCACTCACTCACTCACTCACTAATGTATAAGGATCCAAGATTTCAAATACATCTGATGAGAACTAACGTATAAGGATTGCTAAAAGCGGCGTAATTCCACACTCACTCACTCACTCACTCACTCACTCACTCACTCACTCACTAATGTATAAGGATCTGGATAATGTGTGATGTAAACAAAACTTAGAAACTGTAGGAAAATATTCACAAGTGTTCATGTGAATGATAACTTAATTATGTTTATGCAAGTTTTGGAATTATAACTTAACACAAAATGAATGGCAGAATATAGATTTTGGTAATAATTAAACATGAGCAAATTTTTGACCTCCCAGGCTGATTATCAAACATGTGGCAAACAATTCATAGTTACAGTCTTGATCAATGTTACATTTTCTATTGAAAATGTTGAAAAATCGAGGCTTTGCTTCCTTAAGCCATTCTAGTGTACGTGAGAAAAGGGTGTTTCGGTTGATTTTTGTAATTAATGAAAAATGTCATTATCATCCCTATTTGGAGTCGTCGTGGGGCGAACGTGAATGACAATGAAATATTTCGGATAACGTTATAGATTAAAACAAGAAAGTCTAATCTTAAAACATAAATAAAGTTAAAAAACTTTTATAACAGCTGTAATAATAAATAATTTTAGAAGGGGGTGTTGTCATGTCATTCTACCCTGGGGCAATGTGGTGGCACGTGGTCCTGTGTGGACACACTGGTCACAAACAGGTGAAGTTTATCAACGTGGGTTGCGGAGAGCAGCTGGATGGGTGAGCGTCCTGAGAGTGTCTGGTGCTTCGGTTCTGCTCCACACACATGTAGCACGTGTGGTGACTCCTCAGGCAAGTGACTTTGTTCGATATGTACCGTAGCATCTGTTTAACCAGCAGTGAATGGGTACCTGGTAGGATGAGACTGTTAACCTTCTAGCATTTCCTAAATAAAATGCGCCATGACACGTATGTGCAGTAGATGAGTGGTTTTCCATTCTTGTGTTTCAGGAAACAAAATGTGCCTACGGCCTTGCCCTTATGGCCGTGTTTTGGATCACGGAGAGCCTCCCCCTGGCGGTGACCGCTCTTCTGCCCATGGTTGTCTTCCCTTTGTTCGGGGTCATGAAGGCGACTGACGTTGCCGGGAACTATATCAAGGTGTGCGTCACGTGATGTACAAAAGATTCATCACTTATTTAAAAACAGTCCTCTTCAATATCCCTTGGAGGAAGACCCGTGAAGATTTGGAGTAGATTAGGTCTTCAGCAATCCATGCTTGCTGTAAAAAGTGACTATGCTTGTCGTAAGAGGCGACTAAAGGGATCGGGTGGTCAGGCTCGCTGATTAGGTTGAAGCATGTCATCGTATCCCAATTGCGTGGATCGATGCTCATGATAGCAATCACTGGATTGTCTGGTCCAGACTCGATTATTTACAGAGAGACGTCATATAGCTGGAATACTGCTGAGTGCGGCGTAAAACAACAATCTATCCAACCAAACCCTTGGCGGAACACATCCCCAGGTTTAGATGCTGATCGTCAGAGCAGACTTAAATGAGGATGTGGCCGTCCCAATCTGTGTCCCGAACGTTTTCAATAGGGTCAAAATAATCATCTTTGTAAATTACACCGATATCCAACTGCAAGACGAACATCAGTGTCTTAAACATTGCGGCAGGTGTTTGAAATATTCTAATTTTAATCAAATAAAACATTTACAAATTTCAACATCATTTAGGGACTGGTCTTTTATTATAAGAAGGCGGATCATGAAAAATGTTCCACGTATTTAGGTGGAGGGACTGTTACATAAAATGGGGGGTGTCGGCAAAATTTTAGGCCGTCCGAAGAGCGATCCTGTCGACCTCCGACCCACCCGATCCCCACCCCTATGATAAACTACCAATCCCTTGTGAAAGCGTATTGACAACTTATTATTCAATGAAGTAAGATTTTCGGTCACTTCAAATGTTTTCGCTGTTTCGGTCAGGAGACCACCATGTTTGGTTTTGGCGGCCTTACAATCGCCATTGCCGTGGAGAACTGTAGACTGCACAAGAGGATCGCTCTCAAGACGCTTACCCTGGTCGGCGCCCAGCCTAGGTGGTGAGTAGCACACCTATCTACACATCTATCACATCGACGTTAACTTCACGTCTGAGTGTTTTACAGGACGTCCGAGCGTTATACAGGACCTAAGAGCGCTGTACTGGGGCGATGGTATTGCCTTGTGGTTAAGGCTTGCGTCCAACATTGACGACAAAGAGACACAGTTTGTATTTACGAGTGGCACACTCTTAACAGATTAAGTACAATACTTTCAATGCTTAAAGGCACAGTCTTCAGATACACATTCTGTATGAGGTATATTTAACAAATATTTAACTTTTAATAATAATGTTGACTTTTGCAGTGACCAAATCTCTTTAAATCTTTTGGTTACATTGAAAGTGTCCAATTGGCTATCCAACAATGTTAAAATAACAACCATGTTGGTGTCGCGCATGCGCGTGCGGTAGCACCTTAACAGAGGCCTCTGACGTCAATTTGGACACCTTCCAACGGTTGTATTTCCTCGGTTGTAACGACCGCTTATAGGTGTGTCACAAAGTTGTGAAGAGATATTGGAAATATACACATTGCTGTAACTTATTGTTTGTCCCCGAGTACAGTTACATAATTCACTACTCACTCACTCACTAATTCGGGCTGGGAAAGAGAGTTTATATTAGCAGAATGCACTGAAACATTAGACGACTACAAACTACGGTACCATGTTTGTAAATACGTATCTCTTAAGCGTCTTCTAAATACAAACAAAAACATGTTCTTATCACCAACATCTTGGAATAACCGCACATGCGCAAAACCGCTATTGAATAACATTTGTTTCACATGTGATGCCCTATTGACTTTACCATTCTCTTCTGATACTTTAAGCATAACATAACATTGGAAGGGGTATCGGCTTGCATTCATTCTCAAAGCTTAATCCAGTACTTAGTTACCCTTATTTGTGTGTTTATAGACATACAATGACGTCCAGTTTCACCCAGAATAGCTTTGTTTGCTGCATATTTACCCACGCCAAGAAAACGTTTAAAATAGCATGCTTGTATCTTTTCAACTCTGTCACGGTATTTCATACCCATATTTCCGAAACATACATCAATATATTACTGTCAAATATATGACAAGCAGTCGAGATGTCTATAAATTAGTTCTTACTCAACAAATAAGAATTGGCCCCATTGCCTTGCGTTCATGTATGGTGACACATGCTTTAGACGATATTAACAGTGAGGAAGACATAATTCCAATATATTTCTGGTAAGTTACTGTCTTTGTATTCACATTGCCCATTGTCCATGATTCATACTGAGATACTTTCCCTCGATTTCGAAATACAATAACATTGGATTTATCAACATTTGCACACAATCCCTATTTCGAGCAATATTTATTTAAAACATCTCATCTAAGCTGTCTCTGTAAGCCCCGAACAGTATACGAGAAAAATACAATGTCATCGGCAAATAAGAGTATCATTAGATCTTTAATATATTAGGGAACAAATATACCATGATCACAAGCAGCATACATTTGCAGCTATAGCTCATTGGTATAGAATATAAACAAAACAGGGCTCAAAACGCAGCCTTGTCTTACCCCAATAAAAGTGGAGTCCATCATAGTTGGTTCAGAACGTTTCACGTTCCCATCGTATCATTAAGGTATGCAACGTTCTGGTGTCCCCCGTTGTGATTGTGATGAAATATTGCTAAAAACGACATAATACTCTCCTCACTCTCTCAGCCATTATCTCAAATACATTTCTACTCATCCTTCGTCCCTAAGGTTGATGCTTGGTTTCATGCTGCCGACGTGGTTCCTGTCAATGTGGATCAGCAACACCGCCACCACCGCCATGATGACCCCCATCGTGAGCGCCGTCATCGACGAACTCCGACAAATCAATCAGCGATCAAGAGAGGGCCAAGTGGAGAATGCCATCGATATGGAACAAGGTGAGAACCATAACACAGAGTAGGTAAATTCTTTGATTTGAATACGCTCGCTCTTGGGTTGTTGCTGCCAAGGGTTTCATGACCAATGCCGTTCCTTCACCTCCCAGGGAGCCCGAACAGGTGCACGGTATGTTATATAGCGCATGGTAAGAGCCCACTCAGTAGATCGGGTGGTCAGTGACTTGTTGAGCTCAGCTCAGTGTGTGTGTGTGTGTGTGTGTGTGTGTGTGTGTGTGTGTGTGTGTGTGTGTGTGTGTGTGTGTGTGTGTGTGTCACCGTATATTGACGGCGTTGTTTGATATTCAATATACACCACTGGTCTGTCTGGTTCAGACTCGACCATTCACAGATCAGTGATCAGCTGGAATGTCGCTGACTATGGCAAGCTACTTATGTTCTATCTTGTGTTCAGGGATGACCAACGGTGGCTACGTCGGGGACAAATTCGACAACCTCGGGGATAAAGTCGACACTCACATAAATGGCGAAGTCTCAGCAGATACACATCCTGAAGAAACGTATGTTTTCTCTGTCCAGCAATTTGTGCAGTTGTTGTGCACACAAACTGATAATACGGCCGCTTAATTACGCCCCACGGCTATTTAAGTCTTTTCGAAATGAAAGGGCAGTAACTGTGCTGAATGAATTAAAAAACATCGAATGACAACACTCTCATTCAAGAGCATTCGAGGCCATAAACACATCCAAATACGGAATTCGTCTTCCAAGAAATGTATTCCATTCGGTTGATAGAAATGTCAAATAAGCCATGATTCCAACTGTCAATCTCACCATGTATCCAATGTTTATAATGGTTTTTCAAATAAAAACTTGATGTTCTGGGGGACACGCAATATAACGAACTCCTGCACAACACTGCAATGTCCAGTGATGGAACTGATGGAACTGATCGAACTGGCGTGTGTTGTGTAACAGAACCACCAGGATGATCATCAGATTCTGAAATGTTTTTATACAATACATTATGTTATCTGTCCCTTTCATCTCCAGCTCTGGGTCATCACTTTCCCCCAAACCTTAATACTTCGACATAACCAGAACGTAATACTTCGAAACAGCTAGAATGTAACACTTCGACACAACCAGAATGTAACACTTTTACACAACCAGAATGTAACACTTCGACACATCCAGAATGTAATACTTCGACACAACCAGAATGTAACACTTCGACACAACCGGAATGTTACACTCCGACACAACCAGAATATAACACTTCGACACAACCAGAATGTAACACTTCGACACAACCAGAATGTAACACTTCGACACAACCAGAATATAACACTTCGACACAACCAGAATGTAACACTTCGATACATCCAGAATGTAATACTTCGACACGACCAGAATGTTATACTTCGACACAACCAGAATGTAACACTTCGACACAACCAGAATGTAATAATGTTTACTACAGGAAAGCCAGCACCACAGGGATAAATGTAACAACGCCCCCTCCCACGCCCTTCGACCCCACCGACCGAAGCCACGACTCCCCCGAGTTCAGTAGACTCTGCAAGGGCTTTTGTCTCTGTGTCGCCTACGCTGCCAACGTGGGCGGCACTGGGTCGTTGTCGGGGTCTGGACCTAACCTCATCATGAAGGGTCAGGCGGATATGTGAGTGTATAACAACCCAGGCTTTGTTTGTAGACATGTGGTCAGGTCTGTCGGATCTCAATAACTTCTCTCACTTCTCTATAACTCTTTTATGGAACAATGTATCCACTGCGTTTATTGCTTATTTGATTATGACATTATTTCTAATGGCTAAACTTTTATTTTTATCTTTAAGACTTAAGATTTGAATTGTTTAGACGTTTTCTTTAATTTTATTGTTTAGACTTTTATTTTGTATTGTTTAGACTTTTAATATTTTTATTGTTTATACATTATTATCATCATCATCATCATCATCGTCGTCGTTGTTGTTGTTGTTGTTGTTGTTGTTGTTGTTGTTGTTGTTTAGAGTTTTATCATTTTTGTTGTGTAGAATTTTCGAAAAGTACGGTCTTGATTCGGGCGTGAATTTCCTCACATGGATGATATTCGCCCTGCCGGGGTCGGTGATCTGCTTAACGTTGGCGTGGATGTGGCTGCAGACGTTGTTCCTTGGGAAGAAGTAAGTCACCATGCCACATGTCAATAAAGGAGCCTAACATAAATGCTTGAATGACATTTAAACAAAATTCACTTTGTTTCTCGTATCTCCAATAGCTACTTACCCCTGTCTGGGTTTTTAAATTCTGTAACTTATGACCATAATAAATAAATTTTAAGACTTTTACCAACTACCGCCTCACGACAAAACACCCAGGCTTACATCGTGTAAGCTCACTCACTCACTCACTCACTCACTCACCCAAACATACACCAAAACATACACCCAACCACCCACCCACCTACCTACCTACCTACCTACCTACCTACCTACCTACCTACCTACCTACCTACCTACCTACCTACCTACCTTCCTACCTACCTACCTACCTAGTGTTATTATCCCACTGTATCAACATGCAAAGAAAATGGTCCCTTGGCCCTCCCTTTCATAGATTGTTGCTGTACACAGATGCCGCACACAGATTGTCTATGAAAAATATGACGAGACATCATATGCCTTCCGCTTCACATTAGTATCTTTATAAAATTGATGTTTATGGTTTATGGTTTATGGTTTGGTCTGTTGAGAGGCGACACCACGACAACAGTCACAACAGCAAACCGAAGTAGCATGACACTGCCACAAGAATGTCAATCTCAGTTCTGCATCATTCCAGGTCGCTGTTGTGCTGCATGTCAAAGACGGGTGATGGCCAGAAGAGAGTGACAGCCGTCATTAAAGAGGAATATAAAAAACTGGGCAAAATGTCGTAAGTTTAACAAAAACGTCACCCACATTCAATCAGATGAAATGGTGGAAGGTCAGCCTGTGGAAGCATAAGAACCTGGGAGTCTATAATGAAGGGACCACCCGTCAGCAGAAGTCACAACCGGGGCCGTAGACGCCCTGACACAACCCCAAACTAGGTTTCCGTCGTCATGTTGCAAGGTCCTAAACTAGACACTGACTCACCCCACTCACGCACACGGGCGCGCGCATACACACACGCACACACACTCATACATACACACGCACACACATCACATTGCTGGAGGGACGGTCGGGTAGCCTAGTGGTTAAACCGTTCGCTCATCACGCCGAAGACCCGGGTCCGATTCCCCACATGGGTACAATGTGTGAAGCCCATTTCTGGTGTCCCCCGCCGTAATATTGCTGGAATATTGCTAAAAGCGGCGTAAAACCATACTCACTCACTGTTGGAGTACTTACTTCAATGGTAATTCATTATTTTCCGCAGTTTTGCTGAAGCCGGCGTTCTCGTCCACTTCGTCACGCTGGTGTTGGCGTGGCTGACGCGGAACATCCCCTACGTCGGGGGGTGGGACCAGTTCCTCCCCGCGGGGTAAGTGACGTATGAAGTATACGGAACATAATATAATATCGGGGATAATACGGCAATAAATAACCCATTCGTGTCCCTGACATGGTTATACATTAGTATTTTATTTGTTGTTTATGTATTTTCTGTTTCTTCTGTATGTCAACATCTCCTTCATTTAGCAAATCTGCACAGTATCTTCCCAGCAGACTTCCTTGGTGGACGCCCTATATCCAATTCTCAGTACCATCCCAACAGACCGCCCATGTACAGTACCATCCCAACAGACCGCCAATGTACAGTATCATCCCAACAGACCGCCCATGTACAGTACCATCCCAACAGACTTCCCATGTACAGTACCATCCCAACAGACTTCCCATGTACAGTACCATCCCAACAGACCGCCCATGTACAGTATCATCCCAACAGACTTCCCATGTACAGTACCATCCCAACAGACCGCCCATGTACAGTATCATCCCAACAGACCGCCCATGTACAGTATCATCCCAACAGACTTCCCATGTACAGTACCATTCCAACAGACCGCCCATGTACAGTACCATCCCAACAGACCGCCCATGTACAGTACCATCCCAACAGACCGCCCATGTACAGTACCATCCCAACAGACCGCCCATGTACAGTACTATCCAAACAGACTTCCCATGTACAGTACTATCCAAACAGACTTCCCATGTACAGTACCATCCCAACAGACCGCCCATGTACAGTACCATCCCAACAGACCGCCCATGTACAGTACTATCCCAACAGACTTCCCATGTACAGTACTATCCCAACAGACTTCCCATGTACAGTACCATCCCAACAGACTTCCCATGTACAGTACCATCCCAACAGACCGCCCATGTACAGTATCATCCCAACAGACCGCCCATGTACAGTACTATCCCAACAGACTTCCCATGTACAGTACCATCCCAACAGACCGCCCATGTACAGTACTATCCCAACAGACCGCCCATGTACAGTACTATCCCAACAGACTTCCCATGTACAGTACCATCCCAACAGACCGCCCATGTACAGTACCATCCCAACAGACTTCCCATGTACAGTACCATCCCAACAGACCGCCCATGTACAGTATCATCCCAACAGACCGCCCATGTACAGTACTATCCCAACAGACTTCCCATGTACAGTACCATCCCAACAGACCGCCCATGTACAGTACTATCCCAACAGACCGCCCATGTACAGTACTATCCCAACAGACTTCCCATGTACAGTACCATCCCAACAGACCGCCCATGTACAGTACCATCCCAACAGACTTCCCATGTACAGTACCATCCCAACAGACCGCCCATGTACAGTACTATCCCAACAGACTTCCCATGTACAGTACAATCCCAACAGACCGCCCATGTACAGTACCATCCCAACAGACCGCCCATGTACAGTACTATCCCAACAGACCGCCCATGTACAGTACTATCCCAACAGACTTCCCATGTACAGTACCATCCCAACAGACCGCCCATGTACAGTACCATCCCAACAGACTTCCCATGTACAGTACCATCCCAACAGACCGCCCATGTACAGTATCATCCCAACAGACCGCCCATGTACAGTACTATCCCAACAGACTTCCCATGTACAGTACCATCCCAACAGACCGCCCATGTACAGTACTATCCCAACAGACCGCCCATGTACAGTACTATCCCAACAGACTTCCCATGTACAGTACCATCCCAACAGACCGCCCATGTACAGTACCATCCCAACAGACTTCCCATGTACAGTACCATCCCAACAGACCGCCCATGTACAGTACTATCCCAACAGACTTCCCATGTACAGTACAATCCCAACAGACCGCCCATGTACAGTACCATCCCAACAGACCGCCCATGTACAGTATCATCCCAACAGACCGCCCATGTACAGTACTATCCCAACAGACCGCCCATGTACAGTATCATCCCAACAGACCGCCCATGTACAGTACTATCCCAACAGACCGCCCATGTACAGTACTATCCCAACAGACCGCCCATGTACAGTATCATCCCAACAGACTTCCCATGTACAGTACCATCCCAACAGACTTCCCATGTACAGTACCATCCCAACAGACTTCCCATGTACAGTATCATCCCAACAGACCGCCCATGTACAGTACCATCCCAACAGACTTCCCATGTACAGTACCATCCCAACAGACTTCCCATGTACAGTATCATCCCAACAGACCGCCCATGTACAGTACTATCCCAACAGACCGCCCATGTACAGTACCATCCCAACAGACCGCCCATGTACAGTACTATCCCAACAGACTTCCCATGTACAGTACCATCCCAACAGACCGCCCATGTACAGTACCATCCCAACAGACCGCCCATGTACAGTATCATCCCAACAGACTTCCCATGTACAGTATCATCCCAACAGACCGCCCATGTACAGTACCATCCCAACAGACCGCCCATGTACAGTACCATCCCAACAGACCGCCCATGTACAGTACCATCCCAACAGACCGCCCATGTACAGTACCATCCCAACAGACCGCCCATGTACAGTACCATCCCAACAGACCGCCCATGTACAGTATCATCGCAACAGACCGCCCATGTACAGTCCCATCCCAACAGACAGCCCATGTACAGTACCATCCCAACATACCGCCCATGTACAGTATCATCGCAACACAGTTTTTGTGAAACTGATGGATGCAACAGTAAAATATAGAAAGAATTGAAACAGTCAATTGTGGTGATACCCCTCATATCAGCCTTGGGTCAACACACGCCACCCCAACAGTGCCCCCCCCCCCCCATGAACAACTCAAAGTACCATCCCTACTGACGCCCCATGTACAACTCTCAGTACCATCCCTACAAACGCCCCATGTACAACTCTCAGTACCATCCCTACTGACGCCCCATGTACAACTCTCAGTACCACCCCAACATACGCCCCATGTACAACTCTCAGTACCACCCAAACAGACGCCCCATGTACAACTCTCAGTACCATCCCAACAGACGCCCCATGTACAACTCTTAGTACCACCCCAACAGACGCCCCATGTACAACTCTCAGTACCACCCCAACAGACGCCACATGTACATATCTCAGTACCACCCCAACAGACGCCCAAGGTACAACAATTATTACCACCCCAACAGACGGCCCGTGTACAAGTCTCAGTACCATCCCAACAGACGCCCCATGTACAACTCTTAGTACCACCCCAACAGACGCCCCATGTACAACTCTCAGTACCACCCCAACATACGCCCCATGTACAACTCTCAGTACCACCCAAACAGACGCCCCATGTACAACTCTCAGTACCATCCCAACAGACGCCCCATGTACAACTCTTAGTACCACCCCAACAGACGCCCCATGTACAACTCTCAGTACCACCCCAACAGACGCCACATGTACATCTCTCAGTACCACCCCAACAGACGCCCAAGGTACAACAATTATTACCACCCCAACAGACGCCCCGTGTACAAGTCTCAGTACCATCCCAACAGACGCCCCATGTACAACTCTTAGTACCACCCCAACAGACGCCCCATGTACAACTCTCAGTACCACCCCAACATACGCCCCATGTACAACTCTCAGTACCACCCAAACAGACGCCCCATGTACAACTCTCAGTACCATCCCAACAGACGCCCCATGTACAACTCTTAGTACCACCCCAACAGACGCCCCATGTACAACTCTCAGTACCACCCCAACAGACGCCACATGTACATCTCTCAGTACCACCCCAACAGACGCCCAAGGTACAACAATTATTACCACCCCAACAGATGCCCCGTGTACAAGTCTCAGTACCATCCCAACAGACGCCCCATGTACAACTCTTAGTACCACCCCAACAGACGCCCCATGTACAACTCTCAGTACCACCCCAACAGACGCCACATGTACATCTCTCAGTACCACCCCAACAGACGCCCAAGGTACAACTATTATTACCACCCGAACAGACGCCCCGTGTACAAGTCTCAGTACCATCCCAACAGACGCCCCATGTACAACTCTCAGTACCACCCCAACAGACGCCCCATGTTCAACTCTCAGTACCACCCCAACAGACGCCCAAGGTACAACACTTATTACCACCCCAACAGACGCCCCGTGTACAATTCTCAGTACCATCCGAACAGACGCCCCATGTACAAACTCCCATTACAACCCCAACAGACGCCCCATGTACAACTCTAAGTACCATCCCAACAGACGCCCCATGTACAACTCTCAGTACCACTCAAACAGACGCCCTATGTACAACTCTCAGTACCACCCCAACAGACGCCCCATGTACAACTCTCAGAACCTACCCAACAGACGCCCAATGTACAACTCTCAGTACCACCCCAACAGACGCCCTATGTACAACTCTCAGTACCATCCCAACAGACGCCCCATGTACATCTCTCAGTACCATCCCAACAGACGCCCAATGTACAACACTTATTACCACCCCAACAGACGCCCCGTGTACAATTCTCAGTACCATCCCAACAGACGCCCCATGTACAACTCCCATTACCACCCCAACAGACGCCCCATGTACAAGTCTCAGTACAACCCCAACAGACGCCCAAGGTACAACTATTATTACCACCCCAACAGACGCCCCATGTACAATTCTCAGTACCATCCGAACAGACGCCCCATGTACAACTCCTATTACAAACCCAACAGACGCCCCATGTACAACTCTCAGTACCACCCCAACAGACGCCCCATGTACAACTCTCAGTTCAATCCCAACAGACGCCCCATGTACAACTCTCAGTACCACCCCAACAGACGCCCCATGTACAACTCTCAGTTCCATCCCAACAGACGCCCCATGTACAACTCTCAGTACCACCCAAACAGACGCCCCATGTACACCTCTCAGTACCACCCCAACAGACGCCCCATGTACAGTACCATCCAAACAGACGCCCCATGTACCGTACCATTCCAACAAACGCCCCATTTACAGTTCAATCCCAACAGACGCCCCATGTACAGTACCATCCCAACAGACGCCCCCTGTTATGTACCATCCCAAGACGCCCCATGTACAGTACCATCCAGACAGACGCCCCATGTACAGTACCATCCCCAGACGCCCCATGTACTGTACCATCCCAACAGACGCCCCATGTACAGTACTATCCCAACAGACGTCCCGTGTACAGTACCATACCGACAGACGCCCCGTGTACTGTACCATCCTCAGGCGCCCCATGTACAGTACCAATCTAACAGACGCCCCATGGACAGTACCATACCAACAGACGCCCCATGTACAGTACCATCCCAACAGACGCCCTATGTTATGTACCATCCCCAGACGCCCCATGTACTGTACCATCCCAACAGACGCCCCATGTACAGTACCATCCCAACAGACGTCCCGTGTACAGTACCATACCGACAGACGCCCCATTTACAGTTCAATCCCAACAGACGCCCCATGTACAGTACCATCCAAACAGACGCCCCATGTACAGTACCATCCCCAGACGCCCCATGTACTGTACCATCCCAACAGACGCCCCATGTACAGTACTATCCCAACAGACGTCCCTCGTACAGTACCATACCGACAGACGCCCCGTGTACTGTACCATCCTCAGGCGCCCCATGTACAGTACCATCCCAACAGACGCCCCATGTACAGTACCATCCCAACAGACGTGCCATGTACAGTACCATCCCAACGGACGCCCCATGTACAGTACCATCCCACCAGACGCCCCATGTACAGAAACATCCCAACAGACGCCCCATGTACAGTACTATCCCAACAGACGTCCCTCGTACAGTACCATACCGACCGACGCCCCGTGTACTGTACCATCCTCAGGCGCCCCATGTACAGTACCATCCCAACAGACGCCCCATGTACAGTACCATCCCAACAGACGTGCCATGTACAGTACCATCCCAACGGACGCCCCATGTACAGTACCATCCCACCAGACGCCCCATGTACAGAAACATCCCAACAGACGCCCAATGTACAGTACCATCCCAACAGACGCCCCGTGTTATGTACCATCCCCAGACGCCCCATGTACTGTTCCATCCCAACAGACACCCCATATACAGTACCATCCCAACAGACACCCCATGTACAGTACCATCCCAACAGACACCCCATGTACAGTACCATCCCAACAGACGCCCCATGTACAGTACCATCCCAACGGACGCCCCATGTACAGTACCATCCCAACGGACGCCCCATGTACAAAACCATCCCAACAGACGCCCCATGTACAGTACCATCACAACAGACGCCCTATGTACAGTACCATCCCAACAGATGCCCCATGTGCAGTACCATCCCAACAGATGCCCCATGTACAGTACCATCCCAACAGACGCCCCATGTACAGTACCATCCCAACAGATGCCCCATGTACAGTACCATCCCAACAGACGCCCCATGTACAGTACCATCCCAACAGACGCCCCATGTACAGTACCATCCGAACAGACGCCCCATGTACAACTCTACAGCAATGGAAATCTGAAACGGTTGTCACTCTCCGTGCCAGGATCCAATTACCGTGTGTTTTAATCTCAGATTCGCCCCATTCCTGATGCTTGGAACACCTGTTCCGATGGGTTGAAATAATCCGGTGAAGGTCTACGACTGTTTCACCCAACGACGTCAAACCCATTCACTCACTTATACTATTTACATTTGTTCCCAGGTATGTTGGAGACTCATTGGCTGCCATTTTGATCTGCGTCAGTCTGTTCGTCTTTCCGTCCACACGTCCGTCAGTTTTTTGTTGGCGAAAATCAGGTAATGTTGTGTTCCTAAAGACAAAGAACAGAATTCCTTATGAACTTTTCCCCTCATTGTCCCAGTTACCTACAGCTATGTTTCCCCAGTTACCTTCAGCTATGTTTCCCCAGTTACCTTCAGCTCTGTTGTCCCAGTTACCTACAGATCTGTTGTCCAAGTTACCTACAGATCTGTTCCCCAGTTATCTACAGCTCTGTTCCCCAGATACCTTCAGCTCTGTTGTCCCAGTTACCTACAGCTCTGTTGTCCCAGTTACCTACAGATCTGTTCCCCAGTTATCTACAGCTCTGTTCCCCAGATACCTTCAGCTCTGTTGTCCTAGTTACCTACAGATCTGTTGTCCCAGTTACCTACAGCTCTGTTCCCCAGTTATCTACAGCTCTGTTCCCCAGTTACCTACAGATCTGTTGTCCCAGTTACCTACAGCTCTGTTCCCCAGTTATCTACAGCTCTGTTCCCCAGTTATCTACAGCTCTGTTCCCCAGTAACCTTCAGCTCTGTTCCCCAGTTACCTACAGCTCTGTTGTCCCAGTTACCTACAGCTCTGTTCCCCAGATACCTTCAGCTCTGTTTCCCCAGTTACCTACAGCTCTGTTCCCCAGTTACCTACAGCTATGTTTCCCCAGTTACCTACAGCTCTGTTTCCCCAGTTACCTACAGCTCTGTTCCCCAGTTACCTACAGCTCTGTTCCCCAGTTACCTTCAGCTCTGTTTTCCCAGTTACCTACAGCTCTGTTGTCCTAGTTACCTACAGCTCTGTTGTCCTAGTTACCTACAGCTCTGTTGTCCCAGTTACCTACAGCTCTGTTGTCCCAGTTACCGACATCTCTGTTTCCCCGGTTACCGACATCTCTGTTTCCCCAATTACCGACATCTCTGTTTCCCCAGTTACCAACATCTCTGTTTCCCCGATTACCGACATCTCTGTTTCCCCAGTTACCAACATCTCTGTTTCCCCAGTTACCGACATCTCTGTTTCCCCGGTTACCAACATCTCTGTTTCCCCGGTTACCAACATCTCTGTTTCCCCAGTTACCGACATCTCTGTTTCCCCTGTTACTGACATCTCTGTTTCCCCGGTTACCGACATCTCTGTTTCCCCAGTTACCGACATCTCTGTTTCCCCTGTTACTGACATCTCTGTTTCCCCGGTTACCGACATCTCTGTTTCCCCAGTTACCGACATCTCTGTTTCCTTTGTTACTTATAGCCCTGTTTCCCCAGTTACCGATGACGTTTATTTATACTAGCTTACCTTCGAAATGCGGAAATAATTCAACTTCAACAAGCCTGGAGTCAATGAGTCGGATATGTTTTAGTTTACTTTCTTTGATGCACACTGCTTGCATGTTACATTGCTGTTGTTGCAGGTGCGCCCTCACAGTCCGTGACCCCACTGCTGACCTGGAACGTCGTGCAGAACAGGTTCCCCTGGGGGGTGCTGCTGCTCATCGGGGGAGGGTATGCTCTCGCTGATGCCTGTGAGGTAAGCACGTGCAACGAGGCGCCAAAATACGCCTTCGCCCACCGAAAACTGAAACAGACCTATTCACCACAAACGTAATATACAATCCTGGTGAGTCTTTACAGCAATCAGGGCTGTCACGGTCACTTGTGGTGCACATTGTGTCTTTACAGAAATCAGGGCTGTCTCAGTGGATCGGCAACCAGCTGACAGTGTTCAGCTCCATGGACCCCAGCCTCATGAACCTGGTGCTGACGTTGTTGGTAGCAGCGGCTACCGAGGTGACCAGCAACAGCGCAACGGCAGCATTGTTGTTACCCATCATGGGGAATCTGGTTAGTTGATTAAACATCATATACTGAATGTATATTTTTTAATATTTTGATTCATTCTTGTTTGGGGTGTAAAATGAACCAGAAATGTAAACCCTCCTATTCCCTGCCCTACTGAATGTTCATTTTGGGTTAATTCTCCAATAGTTACACACAACAACGTTCAAGATCCACATATATCGAGCTTATCAACTGGAGAATACACCTTGTGTCTGTTTAATCACCTAGGCCCTGTCTCTGAACATGAATCCCTTGTTCCTGATGTTCCCTTGCGTGATCGCAACCTCATTTGCCTTCATGCTGCCAGTGGCAACACCGCCGAACGCCATCGTGTTTGCTAACGGTTACATCAAGGTGTCAGACATGGTGAGTAGAGATATTTCGTCATGACATCAGTTTTGTCAATGGATGCCTGTTAACATGGAGACCGAACTGTTCAAGTGTATGTTGTGCCATATAATATCGTTGAAAAAAGGTCTACATCTTGTATCCAATGAGATGGAGAGATCTAGAAGAAACTGGAACTCTAAACTTGTTGCATGCACAAATCGTAACAGGTTTTTAGAGAACGTAATTTCAAGGAGATCTGAGTTGATTTGGCTGGACCATTTGTATGTTTTACCGGATCAATAATTCTTCAGGTCAACAACCATTTAATATATTTGTGATCAATATGGTTGCGACGTAGCCATCTTTGTTTTTCTTAACAGCTTAACAGGTGAGATTTCTATATCATAATGAATGCGACTATCGGTGTAGATATTAACACCGTCATCAAGCAAGTGATTATGACACATAAGTTGCTTGATAAAGGTGTTAATATCTACTTGGAAACGTCGCATTCATTGAAAAAAAAAAGTTATATAGTCATAGAACTATATCCCTTGTTCATCATACTAACTTCTACATGCCACTTAAAGAAGCATCTCAACACTGTGATGGTCTGTTCACTAGTAAAGGCGGAGAAGGCCTGTCTTCAAACATCAAGGTGGAGTTTAGGTTTTTACATGTTAGAAACATCACAGTAAAGAGTATTGCAGTTACGTCACAAGTGTGAATTAATAGTATTGGTGTACCTATTGCCTTCATAGGATGCTGTACTATTTATTACTGCTTGTCAAAGGAATTGTAACACTATATGGGCACATCTTTCATGAAGTATTGTTGAATTACATGGGCCAGACGTAATGAGGAGATAGACACATATATTTTACATAACAAGAGGGTATCGCTATTGTGTCTGAGGTGAGGAGCGTATTTAGTGGATGGGAAGACTTGTCTCACGATTTTCTTGCTGCTTCGTTTCTTTTTTCGAAATTGGAATTAATTTACTCATTTGAAACAACCGCAACCCTCGTTTGCATGCTCAGAATAGATGAGTATTCTATTAGTTTTTCATAGTGTACTTTTCCAAATTTTGTTATTTACTTTGGACTTCTGAAGGATGTATTGTGTATGTAACTGGTACCGATTTAGGATTAAAAAGGTTTGCCATTTAACAAAGAGTATTTCCTATAATTTTCATCACTATTTTGCATTTTACGCCAACTGGAACCTTTCTGCAGGTAATCAAGACTGTTATTTCTCTGGCGTTGTCGTCTTATCTTATGAGAACCAATACAAGACGTTTCATCAGCAAGTAATCATGTTCTATCTACAAATTGGGAAACTGTGACTCCACACTGACATGTGTTTCTTGTTTCTGCAGGCAGTGGCTGGTTTTGGTATGAACGTGGTGTGTGTGTTGGTGCTGGCCCTAGCAACCAACACGTGGGCCGACGCCTACTTTGATCTGTTCACACTTCCGCAGGGGTTTCCTGCGAATTCGTCTGAAGCTGTTCTCTAAAACTGTGGACTAAAACTGTGGACTAATACTGAGGAGTAACACTGTGGAGTAACACTGTGGAATAATAGTGTGGTTTATGAAGCTACTTGTACACATCAGAACTCATAGCAACACCATTCGTCCACAGTTGCAGGTCTCCGATGGGCTACGAGAGTGGCTAGGATCCCTGTTCGTATACAAACTTCCTTTTGGCAAATTTGTTTCACTCTGAAATGTGCTGGTGTACCACACACGCGCGCGCAAGCACGCACTCGCATAGGGTGCCATGGCCCTTTTTTCTCAAATCGATCTTAGTGATGAGACTAAAATACTCTGTTAATCAGGGGGGCCAAAGGGCTTCACCTGCCATCAAATGATGGTGGGGCACCATACATCGGTTGTATGACCATATGTCAGTACAATGTTGGTGGAGAACCAATAATATTTGCATAATTTACGCGAGAAGGCCTTTAGCGTCAGTAGGTCTCCGGAAAACCTGACAATGTCTAGCTATTGATATTGTTAATCCTGGCTGATATGATGACATATACCTTAAATGTCATCCTGATTGATCACACCTCAGGTAAACAAATCATTGTGATCAAAACCCACTTCAAGTCACCAAGGATATGTGATCAACACCCACATTAAGTAGCCAATCACTTGTGATCTTCAACCCCAAACCAACCAAGCGTAGTTAACACCACAATTAACAAATCATGTGTGACTGAGTCTCCAGTTGTTCTTGGCTTGTGAATCTATATTTTCAAGCTTCTCTCCACCAGAAAGACGCCAAAGGTCTGGTCTGAGCCATGATCGATTTCAATCAAGAGCAAAAGTGGTAATTAATAATAATATGTTATCCATATATGTTATCCGAGTTTAAGAAAGAGATGAGTTTATATATTTTTCGTGAAGTGAATAGAAGGGTGTAAGGCATCGACAACAACAACAACAACAACAACAAAAACGTTTATTTCGCTTCAAGGTCATACCTATGGCATTTTGAAGGTACGCACAATATATTTATGTGACACGAGGTATAAGGTATAACTGTGACACAATCCTACATTTAATGAAATAGATTAAGGATTTCTTTTACAAACTGTGCCAGTTTTCTTTGTTCCAATAAGCTTTCAGTATTTAATAGCATATCAAGTAATATCACACAAGGTCATGTAAAATATTTCTTGTAAATATATAATTTACTCAAGTTATGCGAAAAAGAACACATTAATAAACAGTTATACTCGTCAGCTAAATCATTTTTATTACAGTGACAACTGTTACAACCGCCTTCCCGTGGTATATTTTCCCATCGCTCCGTTTCTGTTGGTAATCTAGGATTAGTGGATCTGATTTTTATAGTAGGGATACTATGTTTTAAGGGTAGTCACAGCAGATAACCTTAAGCTGTATTTAATGTTTAAATAATAGAATACTGCCTTTGAAAATGTGTTTTTCAAACATGTCCATATCTGGCTAATCTAATCAAAGATACGTTGTTTGATATCTCAGTTTAATACAATTAGGAGATAAACATACTGTGTTTTCAATGTAGAGCTAGGTTACCTGGAGATTTAACCGCGCTAAATTGAATTTGGAACCGAACGCGCAGCGTGAGGTTTCAAATGTTAATTTTAGTATGTTTATCTCCATTCTACCATGACTAAATAAAACGCGAACTCTTTGGTGTTAGCAAATATACTAAGTGAAGCGGCATGGGTTGAGTCAGTGTTTTGAGTGGGTTATCGATCTAAATTACGGAATCACCGAACAAAATATGGCGCTGTATATACTAAAGCAGTTTGTTTACACCGTAATACTTCACTCGAACATATGACAGGCATTGAAAGTATATATGCACGGCAACTTTGTAAGCTAACATGAGGTGGGCATCCCTTAAGAAAACAAAGCAAGCTTTGCAAGGCTTTCGCTCTACATTGCGCGTCACCATTATGACGTCTTATCGCTCATTGTGACGCAAAAGATATGACGTCACAGTCGTATATAGAAAAGCTCTCTGTTGTCTCCAAAACGTAAATACATTCCTTTATAGATTTATATCGTGTTTTCTGCATGAAATGTATTGCCACACATCTTTTGAATATTGTAGTAACCGCATCTGTGTATTTTGTAACCTGTAATTGTAGATATAATTATTCAAATATACCGACAATGACTGAAAATAGTTCTATTCTATGAATATTAGCTTCCGCGGTGATGCGGCCGTCAAACCAGCTGTTTCAATCAGAGGGGGTTTATTGTTATTTAAAAGCCTCTGATTGACCAATCAGAATCGAGTAAATCTCAAATTCATGGTAGATTTAAATTTCGAACAAATTGTTGGGTACATGTAACTTAAGCCTAATCCATGAAATCAACTTTTGACATATTCGAGCCATCCGTATCTATGATTACATGGTTCTGTCGACGGACATCATATGACAAAGACTGGCCATCAATTTCCACGCCTTCTCTGTGCGCAGATGTATTGCAAGTATTGCATAAATGACACCGTGTCAGTATTGTTCACTCCCTCAACAAAATTCATTTGAAATTTCAACATGTATTTTACACTTTCATAAAATATTTTGAAAGACACTTGAACAGGTGCAGCAGCAGACTTGACTCAGGACTCTTAACACGGACCAGTCTGTGTCGTTTCTTGCTCTGTTGATGTAATAACTATTCTATTATAGCACTGACCAATAAACCATATTCTCTCTTCAGGGTAGTTTTAGGTTTATGTATGTATAAAGATATCCACCTTCTTCTTTCTCACATTGCAGTGTATCCAGGGCTGACTGCAGAGTGCCCTCGGGCTAATTGTAATGGTTGGTTGGTGTGTTGTTTAACGCCGCACTCAGCAATATTCCAGCTATATGACGGCGGTTTGTAAATAATCGAGTCTGGACCAGACAATCCAGTGATTGATATCATGAGCATCGATCCGTGCAATTGGGATTGATGACATGTATCAACAAAGTCAGCGAGCCTGACCACCCGATCCCAATAGTCGCCTTTTACGACAAGCATAGTCGCCTTTTACGGCAAGCATGGGTTGCTGAAGACCTATTCTACCCCGGATCTTCACTGGTCGCTTATTGTAATGAAACAGCCCAAAAGAAAGGGATCCTGAGAACATACGTTACAAAAGCTGTCAACGACGTGCTGATGTGAAGATACCCTCTCTCTAAAGTCTGCAGCAAATATTCTCAGCATCAAATCACAGGCTACAATGATACAGCTGGAATATTGATGTCAATAAATTCAAAACCATTTAAATAAACGACACAAAACACTCTCCGTAATCCTTAGAAAAAGCAGAGTATATTATGAGAATGTGTTAATGAATGACCATCAGTTTCGAAGTCGTAATTAAAAGTCGAATTCACCAAGTAACATTTCTTATTCAATCATAAAATGCCACTTAAAAAACTATTTTATGTCAACAAACTCAAAATTCAACTGTTAGATTCCGACTGTATCATAACCATGTTTTTATCACGAACAAATCTTGATGATATCAGATATTCACGAAATGGCGAGCGTATCCTGTTCCACCGATGGTACCCGTCACAAGTCAAGACACCTTCAAAAAGTCACGGAAACATTTGGTACAGGTCAAACTAGGGAATTGTATCTGACATCATTTTTGTCAATAAAGCGTCAAATTTGAAAATGTCCTCTACATGTCTCCCTTAAACATTTTGAAAGATTTGCTGAGGCCTTGAATGTTATAACCTTGATTGAACAACTGGTGATCAGGAGTCGTATGACGCTCTTGAAATCTTGGTAGAAAGAGTCTTTATCTCAAAAGTTGTGAAATGTTGTGACGCCAGGGGCTGGTGACACTGGAATATTGCTGTTCATAGAGGGAAAATTGAAAATTGGAAAGTTGAATTCATCACTGTTGTAATAGAAGTCTCGTATTGTGGATTGACACTGACAATCTGGCTTCTTTTATCTCGTGTTCAGGTGGGTAAATAAGTGGAAGGGAATGAGCTATTTGACCATTATTGAACGATATGAGATCATCTATATAACTTTTTGTGGTAACTCCACATAACAAACACTGTCAGTCTTTAGAACAGTTTATATAGTTCATAATGTTTGCGTGTACATTTGCTGATCAACGGAATGATCGCCATGATGTTACAAGAGGGAGCATACATTGTATGAGAATGTTCGATGTACATTAGGGAGCGCGATCTCTTACACTCCTCCCTCCTAGTTTTGTTTTAGCAATTCAAAACTAAACATTTGAACATTATGCATTGAAAATTAACATAATCAAATGCTGAATAAATGTCAAAATACACTATACTGATAAACATATCAAAATAAAATTATTCCCTATCATAATATAAACAGTATTATCTATTTGGGAAGATCATAAACTTCAATAAAAGAACTCATTTCAAAACTTAAAATCATTACACATGTACTTTCACTGAAAATGACAAGATTTGTCAAATTTAAAGTCTTTTCATTTGTTAGTTTAAAATCTTTTGATTACTCCGTGTACACACACATACAAAAACAGACATACATACATACGTACGTACGTACATTCATACATATATACATATACATATGTCCTACGACATACATTGGTAACTGGGGACGTATTCTAAAGTTGAATCCACAAGAGCGTTAATTGTAGAAGCAGGAAGTCTACAAAATCAAGGTTAAACTGATCCAGTGTAACTGTGCAATGGTCATTTAAGAGAAAAAGTTTGACATGCATTTCTTAGCGTCTATGTCTATGTGTCTTAGAAGAAGAAGAAGAATATGTTCATTTATCAAGAATCACGATGGTGACATTGAGAAGTTGACAAGCAAAACATATACATGAACATTTGTGCACTTTGTGATAAAATCATGACAATTGGCACAGTTGTAGGTAATGGCATTGCAAATATTTTTAGAGATGGGTCCGTTCAAAAATATCCAATATGGCCGCCATGGAGAAATGACATTTTGGTATGTCTCGTTTGAACATGTCCCACAATCTAAATATATTGTGAAAAATGAACATTTTGGCATGTATTTACCTAACACTACATTTGTAGTTGCATTGTTTGACAGAATGGATGTGTCTCACCTCTGGATAGCTTTTGGAACTGGCAAACAATTCAGATCTTTGGCTGTTCATGTACTTGCTGTATTTCATGGGCCAGAGAAAGCCAGTTCACTTCTAGCTTTACCGGCTGCGACCAGACCATGCGGGATATGGAAACAAACAGCGTGGGAAACATCGAATGTGTGTGATGAAGCAACAGAGGCTTTCAATCTCACTGGTGATGTACAAACCAAACAGGATGTGATGAACATGATGCCTGTCATTGTGGTATTAATGAATGGTTGGGTCGCAAAGACTTACTCACTAAGAAAGGTAGAGTAATTGATTCATCAGTAAATGATGAATTGATTTCTCCTTCATCAGCTGCATAGTACCAACACGACAAAGAGCTGCAAAGTACCAAGCTGTCAAAGAGTTGCATTTCATGCTGGCCACTGTTAATTTAATTGTTCCTAACCAAGCATTACCAGTAAATCCAGATTTGGTTCCTAAAATATTTTGTTGATGTCATTGTATTCATCATGAGTATTCACTATTGATATAGATAATTGGCCTTCATGAAGTATGTCTTAAAGATTTGCCGAAAAAGTAGGAAATGCATATTTTATATTTTTCACCTAAATCAACATACATAGTCTATTATGATAAATTATTTACGTAACAGATGCAGTGTTGGGTAAATACATTCCAAAATGTTCAATTTTTCTTTAAATATTCAGGTTGTGGGTCATGTTCACATTAGAGTTCATTAGAGTTTCAGTCCTCAATGGTGTCCATATTAGATTTCTGGGGTGGCCCATATATGAAAATATATGAATGTCATTATCTACGACTGTTCATGCATGTATCACAAGGCGCAAAATTGGCCCTATATCTGTCACGAAACGGCTCCACTGTCCGATTCATGTCAGCTAATTACTGACCGAAACAGTTGAGTGAAGTTTGTTTATTTGTTGTTTAACGCCGCACTCAGCAATATTCCAGCTATATGACGGCGTTGAGTGAAGTCAGTACAGGCCCTGCTTGAGTAACTTGGTCCTGACTGTCCAACTTCTATCTAGTGATGTATAGTGTCCAGAAGATGTATCCCCGAAGTGAAGTCCGCTACGTCTTTTTTAACAAGGCATTCTTAACCTGGCACGCCATAAAAACTGTTTCGGTGAAAATCACTGAGGAGGAATCAGAGAGCAACTGCAGAAGAATTCACAGGAAACCCCTGCGGGAGTGTGAACAGATCAAAGTAGGCGTCGCCCCACGAGTTGGTTGCTAGGGCCAGCACCAACACACACACCACGTTCATACCAACACCAGCTATAGCCTGTAACGAGACACGAGGTCGTGTCATTCATTGATATCAGTTTCTGTTACAGTTTTGGTTATGAACGTCATGTTTACATTCTCATCTATAGATTTTGTGGGTATTTCGACAGCATTGCCATCTTTCTGTCAGAGTTACCTAAATTCAGAAAAGTCTGCAATGTCAAGGCAGCCTTGTGGCAGACTCACATCGCCGTTAGGGTACGAGAACAAGATCACTACACGTACGGTGATGTCCACATTCAATACAACAGGAAAACTGTACGTATACTGTTGTTCATTGCCTTGCGGCGGAAAATACAAGGCCCCTTTGAAATATCCATATAAAATACATATTTGATTTTGACGACATTGAAAATAATATAAATTCTTCAATTGACATATTTTTGTTTCTCGGAAAGAAAGAGTACGATGCTCGAGTCGACTCTGATCGGGTGCCAATCTGTGACCTGGATGAGGTATTGAACACGACAGCATCCAGCAAAGGCAATGCCACCAAACAATCGCTTGATCAGTCCAGACTCAAATATCTACTGACAATAATGATATTATTTATTGTATATTTGTTGTTTAACACTGTCATAAGCAATAGTCCAGCCATAAGACAGTGGTCTGTAAATAATTGAGTCTTGACCAGACAATCCAGTGATTAATATCATGAGCATCGATCCACGATGACATGCATCAACCAAGTCAGCGAGCCTGACCACCCGATCCCGTTAATCGCCTCTTACGACAAGCACAGTCGTCTTTTACGGCAAGCATGGGTTGCTGAAGATCTGTTCTCCCCCGGATGTTCACGGGTCGCTTAAAAATGTGAAATCCCTGATGTGACACGATTGTTGGTTTAGTGGATATGGAAACTGATCACATGGGCTTATTTTGTCTTACCATGTCTGTTACTTTGACATAACCAGTGGCAAACACAAGGGCGTTTGGCGGCGTTGCCACGGGCAACATGAAGGCGAAGGAGGCTGCGACAGCGCAGGGAAACATGAGACACAAGGGGTTCACGTTCAAAGAAAGGGCCTGTAGGGAAGAAAAACGACATATTTAGTATGTTTACAAAAGTATTAAAATCATAAGGTCATGCTGATATATTACATTAGGCTTTACTGTTCGTTAGTAATGTGGCTATTTGATGTTGTACCATGTGGTCTTTGGTTTTTTAAGGTGAACAACTGACTTGCCATTGTATGTGTTTGTGATTAAAAAACAACTGGTTAGGATATGAATCGTACTATTGAATTAGCTTTCACCACAGACGTCTTATGATTATGGAAAGTGTTTTGTCGCTTTAATGTTCATGCTTAAAACAACTTCAAGAATTTCTCTTAGGCTCTCCTTCATGTATATGGGCTACATGGATTCTTGTAATATACACGTTCCGTGTTACGATAATATCATAAACTATTCTAGTAACTGACCAGGTTTCCCAGGATTGGCAGGAACAATGTAACGGTGGCTATGTTGGTGGTCACCTCGGTAACCGCTGCGACGAGCAAAGACAACAGCAAGCTCGTGATGCTGGGGTCAAGGGAACTGAACACCGTCAGCTGGTTGCAAATCCACTGGGACAGCCCTGATTTCTGAAAGATTTCATTCACATAACTTGTCACTAAGACATAAGGTACATCACTTGTTGCTAAGACAGCCATTGTTGTTGACTTTGTCCCGTTTTGTTTTGCACACCAGCATAGAAATATCACTGCAATATCCTCGAAAACAAAGGGGGAGGTAGTTGGTGCTATCTGGGCTTGAACAAGTTCACGATACTTATATATTACGCCATTTATGTATCAAAATGGATCCTTAACGTTTGTTTTCATTTCATCTCATCACGTATGACAAGGATCAATCTGTGGAATACGCTCAGGCAATTGGTTGAATGTGTCCTCCCACCTGTTTACCTGAGATGCATCAGCGAGCGCAGTCCCTCCACCTATCAGCAGCAGAACACCCCAGGGCATCCCCCTCTCCACTGTTTTCCAGGTCAGTAGTGAGGGTACGGATCGTGAGGCTTCACCTTTTTAATAATAACCATAATCATAATCATAATGTTGATAAATTATACATAAACACGAACAGGGTGTAACAAGTATTACGATCACCGTATAGCAAAGATAAAAAAAAAGTGCTGCGGCACTGTAGCACACTTGTAATCAACAGTTTAAAATGCCAAGTCATATCAATCCATTTTTTATAAAAATATTTTGGCGGAATTGACAAATTTGAAACAATGATATATATCTTAATCTGCAATAATGAATATATATATATATATATATATATATATATATATATATATATATATATATATATATATATCATATAATGGGTAGGTTTCTCGGCAGGATAAAGCCAACGGATAAAAACGATATCCGTTGGGGTCATATGCGGATAGAGATGCAAATATCAAAGGTCAAGTAGGACTACTTTCACTGTTTATAAACAAACAGCGTCGCCCTCATCATTCGGCGATCGAGTCATAATTAACCATCGGGAATCTGGATAAACTACAGGGATAATTGCTATCATTATCAAAAGAACAGTCTAATATACTGAAAATCAGTCTCCAACTGTGACGTAGCTAAGGCATTTTATGAGTTTGGGCAACTTTGGAGATATAAATTTCGAAACAATTTTGCGAGGGCACGAGGCCTAGCCAAGCGGGATCAGTAGCCATATCTTTGCTTGTAGACCTCTGCGGCTTGAAACCTTCTCCACAAATTAAAATAGTTGGATTTGTCCGAAATGTGTTTGAATTGTTACCTTGTTTCGTTTTGTCGCTGTGTGTACATCTGACTACACTTCTTAACGTTATGACAGGACAGACCGACTGTCAACAACGACTGACCGTGGCCGTGACGTCTCATAGACTAGGGTTAGAGTAGCTTCCCTTTGACAAAGGGCAGTTACTCTAGCGGACAGACATGGATTGCCGCAAAAGGCAATTAACAACAATTGTTGTTTTGCGTATATGTTGCTTCGCCACTGTATAAGAAACAGATTTCAGTTGGAACTGTATTGGCTACTGTCACTGTCCGACTGACACATCACTTACCCTGTGACGTAATAAATATTAATGCGCGCATTCCAGAAAAACTCGCAATGTTTCGGTTATGTATGTGAGAGAGGGAAAGCGATTTTGAAGCACAGAATTAAAGAATGACATTATATGATAAAGAGGTTATCACGCTTGTGTGTTTGGGGATGGTAAATATCCTGTATTAGGAATAAACACTATGTATTTAGCTCGCCAAGGCTCGCTAAATACAATGTTTATTCCTAATGCAGGATATTTACCATCCCCAAACACACTTGCGTGATAACCTCTATATATTATTTATTTGCCATGCCTTCTAATATCCTTTTGAACTTGCCAGTTGATCATGACTGATCACATTTGGCGCCTTATAATTACTTCTTTCTTATAAAAGTCATATCCTGAAATTTCACATAGATGGTACGTATGAGGAAGTTCAGCATCACACATTGTTTTCAAGCAAAGTTCAGATGACATGTGCTAACTTGAATTTGATGCTGAATGACAGATGAGCTATATATACACCAAACTGAGAAAGGTGGTACCTGATCTCCGCCAACAGAAGACAGAAGGACGTTTAGACGGAAAGACGAAAAGACTGACGGCCACCAAGATGGCAGACACAGAACTTCCAATGTACCTACAAAAGAGATGATGAATTAATAGATGATAAGACGCATTCATTCCTTTGAAGGCCTGTCAACAAGGAAATGGCTTTACACAGTTTGGGCAATAGCTTCAGAGACAAGTACCATTCCCATGCGTAAAGTTTATTATTCCCCTATACCAACAAACGTACATCCAAATGATTAAACTACAAACAAGACCTGTTACCTGTACAGCTTAATGCACATTCAACAAATGGGATTGCCAAAACACCCTCTTCCGCTAAGCACTGGCCAGACATATCATCACAAGTGATCTCTCGATAATTGACGCTGAATCGACAACCATCAAGCAAGGCCTGACTAAATATTGTCAGATAATATGTGAGACAATAGAAATTAATCACATGAGCATTATTTGAATTAATATAATTTCATACAAGGGAAAATGTAAAATTTAAAAAAATAATTTAAAAACATTCACCCTTAACATACTATTCAACATGATAAATTGAAAGAGAAAGTACACTCTGTTATCAAAGAGGCCACTGTTTCCAAGGAATAAAAGTGACAAAAGCCTTCTCATAACCATAAGAAATGAGAAATAAGAGTCCATTGTAGGATTCCGACGATGTCATAGACATCACGATCCAAAAGTGATGACACCAGGTGTTCACGAAAAGATGGCACATGCAAGAGCTGGTCGAAGGTTCAGATGAAAAAACACAGGAACATGTGGTCCAAGTCAAACTAGGGAATTGCATCGGTCGTCAATTCTGTCATTGACGCCTCAGAGTTAAAGTTGGAAATGTCCTCCAAATGTCTACCATAAAACATTTTGGAAACTCTCCTGAGGCACTGAATGTTGTAACCTTGAACAATTACTGATCAAACAACTCTTTAGCAAGAGTCATATGACGTTCTTTGAAATCATCATAGAAAGAGCATGCCAGATTATATCTCAAAAGTTGTGAAATGTTTCCATCATTGGCAGGAACAGCGGGAATATCGCTCGACATGAAGAGAACGTTAACAATTGGATAGTTCTAGCCATCCCTTGTGTCATACAGTCTTGTGGAGTGTTTGGTGTCACTCTGCATTTAATGCATAGATCTAAAATGAACTAAATATGACACAGAACACAGACGAGGAGGTGTCACTGGTCTCCTTTATTTGTAGTATATCAGTGGAAGGGAATTACTGAACGATATCAGATCATCGACACAACTGGAGCCTAAGTTTATCTCCTTGGCGGAATTCCCTGGTTTTCACTTTGCCTATTTTTCATTTGACATTCATCCTGAAAATCGGATTCGAACCACTTTAATTATTTTAGGTTACGTACTGGTGGAAAGATGCATGAATATCGTGGGGAACAATCAAATGTTATGAATCAGAATTTCTGCTCTGATTGGCAAAGTCAAAACAAGGTAATTTGGTCAAGAGGTTTAACTTAAGCTTCATGTATATCGATGATCCTGATATCATAACCAAAGCCAATTCCCTTCCACTTATTGACCCACCTGGAAAGAGACCAGTGTGACCGCCTCATCAGTTTCATATTTAGACCCACACATACATGTAAATATTCAGAGTGACAAACACTCTCCACAAGACTATATGGCAAGGGAGATGACTCCAACTTTCCCTTTATGTTAAGCAATATTCCTGCAGCTCCAGCCCTTTGCGTCTTCTCAGGTACAATGGGGCATGCTCTTTCTACCAAGATTTCAAAAAGTGATACGACTCACAACATTGAAGGCCTCAGTAGAGCATTCAAAACGTTTTATGGTAGACATGTGGACGACATTTCCAAATTTGACACAGTGACGAAAAATGATGCCCGATGCAATTCCCTATTTTGACAATATGTTCCAGTGTTTTTTAGGTGAACAATTCACTTGCCTTTGCATGTGTTTGTGGCGGGTGCCAACGGTGGGGCAGGATACGCTCACCTTTTCTCGAACACTTGCTATCATCACTATTTGATAGTAATTCATAACCCCATGCTTATGATATAGTCGAAATCGTACAATAGACACTGCTTTTTGCAGCCAATTCTTATGAATATGGAAATGCGTTTATATATTGGCAGAATTTAACTTGGTTCTTTTCTGAGATTTCATAAATTCAAGCAATTTCTTTGTATTTCTGATAATCCACATGCTTTATTTCCACTTGTCTCAAATACTTTCTGTGCCCATGCAGATCCGGGGTAGAATATGTCTTCAGGAACCAATGCTTGCTGTAAATGTCGACTTAGAGGCGACTAATGGGATCGGTGGTCAGGTTCGCTGATTTGGTTGATGCATGTCGTATCCTTATTGCGTGGACTGATGCACATGATATCAACCACTTGATTCGCTGGTCAAGAATCGATTAATTTACAGACCGCCGTCATAAAGTTGGAATATTGTTTGGTGTGGTGTTAAACACACACACAAAAACAAAAAAAACACATACTTTCTGTGAATACAAAGAAAGTTCTTCCTTGATTGTATAAAGGATTATGATTAATGATTGTCAAGTCAAAAGATGATAGACACTCTTCGAAAAAGAAACGCACAGGTAGTAAATGTTTTGTACCTAATAAAATTCGATATATTTAATTTAATATCATAGATACAAGTATGACATTTTGGAGTTCGATAGTCACATGTTGACGTTGTACAAAGGCATTGAAAACTGTTCACTGTCATGTCACATAAGACCACAAGGTTGTGCTGAACTCAGTATCTCGAGTGACCGCCCCGGGCAGCACTCACGGCTCTGCATCTCCTCGGCACTGACTGGATAAGTGTACGAATTCTGTCCTGCGGAAATCTGCGCCATTCTATGCCATTCTGCTTGTAACGCGTTGGCCAGTTGTGGGAGTGTCTGTGGGGTGTTCTGACGTTGACGTACACGTCGATCGAGTTCATCCCAGAGGTGTTCGATTGGTTTGAGATCTCGAGATCTCGCCGGCCAGGGCAAGCCGTTGGTGTTGGCGTTATGAAGGTAGTCTACCGTGACACGAGCTATGTGCGGTGGAGCGTTGTCCTGTTGAAACAGCTTCCTCTGGCAGTCAATGATTGAAAGAAGATGAGGTTGAAGAATTTGATTCATGTAGCGATTTGCTGTCAAAATTCCCTGAACCACAACCAAGTCAGAGCTCCTGGTGTAGGCTATGGCCCCCACACCATGACACTACCGCCACCGAAATTGTCGAATTCACGTACACAATGTGTGGAAAAACGTTCATTTCGACGACGTTAAACACGTTACACTCGTCTCCAGTTTCTCAATGTCCAAGGCTGTAAGGTATCCTCCTCAAACCAGGGATGCGTCCTGCAGTCTCCGTAGCTGTGGCATTGCGATGACGTAGGTACAACAGTCGAATGTAGCGATCCCGTGCAGGGGTGGTAACTCTTGGTCGGCCGATTCTCGGACGGTCTGTTCTGGAATTGAACTGTGTATCGATCACAAAGGCGGCAAATTGGACGTTGAAGTGGCGTGCATAAGAAGATTGCGATTCCCCTCTTTGGATACGTCCTATGGCCGTGTTCCGATCGGCACCGCTGAATGTTGATAATTGAATGACAAATTATTGGCTTATGCTAGCCTTTTTATAGCCCTTACCACGAGTTACGAATGCCATACCTTGCACGTGCATTTTGCTTTACTGTTTTCCTCCATGACATTTTTTAACAAGTGTGAAAACAATGACTTTTAAGGCGTTGCAAATCGACAATGACTGTATTTTGACGCACCGTTTGTCGAATATCAGGCCACCAACATTTCCCAATAACATATATCCAATTTGTATACCGGATTTTTGTGTAGTCAGGTTCAATGAACTACATACTCCCTATGCGTTTCTTTCTTTTAATAGTGTAGCTGTTGAAAAAATTTCAAAACATACATTCCGAAATTCTAAACGGGTGTGTATCATGGAGAGGATAGTCAGAACGGTTCTGCAGTATTCAGCAGTATTCGGCAGTTTTGGAAACCACCTTTTGTATGTACAAAACCAAGCTTACCCCTTTGGGAAGAACTGCCCCCACCCACCGACGTAGGGTATCGACATCGTTAGATATGCAAGAACCAGGATGACAAAATGAACGAGAACAACCTTTTCGGCAAATCTGGAAATAGAATCGTGGAATACGTTCGCAAAAAAACAGCGCCTTGATCTAGATGGCATCATTGGTCGCTAAGCAATTACATTATGTACTCAGAGCCTGCTTGACAAAAAGGGTAATCAACCTTTCATACTAGCCTTATTTGTGCCAGGATCTCATGGTATGTGTTGCATATTGGCCTTGATCATTGGCATATCAGAATCATTCCCGTGTTCGCAGAATTTACGGAAGTGCTAATCAAGCACGATCTACATTACATTTGGATTGTAACGCCCTGAAATAACATAAATAATTTAATTAACTGATAGGCCCTTTCAGAACAATTTGATATAAACTTTAAACATGTCAAATTCCTGATTGTGCTTAAAAACATGTTTTTGAATCACCGTGCAGAGCTGCATCCCCTAGCCAATTACGTCATGTGTTCGAATCCGTGTCAGCAGCATATACACCCTCATTTCATCAAAGCTAACAAGACTGCATGGGCTATGCCACTGAAGGGTTTCCTCCCACATTAGGTTAGCCCTGGTATAACCCAAGTATAAGTTCAAAGCATGGTTTACACTAATTAGGTATCTCTGTGACTTACGACATGCGGCCTAGTTTCTCATACTCCCGTCTGATCTGGTACCCAACTGCCTCGTTCCCATCACGTGGCTTAGCTGTGCAGCACAGAAGAGATCTGTAACAGTGTCCGACAAGTCCAGAATACAATATTGGTAAAACTCGATTGATACTCGTGAGATGCTAGGGAGTGATTTTGGAACAATAAGAAAATTCCCAGAGACAACCCAGTTTCTGTGAAATGAATTTTGTATAGTAGTTGTGTCAGGTTCTAACTCAAGGAAGACAAAGAAGTAACTCTGGGTAGACAAGGAAAGAAACTCTACTGAGACATAGGATGCAATGTTAGGAAAACAAGGGAAGTAAGGGGAAGGGTTGACAATAAAGAACTTTACTTTGACAAGAGAAGCAACGCAAGGAGGGCAAAGGCAGTGACTCAAGGAAGGAAAATGGGAGGTAACTCTAGGAAAACAAGGGAAGTAACTTAAGGAAGACAATACAAAACTTTACTCAGAAAAGAGAAGTAACACAAGGAAGACAAAGGCAGTAACTCTAGGAAGGCAAGGTAAGTCATCATTGGAAGACGAATGCAGTAACTCTAGGAAGGCAAGGTTAGTCATCATTGGAAGACAAATGCAGTAACTCAAGGAAGACAAGAGAAGTAACACAAGGAAGACAAAGGCAGTAACTCTAGGATGACAAGGTTAGTCATCATTGGAAGACAAAAGCAGTAACTCTAGGAAGACAAGGTAAGTCATCATTGGAAGACAAAGGCAGTAACTCTAAGAAGACAAGGTTAGTCATCATTGGAAGACAAAGGCAGTAACTCTAGGAGGACAAGGTTATTCATCATTGGAAGACAAAGGCAGTAACTCTAGGAAGACAAGAGACGTAACACAAGGAAGACAAAGGCAGTAATTCTAGGAGCACAAGGTTAGTCATCATTGGAAGACAAAGGCAGTTACTCTAGGAAGACAAGGTTAGTCATCATTGGAAGACAAAGGCAGTAACTCTAGGAAGACAAGGTTAGTCATCATTGGAAGACAAAGGCAGTAACTCTAGGAAGACAAGGTTAGTCATCATTGGAAGACAAAGGCAGTAACTCTAGAAAGACAAGGTTAGGCATCATTGGAAGACAAAGGCAGTAACTCTAGGAAGACAAGGTTAGTCATCATTGGAAGACAAAGGCAGTAACTCTAGGAAGACAAGGTTAGTCATCATTGGAAGACAACGGCAGTAACTCTAGGAAGACAAGGTTAGTCATCATTGGAAGACAAAGGCAGTAACTCTAGGAAGGCAAGGTTAGTCATCATTGGAAGACAAAGGCAGTAACTCTAGGAAGACAAGGTTAGTCATCATTGGAAGACAAAAGCAGTAACTCTAGGAAGACAAGGTTAGTCATCATTGGAAGACAAAGGCAGTAACTCTAGGAAGACAAGGTAAGTCATCATTGGAAGACAAAGGCAGTAACTCTAGGAAGACAAGGTTAGTCATCATTGGAAGACAAATGCAGTAACTCTAGGAGGACAAGGTTAGTCATCATTAGAAGACAAAAGCAGTAACTCTAGGAAGACAAAGTAAGTCATCATTGGAAGACAAAGGCAGTAACTCTAGGAAGACAAGGTTAGTCATCATTGGAAGACAAAGGCAGTAACTCTAGGAAGACAAGGTTAGTCATCATTGGAAGACAAAGGCAGTAACTCTAGGAAGACAAGAGACGTAACACAAGGAAGACAACGGCAGTAACTCTAGGATGACAAGGTTAGTCATCATTGGAAGACAAAGGCAGTAACTCTAGGAAGACAAGCTTAGTCATCATTGGAAGACAAAGGCAGTAACTCTAGGAAGACAAGAGACGTAACACAAGGAAGACAAAGGCAGTAACTCTAGGAGGACAAGGTTAGTCATCATTAGAAGACAAAAGCAGTAACTCTAGGAAGACAAGGTAAGTCATCATTGGAAGACAAAGGCAGTAACTCTAGGAAGACAAGGTTAGTCATCATTGGAAGACAAAGGCAGTAACTCTAGGAGGACAAGGTTATTCATCATTAGAAGACAAAGGCAGTAACTCTAGGAAGACAAGAGACGTAACACAAGGAAGACAAAGGCAGTAACTCTAGGAGGACAAGGTTAGTCATCATTGGAAGACAAAGGCAGTAACTCTAGGAAGACAAGGTTAGTCATCATTGGAAGACAAAGGCAGTAACTCTAGGAAGACAAGGTTAGTCATCATTGGAAGACAAAGGCAGTAACTCAAGGAAGACAAGGTTAGTCATCATTGGAAGACAAAGGCAGTAACTCAAGGAAGACAAGAGAAGTAACACAAGGAAGACAACGGCAGTAACTCTAGGATGACAAGGTTAGTCATCATTGGAAGACAAAGGCAGTAACTCTAGGAAGACAAGGTTAGTCATCATTGGAAGACAAAGGCAGTAACTCTAGGAAGACAAGAGACGTAACACAAGGAAGACAAAGGCAGTAACTCTAGGAGGACAAGGTTAGTCATCATTAGAAGACAAAAGCAGTAACTCTAGGAAGACAAGGTAAGTCATCATTGGAAGACAAAGGCAGTAACTCTAGGAAGACAAGGTTAGTCATCATTGGAAGACAAAGGCAGTCACTCTAGAAAGACAAGGTTAGTCATCATTGGAAGACAAAGGCAGTAACTCTAGGAAGACAAGGTTAGTCATCATTGGAAGACAAAGGCAGTAACTCTAGGAAGACAAGGTTATTCATCATTGGAAGACAAAGGCACTTACTCTAGGGGATAAGGTTAGTCATCATTGGAAGACAAAGGCAGTAACTCTAGGAGGACAAGGTTAGTCATCATTGGAAGACAACGACAGTAACTCTAGGAAGACAAGGTTAGTCATCATTGGAAGACAAAGGCAGTAACTCTAGGAAGACAAGGTAAGTCATCATTGGAAGACAAAGGCAGTAACTCTAGGAGGACAAGGTTAGTCATCATTGGAAGACAAAGGCAGTAACTCTAGGAAGACAAGGTTAGTCATCATTGGAAGACAAAGGCAGTAACTCTAGGAGGACAAGGTTAGTCATCATTGGAAGACAAAGGCAGTAACTCTAGGAAGACAAGGTTAGTCATCATTGGAAGACAAAGGTAAGCTACCCACGGCATGCTCCGACCCAGCGTGTGACACCTTCGTTACACTATCGGTAACATCGTTGCCGTGAGTGTGGAAGCGGCCATTACAAGTATCGTGGAATCTGCCCTCTAACCCCAAATGTAGTTACGTTTACATTTTTGTTTTTGTCTTTGGAAATGCCATCATAGCCATTTTTTTAAAGGGTTACGACTGACCAGATTTCCCAGATGAATTTACCCTTTTGTTTCTTTAAACAGATCGCAGCCGAACAGAAAATCAACAAACTTCCCACTTACATTCTTACTACTATATGATAGTTGAAATGAAATAGAAATTCAAACTGACAAACAAAGAAAATAATTTAGCTGGGGTAAGAGTAATCCGCGTCATCACTTGTTTGTAATCATAATGGTCAGTCGGGTGCGATTTCAATACCAAGCATGGTTGTGGCTGCCTGACACATTAGAGAGCTGTGACTGATTGCAGCGATAGTATAGAGAGCTCCGCAAACGGGCTTTCGCTGTGAGGAGCTTGTACACTAGGAAGACAAGGGATGTAACTCTAGGGAAACAAGGGTAGTAAATCTAGAAAAACAAGAAATGTATCTCTAGGCAGACAATAAATGAAACACCTTGGTGGCAATGGCTGTAGCTTCAGGGAGGGAAGGGGTATAACTCAAGGTAGACAAGGACAGCAACTCCAGGAAGGGAAGGGGTATAACTCAAGGTAGACAAGGGATGTAACTCCAGGGAGGGAAGGGGTATAACTCAAGGTAGACAACGACTGCACCTCCAGGAAGGGAAGGGGTATAACTCAAGGAAGACAAGGGATATAACTCCGGGCAGGGAAGGGGTATAACTCAAGGTAGACAGGGGATGTAACTCCAGGAAGGGAAGGGGTATAACTCAAGGTAGACAACGACTGCACCTCCAGGAAGGGAAGGGGTATAACTCAAGGTAGAGAAGGGATGTAACTTCAGGGAGGGAAGGGGTATAACTCAAGGTAGACAAGGGATGTAACTCCAGGAAGGGAAGGGGTATAACTCAAGGTAGACAAGAACTGCAACTCCTGGAAGGGAAGGGCTATAGCTCAAGGTAGACAAGGGATGTAACTCCGGGGAGTGAAGGGGTATAACTCAAGGTATACAAGGACTGCAACTCCAGGAAGGGAAGGGCTATAACTCAAGGTAGACAAGGGATGTAACTCCGGGGAGGGAAGGGGTATAACTCAAGGTATACAAGGACAGCAACTCCAGGAAGGGAAGGGGTATAACTCAAGGAAGACAAGGGATGTAACTCCGGGCAGGGAAGGGGTATAACTCAAGGTAGACAAGGGATGTAACTCCAGGAAGGGAAGGGGTATAACTCAAGGAAGACAAGGGATGAAACTCCGGGCATGGAAGGGGTATAACTCAAGGTAGACAAGGGATGTAACTCCAGGGAGGGAAGGGGTATAACTCAAGGAAGACAAGGGATGTAACTCCGGGCAGGGAAGGGGTATAACTCAAGGTAGACAAGGGATGTAACTCCAGGGAGGGAAGGGGTATAACTCAAGGTAGACAAGGACTGCAACTTCAGGAAGGGAAGGGGTATAACTCAAGGTAGACAAGGGATGTAACTTCAGGGAGGGAAGGGGTATAACTCAAGGTAGACAAGGGATGTAACTCCAGGAAGGGAAGGGGTATAACTCAAGGTAGACAAGAACTGCAACTCCTGGAAGGGAAGGGCTATAACTCAAGGTAGACAAGGGATGTAACTCCGGGGAGGGAAGGGGTATAACTCAAGGTATACAAGGACTGCAACTCCAGGAAGGGAAGGGCTATAACTCAAGGTAGACAAGGGATGTAACTCCGGGGAGGGAAGGGGTATAACTCAAGGTAGACAAGGACTGCAACTCCAGGAAGGGAAGGGGTATAACTCAAGGAAGACAAGGGATGTAACTCCGGGCAGGGAAGGGGTATAACTCAAGGTAGACAGGGGATGTAACTCCAGGGAGGGAAGGGGTATAACTCAAGGTAGACAAGGGATGTAACTCCAGGAAGGGAAGGGGTATAACTCAAGGTAGACAAAGGCTGTAACTAATTAGAGGCAAAGGGCGTTACACCAGGGAGACAGGGGATGTAACTCCAGGGTGACAAGGGATGTAACTCCAGTATGACAAGGGATGTTACTCCAGGTGTTCGTGAAAAGGTGATCCTGTCTCAACGGTGACATCCTTCACAAAGGCAAGGCATGATATGGAACTGCATTGGATATCATTTTGGTCGCTGAAACTCCAGAGATACAAGGGATGTAACTCTAGGAGACACATGAAATGGTAGATATTATAATATAGTCATTGCGACTGCCGTCTTTAATCATGTATTAAGGCTAAAGGAAATCAGGTATAAAAGACAAAGACACATTAGAAATAGGGCGTGACTCACGACTTCCCAAGGAACAGCGTCTGTAGCCACATCCACGCCAACATGATACACAGCAACGACACAGGCAGGGCGAATACCATCCAATTTACAAAGTTCACTCCCGACTCAAGTCCATACGTGTTAAAGATTCTAAATAAAAAACAAAATGTTGAAAGCAGTTTGTATAGTTTATTATATTTTCCTAACAACACATAAAGATATTATCAAGAACATCTACAATTTCATTGTAATTTTTTTGTGTACATCGTCGATGTTTTTACGCATTGTAAATTTCATTTCATGCAGTAAATCTTGTATTTATGATTTTTAAACGAGTAGCCCATCGCCACCAGAAGATATCAAATCAACTCTATGGATGGTGGGGTGGCCTTTTAATAAGCTCGTCACGTTGGAAACACCAGGCTTTACCACCAATAGGTATACATTATTTTAAGAGCCCTTTAGGATTCAGATTCTATCCACGTAACAACTCACATGTCTGCTTGAACCTGCATGATGACGTTTGGTGCTGAACCCGCCAGTGTCCCGATGCCGCCAATATTGGCTGAGTAAGCAATGCACAGACAGAAGCCCTTACAAAGACGGGTAAACTCCATGGTGTCACGGCTTCTATCGGACGGGTCAAACCCTGGAGGAGAGGCCGCGGTTACATTGTTCTCTCTGAGTGTTCTGTAAAAACGTAATGCAGCTGTCGCCCAACATGGGATGTTGGCTATTGGCAATAATTTCATGAATATAAATAACTAAGCCCAGGTAAGTTGGTAATGTGAGCAGCGAACATTGCTATAAGGATACGATGTCGCACGTTCACTGTCCAACAGTCAAAGAAACAAGTACTGAGGATCTGGAACCTGAATGAGTTGAAAGTAAAGAAAGGCACATGAGTGTCTGTTTACTTAACGTGGCAGCAACATGGAGAAGTGGGTAACTCTAACATGTTGACCTTTCGGGTTAGATTTTCTTTTCTTCTCAGAGAAGAAACTTACGTGTCATCTTTCTCTTCATCTGTGCCAATCACGTCAGCGTCACTCCTTTGGCTGCTGCTGCTTGTCTCATCTGTGAAATGTCAATATCATTATAAGGGTGCCTTCAGAATGCACGTCATTATTGAAGGGTCACCTATGTATGCAGGGTGTCAAACATGAACATCTGCCACCCAGCGTCAATAGGTCTGAGTATGTTGACAATGTGATCAACAGTTGACGAACATGTGCCTGTGTAACACTGATTGGATTGCTTTTATGACGATGTAATTATTGACAAATCGGGTAGGGCGGAAGTGGGTTGTTATGAACATCACCTTTCAATCAAAGTATTTGATTGGTTGATTGTGAACCAGGACCTGTACAGACTACTTTATTTCGAACCGGAAAATACCGTTTTTTAACGCTGGATATGCAACAGAGAGAAAACTGATGCATTATTACTCTGGGTAGTTAATTATCAAATATAAAACGTCACCGCTGGAGAATAAAAAGTCTTATGAGTGAGTGAGTGAGTATGGTTTTACGCCGCTTTTAGCAATATTCCAGCAATATCACGGCGGGGGACACCAGAAATGGGCTTCACACATTGTACCCATGTCGGGAATCGAACCCGGGTCTTCGGCGTGACGAGATAACGCTTTAACCACTAGGCTACCCGACGGCCCCACAAAGTCTTATGATGATCTGCCAAAACCCATTCTTATATCACATTCGTAGAAGGCAACCTAGCGGTGAATGGATCACTTAAACATAAATGATGACCCCAGGTGTTTGCGACATAGGTACGCATGGACTGTCCTGACGGTAGCACCCGCCACCTCTACAAATTGAGTATAACAAGTGTGAAGTGCAGAAATACTTCAAGAGGAAAGCAATACTTTACACTTCAACGGCAGGTTTAATCTCTGTTGCTTCTCACCTGGCTTTAGCTCGATCTCTCCTTTCAACATTTCTTCATTTGACTTGTATTTGATCTTCCGAAGTTCGTCCAGGACAGCATTGACGATCGGGATCATCATGGCGGTGGTGGCGATGTTGCTGATCCACAAAGACAGAAACCACGTCGGCAGCATGAAACCAAGCATCAACCTCGAGGAAGAATGAAGGTGTTACAGGAAATAATGGAAACAGTATTACTCCTGTCCATCGACAGGCATCTTTGATCGCCTTTGTACATAATCACTCTCAATGATTTTACCCATAAGGGTACACATCACATGCAATACATTTCCAATATACACACATGTATTGTAACAATTCCCAAAGACGTCATAGTGCTGCAATGACTGGAACAAAAATGTATGGCGTCCTCCATTATTTATGATGTCATACTCACCAAACAAGCATTAATCCATAAGTCGAATGTCCATTTCAGTGGTGTTGCTTTGTAGGTTTGACATAACTAGCATTTGCCAATAGCTTATATATATTATAACAAAGGCATAGCCTGTTCAAACCTACAATTCGTTATATCGGAAAATATTCTTTAGTCCCTCTGCAGGTTGGGTTATACTTCAAATATGAAGTGTTGACGAATTTTCAAATGCAACATACTACCAAAAATTGAATACATTGTTTCACATACCATCTTGGTTGAACCCCAAATAAGGTGAGTGTCTTCAATGCGATCCTCTTGTGGAGTTGACAATTCTCGATGGCAATGGCCAGTGTAAGACCCCCAATTATAAACATTGTTGCTTGCTGTAAAGATAACGTTCCTGTATTTTGAGGTTGGAAATTGATGCGGTGATCGAAGAATAAATTGCATATTAACTGCTAAAACAAACACGCCATGATCATTTAACTGTTGGCTTGGAGGCACTGTCTAAATCAATTTTGAATATCAAATGATAACATTTTGATGTGGCTGCAATGCTAGGTCACACTGAAACAACATTTGCAACCTCTCATACACATACTTTATAATTCTAGCTGTGTTAGAGGTTGTGTCATGCTGATCATTCATTAAGTAAACAATATTTCCTGTCAATAATCATGGACCAGATCGAGTCCGTGTTTGATATCATGAGCAGCTTTAGATTTACCACCTGATCCATTAAGTCGCCTTTCACAAAAAAAACAAGAGCGTGTTGGAGACCTATTTTTACACAGAATCACTGTGTTGATCGACTGTCATGAACACCTGGTACCATCACTATTTGATAGTGATTCATAAATTCATGCTTTTGAATCATTCAATGGGCTCTGCATTTAGTAGAGATGTCTCAGGATTATGAAACTATTTGCAGTCGCTTTTGTACGTGACACACACCTTGATGTAGTTCCCGGCAACGTCAGATGCCTTCATGACCCCGAATAAAGGGAAGACAACCACAGGGAGAAGAGCGGTCACCGGAAGGGGAATGCATTCCGTGATCCAAAACACTGCCATTAGGACAAGACCATAGGCACATTTTGCCTCCTGGAACAAAACAAAGAATTCCCCTCTGTTATGTTAAGAAATATAGACATGAAATGTTTGTTGTTGTTCCCCCAACAAGGCCTCAAATAACATAACCATTTCATGCAAGCATCACTACATTAAATGTTTGATCAAAGAACGTGATACAAGTGACATATCAAATAATGTCACTTACACGCAAATATGTCAACTGAAGAAGAGTGAGTGAGAGGTCTTACGCCGCTTTTAGCAATATTCCAGCAATATCACGGCGGGGGGGGCACCAGAAATGGGCTTCACACATTGTACCCATGTCGGGAATCGAACCCGGGTCTTCGGCGTGACGAGCGAACGCTTTAACCACTAGGCTACCCGACCGCCCCAAACTGAAGATGAAATCTACCTAAACCACGGCTCACTACTGTAAACTATTGAAACTTGAAGAATTATCAATTCCTCTTTTGTACAGGATTCCAAAGCTCCATAACAATCCCTACAAAGAGAGACATATTGCTGGGTCCAGCAAATGTACCACCAGATCTCTGTCTCAAAGATAATCATAATCTTCGATACAATCAAGGAATGGTTTTTTTATTAATATATACACAGGAAGTGTTTGAAACAAATGGAATTAATAACCTCAAACATTCAGAGGATTTGCTCGAATGTTTGCAATCTCAGTTACATATCTATATTCGGTGGCTCAGGACAATTTGTCAAAAAAGATCTGATGTGTACTGCGAAAACAGTATGAGAAATGTTGCACTTCCTCAATGATAACATTTTGAGGGCAAGACATTTAGGCAAGAAAAAGTCATCCCCATGAGCACTAAGCGTGTTAATTTTAAAGCTTATTTACTTCTTTATGCAATTAAATCAGAATTTCTGATTTGGCCAATAAGGGGGGGGGGGGGGGGGGGGTGGGTGGAGATTAATTCATATGCAGCCTATTCCAAAGATTATGTAACAATACGAATGACAGTTTGGAATATATATATATTGATGAAAGCCTGGTTACGTCAATATAGGTTTCAGTGTCCGTGCTCTTTCAGACAGACAGACAGACAGAAGTTTATTCAATATTTTAGGCCATATGACCTATAGTACAGTAGTGTTTGTTTTTTGTATCAACATTGTACAGTCACGTGTAGGTAATAATAAGTTTACATAAAATATTAACGTCTAATTTCAAAAATCTTCTTCAGGAATATTGACAGAGATGATATTGTATTTGCATTGCAGGAGTTCAACAAATTTCTCATCAGTTGTTCATCTTTGTACATAGTTGAAATCATAGGGAGGTATCTATTTCTAAGAAACTGATAATATTTACAAATGAGAAGTACATGAAACTCATCCTCAACATAGCCTTCATTACAATAACGGCATAAACTACTTTCTTTATCTTGGACATTTTTCTTTCTGAGATTGTTAACATTAAAATTATGTAATGATATACGTAATTTACACAAAGATCTTCTCAAAGTTCTATCCTGAAGTACAGATACATATTTTTCAGGAACAAGTAAAGATTTTATATTCGTATAATGGCATAAAAACCTTGAGGACGTTTCAGTGTCCGTGCTCTTTCAATAGTGATGGAAACAACTTTGGGGTAATTGACATCGGACATTTTCAAAGGACAAAATGTGAAAGATCGTTAAACAGCCCTAACAATACTCAAATTGACATCTATCAATATCAGACATCATTATTATTTCTTACGAACTAACAAGATTATTCTAACGTTATACCACCCAAGAGTAAGTACACGTAGATTACATCAATAACGTTCGTTGAAACATTTCATTGGCAGTAATTCTACTCAACAAACCTCTTTTCGATCATTTTTAACGCGCCATATGTCATACAAACATTGGTTCGTTGTGCAATCGAAATCAAACTTTACAGCTCATCTTATCCATAAGCGATCAACCCAAATGCAAAAATGTACTGCGTTCATCATTGTTAAAGTTATGTTAATGTTTTTAGTAGTTGTATTATACATGTATCGCGTGTACCATCGACAGAAACGGGGGCCGAGGTAGCACATGTTAAACCGACCCTGACACAATTTGTTCACACAGTCAGGTAGTTTGATCAATCTCACGTGTCCCTTAGTCATTTCATATGAAAACAGATAAGAACGTTATTTGCCAAAACGGGCGAGCATGCAGGACAACTGGTACACAAGAAATCGCGGCACAGCTATGAGGTGAACATGCCCCATCGAGCACTTCGGGTCTAAATTGGCCATTCAATGTTTACGTGTTGATCATAAACTTCCTGCCTATATACACTATAACACCTTAATTAACATTAACGATCATAGCTGTCGTTCTATGTCTTAGATTTGGATATTTTCTGCAACTCAGCATCATTAACAGAACGACAACCAGCGCTGTGCTAAATCGCAATGAACAAAAAGTATTTTATTTCCAATCTTATAAATTTCTTTTTCAAATTGGTTGACTGATATTATAATAGTCACGAGTATGTGATATGGGTCCATAATCAAAATTCAACTGATTTACCCACCTGAACTGAACTAAAAGAGACCAATGAAACCATATATTCTGTTTCGTCTTTAGATCTATGCATAAAAGTGACAAAAAGAAGAGACAATGAGAAGGCTTAACAACAGGGATGACATCAGCGTTCCATAACCTAACTTCCCCTTTATGTTGGAGCGCCATTAGCACGTGTTAAAAAGCTGTCCCATCAAGGCTACAACATTCAAGACCCGAGCAAAGCTTTCACGAATTTGTATGGTTGACATGTTGACGACATTTCCAAATTTGATGCTTCAGCAACAAAAAGTATGTCTGATGCAATTCCCTATTTTGACTTTTGACTCACGTTCGTGTGGGCTTTTTTCAGGTGAACAATTAACATGCCTTTGCATGTGTTTGTGATGGGGCGAACACCTGGTATTATCACTATTTGATGATGATTCATAAATACATGATAATGTCGGAAGCGTATATGGATTTTTATCCAGTATTATTTTAAACATTAAAAATTTTAAAAAAACAGGGTTGGATCATCCTGGCACAGTCAGTCTGTTTAGGATCGTCATCAGCTCAGGGCCCTCGCCCCCTCTACACGCGGCCGAGACAACGAATGTGACTTCTCCTAGGAAGCGCTGCCTAGTCGAACCCACCCTGAACTTTTTCAGACAGACAGACAGACAGTTTATTCATTAATTAAGGCACCAAGGCCCATAGTACAATGCAGATTGGATATTAACATCTGTCACTTGATGTACATGATCAGATTTTAAATCTAGTTACACATTCCTCAATATAAAGACATGTTTTAATGAATACAGAAACAGCATGGATCATATCAGGATTTTCAGAGTTTTGCAGATTTATCATTAACTGACGATCCTTAAAAATACCTTGCAACATGGGGAGAAATTTATGCCTTAAATGGGAATACGTTTCACATATAAGTAAGACATGGTATTCATCTTCTACTTCTCCGGATGAACAGTTTCTACAAATAGAGCTTGCAATATCACCGTCTTTGGACCTGCGACATACATTTACATAAAAATTGTGTAATGAAAGATTTCTCACATCTGAAACCTAATTATTTTTACCATTATCATAAACTTTTCGGAGAATGTGAAGACTCCCAAACCAGATTGTCTATTGTATTCTTGGCAGAAAAAAACGGGTACTCTCCCAATGTCAGTCAGCAGATTGGGAGGTCCGAAACTTAAGGCACCGAGAACAATGGGTATCGGACAACTTGGCGACTGGGATGCAAGCGTGACATTTCGAAAGTAAGGTCCGCATATTTGCCATATTTTTCCTAAATATTGTCAATCACATTAGTGTCAAAAGGGACAGAGAATTCAATGATACAAATGATTTCATTGGATTTATAAAAAAAATGACAAGATCAGGTTTGTTGGCCTGGATAGGTCTGGGCCTATTTCAAAGAATTTTGTATTTATCATGTTCAATGACGCACTCAGCATATTCTGGGTCGTAGCATGGATGGACCTCTGTGTCAAAACCACAAGCATGTCGAAGACGGTAACAAACTCATTGAGCCTCATGTCACTTCAGAAACTGTGTTTGTGCCAAAGCTGGGCATCCATTGACAATGTGTTGGACAATCTCATAAAATTCACTGCATTATCTACCTTTCATATTGACATTTTGATTCAAAATCACACATTGACGGTTTCGAATGGGAAGTGACTGGTCCTGAGCAGCAAATGGGAAGCATTCTGTTTCACTTTTCAGACCAGTCGACTTCATCCAAAGGAACGTCTCGGTAGGGTTGCTGATCTTCTCAACATATTGCACGTAAACTCGATGCAGTGATCGTTCAGATAGCCCCGCCTTTATTATTGTTATTGCTATTCCCTCGCAATAGTCGCGTTACCTCGCAATACTACTGCATTATGTCTATATTTATGCATACATGCGCGTCACATTTTGGACCATAAAGTAAATATGAACCGGATTTCAAAAATCAAATGAAAATAACCATGGCGCGTGTACGTGAGCAGAGCAGCGGAGTAGAATTACAATTACAAATTCAAATTACCTTACCTTACTCTTACCCTTACCATAACTCAAATGACAGGAGCATAAAGCCTCTCAGTCAATATGGTACACGAGATGTCTGTCCACTTATGTCGTATCCGTTATTACCTACTCTGACCTGGAATCACTACAGGCTGTGTTCGAATCAATCAGCATCATGGCATGAGTTGGCTGCATTCGGGGAGGAAGAAGGCTGGGATGAACACATGTTACATACAATGGGGGAAGGTTGAAAAAATATGATACAGTCCTCAGACCATTCACAAGACCAAATAGCGTCCATTCCAATTTGGAATGAACGTTGGAATGCTTTGGAAAGATCGCTCATTCCAAACTTTCCAAAGCTTGGAAAGATCGATCTTTCCAAAAAATCCAAAATTGGAATGGCAACATTTCCAAACATATTTCCAACACTGGAAATGTTTGGAATGACTTGGAATGGTTTGGAATGGT